GTATTCAAGCCACTGCAAGGAAATCCGGCCTCCTTTCAAGTTAGGGCTCCTCGCTGTATATTCCCTTTGAGGCAGCAAACTCGGAGTCCCTCCCACATACCTATTGCTGAGAAGCCTCCTCCTGAGGTGCTTCTGGAAAGTTGGCATACGTCTTGAGCCTAAGCCAGGGCATCAGCTCTCATCTCGAGACGATTTGGGGTACACAGAGCATTCCTCGAGTTGCTGTGCTGAAATTGGTGTTCCTCTAGACTTGGGACAGTTTTCTCTGGGCATCTCTAGAGTTGCCTAAAGGAAGTCGAGCCAACGGTCGTGTTGAATGGGGAACGGGGAATGGCTCTGGAGTCAATGCAGGGGAATCGGGCCTCATCTCGAGTTGATTTGTGGCACCTGGAGCTGCTTTGCGTTGCTGGGGTGACCTCAGGGTCCGTCTAGACTGGTGACAGTGTTCTTGGGGACTGCCTCGAGATCCATTAAGCAAGTCGAAGCTCCTGACTTGTTTGAATGGGATCACGGAATAGCTCTGCATGCACTGCAGGGGAATGGGGCCTCATCTCGCCTCTAGGGGGAAGTCTCATGGTTTTTCTCGAGTTGCGGCGGGGACCTGGGGTATGTTCTCGACTTACGGCGGGGATGGCCCTTCAAAACACGAGTTTCTTCCGTGACGTCAGGACTCCTGTCTAGTAACGAGGGACACCTCAGCAATCTCTTCGAGGCTTGGCAGGGCAAAAGGGACGCTTCTCGAGGTGAGCCAGGGCACCCAAGGACCTTTTCCAGTAGCCACAGGGATTTTGGGATTCCTATCAGTATTCAAGAGGAGTCAGGCATCGTCACCTTTTGAAGCAATGAACTCCGCGTGCCTCTCGAGGTGTCAGCGGGATGTGAGGCATTCCGTCAAAATGAGGCAGGGTCCTAGGGCTTTCTCTAAGGTCTCCACAGGGGATTCAGACATCCCTTCATGTTGTCAGATCAAAGACGAGCCTGTATTCAAGCCACTGCAAGGAAATCCGGCCTCCTTTCAAGTTAGGGCTTCTCGCTGTATATTCCCCTTGAGGCAGCCAACTCGGGGTCCCTCCCACATACCTATTGCTGAGAGAAGCCTCATCCTGAGGTGCTTCTGGAAAGGTGGCATACGTCTTGAGCCTAAGCCAGGGATTAAGCTCTCATCTCGAGACGATTTGGGGTACACAGAGCATTCCTCGAGTTGCTGTGCTGAAGTTGGTGTTCCTCTAGACTTGGGACAGTGTTCTCGGGGCATCCCTGGAGTTGCCTGAAGGAAGTCGAGCCACCGGTCGTGTTGAATGGGGAACGGGGAATGGCTCTGGAGTCAATGCAGGGGAATCGGGCCTCATCTCGAGTTGATTTGGGGCACATGGAGTAGCTTTGCGTTGCTGGGGTGACCTCAGGGTCCGTCTAGACTGGTGACAGTGTTCCTGGGGACTGTCTCGAGATCCATTAAGCAAGTCGAAGCTCCTGACTTGTTTGAATGGGATCACGGAATAGCTCTGCATGCACTGCAGGGGAATGGGGCCTCATCTCGCCTCTAGGGGGAAGTCTCATGGTTTTTCTCGAGTTGCGGTGGGGACCTGGGGTATGTTCTCGACTTACGGCGGGGATGGCCCTTCAAAACACGAGTTTCTCCAGTGACGTCAGGACTCCTGCCTAGTAACGAGGGACACCTCTGGAATCTCTTCGAGGCTTGGCAGAGCAAAAGGGACGCTTCTCGAGGTGAGGCAGGGCACCCAAGGACCCTTTCCAGTAGCCACAGGGATTTTGGGATTCCTATCAGTATTCAAGAGGAGTCAGGCATCGTCACCTTTTGAAGCAATGAACTCCGCGTGCCTCTCGAGGTGTCAGCGGGATGTGAGGCATTCCGTCAAAATGAGGCAGGGACCTAGGGCTTTCTCTAAGGTCTCCACAGGGTATTCAGACATCCCTTCATGTTGTCAGATCAAAGACGAGCCTGTATTCAAGCCACTGCAAGGAAATCCGGCCTCCTTTCAAGTTAGGGCTTCTCGCTGTATATTCCCCTTGAGGCAGCAAACTCGGGGTCCCTCCCACATACCTATTGCTGAGAGAAGCCTCATCCTGAGGTGCTTCTGGAAAGGTGGCATACGTCTTGAGCCTAAGCCAGGGATTCAGCTCTCATCTCGAGACGATTTGGGGTACACAGAGCATTCCTCGAGTTGCTGTGCTGAAGTTGGTGTTCCTCTAGACTTGGGACAGTGTTCTCGGGGCATCCCTGGAGTTGCCTGAAGGAAGTCGAGCCACCGGTCGTGTTGAATGGGGAACGGGGAATGGCTCTGGAGTCAATGCAGGGGAATCGGGCCTCATCTCGAGTTGATTTGGGGCACATGGAGCAGCTTTGCGTTGCTGGGGTGACCTCAGGGTCCGTCTAGACTGGTGACAGTGTTCCTGGGGACTGTCTCGAGATCCATTAAGCAAGTCGAAGCTCCTGACTTGTTTGAATGGGATCACGGAATAGCTCTGCATGCACTGCAGGGGAATGGGGCCTCATCTCGCCTCTAGGGGGAAGTCTCATGGTTTTTCTCGAGTTGCGGTGGGGACCTGGGGTATGTTCTCGACTTACGGCGGGGATGGCCCTTCAAAACACGAGTTTCTTCAGTGACGTCAGGACTCCTGTCTAGTAACGAGGGACACCTCAGGAATCTCTTCGAGGCTTGGCAGGGCAAAAGGGACGCTTCTCGAAGTGAGGCAGGGCACCCAAGGAACCATTCCAGTAGCCACAGGGATTTTGGGATTCCTATCAGTATTCAAGAGGAGTCAGGCATCGTCACCTTTTGAAGCAATGAACTCCGCGTGCCTCTCGAGGTGTCAGCGGGATGTGAGGCATTCCGTCAAAATGAGGCAGGGACCTTGGGCTTTCTCTAAGGTCTCCACAGGGTATTCAGACATCCCTTCATGTTGTGAGATGAAAGACATGCCTGTATTCAAGCTACTGCAAGGAAATCCGGCCTCCTTTCAAGTTAGGGCTTCTCGCTGTATATTCCCCTTGAGGCAGCAAACTCGGAGTCCCTCCCACATACCTATTGCTGAGAAGCCTCCTCCTGAGGTGCTTCTGGAAAGGTGGCATACGTCTTGAGCCTAAGCCAGGGAATCAGCTCTCATCTCGAGACGATTTGGGGTACACAGAGCATTCCTCGAGTTGCTGTGCTGAAGTTGGTGTTCCTCTAGACTTGGGACAGTGTTCTCGGGGCATCTCTGGAGTTGCCTGAAGGAAGGCGAGCCTCCGTTCGTGTTGAACGGGGAACGGGGAATGGCTCTGGAGTCAATGCAGGGGAATCGGGCCTCATCTCGAGTTGATGTGGGGCATATGGAGCTGCTTTGCGTTGCTGCGGTGACCTCAGGGTCCGTCTAGACTGGTGACAGTGTTCTTGGGGACTGTCTCGAGATCCATTAAGCAAGTCGAAGCTCCTGACTTGTTTGAATGGGATCACGGAATATCTCTGCATGCACTGCAGTGGAATGGGGCCTCATCTCGCCTCTAGGGGGAAGTCTCATGGTTTTTCTCGAGTTGCGGCGGGGACCTGGGGTATGTTCTCGACTTACGGCGGGGATGGCCCTTCAAAACACAAGTTTCTTCAGTGACGTCAGGACTCCTGTCTAGTAACGAGGGACACCTCAGCAATCTCTTCGAGGCTTGGCAGGGCAAAAGGGACGCTTCTCGAGGTGAGCCAGGGCACCCAAGGACCCTTTCCAGTAGCCACAGGGATTTTGGGATTCCTATCAGTATTCAAGAGGAGTCAGGCATCGTCACCTTTTGAAGCAATGAACTCCGCGTGCCTCTCGAGGTGTCAGCGGGATGTGAGGCATTCCGTCAAAATGAGGCAGGGACCTAGGGCTTTCTCTAAGGTCTCCACAGGGGATTCAGACATCCCTTCATGTTGTGAGATGAAAGACAAGCCTGTATTCAAGCTACTGCAAGGAAATCCGGCCTCCTTTCAAGTTAGGGCTTCTCGATATATATTCCCCTTGAGGCAGCAAACTCGGAGTCCCTCCCACATACCTATTGCTGAGAAGCCTCCTCCTGAGGTGCTTCTGGAAAGTTGGCATACGTCTTGAGCCTAAGCCAGGGAATCAGCTCTCATCTCGAGACGATTTGGGGTACACAGAGCATTCCTCGAGTTGCTGTGCTGAAGTTGGTGTTCCTCTAGACTTGGGACAGTGTTCTCGGGGCATCTCTGGAGTTGCCTGAAGGAAGGCGAGCCTCCGTTCGTGTTGAACGGGGAACGGGGAATGGCTCTGGAGTCAATGCGGCGGAATACGGCCTCATCTCGAGTTGATTTGGGGCACATGGAGCTGCTTTGCATTGCTGAGTGACCTATGGTCCGTCTAGACTGGTGACAGTGTTCTTGGGGACTGTCTCGAGATCCATTAAGCAAGTCGAAGCTCCTGACTTGTTTGAATGGGATCACGGAATAGCTCTGCATGCACTGCAGGGGAATGGGGCTTCATCTCGCCTCTAGGGGGAAGTCTCACGGTTTTTCTCGAGTTGCGGCGGGGCCCTGGAGTATGTTCTCGACTTAGCGGGGATGGCACTTCAAAACACGAGTTTCTCCAGTGACGTCAGGACTCCTGCCTAGTAACGAGGGACACCTCAGGAATCTCTTCGAGGCTTGGCAGGGCAAAAGGGACGCTTCTCGAGGTGAGGCAGGGCACCCAAAGACCCTTTCCAGTAGCCACAGGGATTTTGGGATTCCTATCAGTATTCAAGAGGAGTCAGGCATCGTCACCTTTTGAAGCAATGAACTCCGCGTGCTTCTCCAGGTGTCAGCGGGATGTGAGGCATTCAGTCAAAATGAGGCAGGGACCTAGGGCTTTCTCTAAGGTCTCCACAGGGGATTCAGACATCCCTTCATGTTGTCAGATCAAAGACGAGCCTGTATTCAAGCCACTGCAAGGAAATCCGGCCTCCTTTCAAGTTAGGGCTTCTCGCTGTATATTCCCCTTGAGGCAGCAAACTCGGGGTCCCTCCCACATACCTATTGCTGAGAGAAGCCTCCTCCTGAGGTCCTTCTGGAAAGTTGGCATACGTCTTGAGCCTAAGCGAAGGAATCAGCTCTCATCTCCAGATGATTTGGGGTACACGGAGCATTCCTCGAGTTGCTGCGCTAAGGTTGGTGTTCCTCTAGACTTGGGACAGTGTTCTCGGGGCATCTCTGGAGTTGCCTGAAGGAAGGCGAGCCACCGGTCGTGTTGAACGGGGAACGGGGAATGGCTCTGGAATCAATGCAGGGGAATCGGGCCTCATCTCGAGTTGATTTGTGGCACATGGAGCTGCTTTGCGTTGCTGGGGTGACCTCAGGGTCCGTCTAGACTGGTGACAGTGTTCTTGGAGACTGTCTCGAGATCCATTAAGCAAGTCGAAGCTCCTGACTTGTTTGAATGGGATCACGGAATAGCTCTGCATGCACTGCAGGGGAATGGGGCCTCATCTCGCCTCTAGGGGGAAGTCTCATGGTTTTTCTCGAGTTGCGGCGGGGACCTGGGGTATGTTCTCGACTTACGGCGGGGATGGCCCTTCAAAACACGAGTTTCTTCCGTGACGTCAGGACTCCTGTCTAGTAACGAGGGACACCTCAGCAATCTCTTCGAGGCTTGGCAGGGCAAAAGGGACGCTTCTCGAGGTGAGCCAGGGCACCCAAGGACCCTTTCCAGTAGCCACAGGGATTTTGGGATTCCTATCAGTATTCAAGAGGAGTCAGGCATCGTCACCTTTCGAAGCAATGAACTCCGCGTGCCTCTCAAGGTGTCAGCGGGATGTGAGGATTCCGTCAAAATGAGGCAGGGACCTAGAGCTTTCTCTAAGGTCTCCACAGGGGATTCAGACTCCCTTCATGTTGTCAGATCAAAGACGAGCCTGTATTCAAGCCACTGCAAGGAAATCCGGCCTCCTTTCAAGTTAGGGCTTCTCGCTGTATATTCCCCTTGAGGCAGCAAACTCGGAGTCCCTCCCACATACCTATTGTTGAGAGAAGCCTCCTCCTGAGGTGCTTCTGGAAAGTTGGCATACGTCTTGAGCCTAAGCCAGGGATTCAGCTCTCATCTCGAGACGATTTGTGGTACACAGAGCATTCCTTGAGTTGCTGTGCTGAAATTGGTGTTCCTCTAGACTTGGGACAGTGTTCTCTGGGCATCTCTGGAGTTGCCTGAAGGAAGTCGAGCCACCGGTCGTGTTGAATGGGGAACGGGGAATGGCTCTGGAGTCAATGCAGGGGAATCGGGCCTCATCTCGAGTTGATTTGTGGCAACTGGAGCTGCTTTGCGTTGCTGGGGTGACCTCAGGGTCCGTCTAGACTGGTGACAGTGTTCTTGGGGACTGCCTGGAGATCCATTAAGCAAGTCGAAGCTCCTGACTTGTTTGAATGGGATCACGGAATAGCTCTGCATGCACTGCAGGGGAATGGGGCCTCATCTCGCCTCTAGGGGGAAGTCTCATGGTTTTTCTCGAGTTGCGGCGGGGCCCTGGGGTAAGTTCTCGACTTACGGCGGGGATGGCCCTTCAAAACACGAGTTTCTCCAGTGACGTCAGGACTCCTGCCTAGTAACGAGGGACACCTCAGGAATCTCTTCGAGGCTTGGCAGGGAAAAAGGGACGCTTCTCGAGGTGAGGCAGGGCACCCAAGGACCCTTTCCAGTAGCCACAGGGATTTTGGGATTCCTATCAGTATTCAAGAGGAGTCAGGCATCGTCACCTTTTGAAGCAATGAACTCCGCGTGCCTCTCGAGGTGTCAGCGGGATGTGAGGCATTCCGTCAAAATGAGGCAGGGACCTAGGGCTTTCTCTAAGGTCTCCACAGGGGATTCAGACATCCCTTCATGTTGTCAGATCAAAGACGAGCCTGTATTCAAGCCACTGCAAGGAAATCCGGCCTCCTTTCAAGTTAGGGCTTCTCGCTGTATATTCCCCTTGAGGCAGCAAACTCGGGGTCCCTCCCACATACCTATTGCTGAGAGAAGCCTCCTCCTGAGGTGCTTCTGGAAAGGTGGCATACGTCTTGAGCCTAAGCCAGGGAATCAGCTCTCATCTCGAGACGATTTGGGGTACACAGAGCATTCCTCGAGTTGCTGTGCTGAAGTTGGTGTTCCTCTAGACTTGGGACAGTGTTCTCGGGGCATCCCTGGAGTTGCCTGAAGGAAGTCGAGCCACCGGTCGTGTTGAATGGGGAACGGGGAATGGCTCTGGAGTCAATGCAGGGGAATCGGGCCTCATCTCGAGTTGATTTGGGGCACATGGAGCAGCTTTGCGTTGCTGGGGTGACCTCAGGGTCAGTCTAGACTGGTGACAGTGTTCTTGGGGACTGTCTCGAGATCCATTAAGCAAGTCGAAGCTCCTGACTTGTTTGAATGGGATCACGGAATAGCTCTGCATGCACTGCAGGGGAATGGGGCCTCATCTCGCCTCTAGGGGGAAGTCTCATGGTTTTTCTCGAGTTGCGGCGGGGACCTGGGGTATGTTCTCGACTTACGGCGGGGATGGCCCTTCAAAACACGAGTTTCTTCGGTGACGTCAGGATTCCTGTCTAGTAACGAGGGACACCTCAGCAATTTCTTCGAGGCTTGGCAGGGCAAAAGGGACGCTTCTCGAGGTGAGCCAGGACACCCAAGGACCCTTTCCAGTAGAAACAGGGATTTTGGGATTCCTATAAGTATTCAAGAGGAGTCAGGCATCGTCACCTTTTGAAGCAATGAACTCTGTGTGCCTCTCGAGGTGTCAGGGGGATGTGAGGTATTCCGTCAAAATGAGGCAGGGACCTAGGGCTTCCTCTAAGGTCTCCACAGGGGATTCAGACATCCCTTCATGTTTTCAGATCGAAGACGAGCCTTTATTCAACCCACTGCAAGGAAATCTGGCCTCCGTTCACGTTAGGGCTTCTCCTTGTGTATTCCCCTTGAGGCAGCAAACTCGGGGTCGCTCCCACATACCTATTGCTGAGAGAAGCCTCCTCCTGAGGTGCTTCTGGAAAGTTGGCATACGTCTTGAGCCTAAGCCAGAGAATCAGCTCTCATCTCGAGATGATTTGGGGTACACGGAGCATTCCTCGAGTTGCTGTGCTGAAGTTGGTGTTCCTCTAGACTTGGGGCAGTGTTCTCGGGGCATCTCTGGAGTTGCCTGAAGGAAGTCGAGCCACCGGTCGTGTGGAATGGGGAACAGGGAATGGCTCTGGAGTCAATGCAGGGGAATCGGGCCTCATCTCGAGTTGATTTGGAGCACATGGAGCAGCTTTGCGTTGCTGGGGTGACCTCAGGGTCCGTCTAGACTGGTGACAGTGTTCTTGGGGACTGTCTCGAGATCCATTAAGCAAGTCGAAGCTCCTGACTTGTTTGAATGGGATCACGGAATAGCTCTGCATGCACTGCAGGGGAATGGGGCCTCATCTCGCCTCTAGGGGGAAGTCTCATGGTTTTTCTCGAGTTGCGGCGGGGACCTGGGGTATGTTCTCGACTTACGGCGGGGATGGCCCTTCAAAACACGAGTTTCTTCAGTGACGTCAGGACTCCTGTCTAGTAACAAGGGACACCTCAGCAATCTCTTCGAGGCTTGGCAGGGCAAAAGGGACGCTTCTCGAGGTGAGCCAGGGCACCCAAGGACCCTTTCCAGTAGCCACAGGGATTTTGGGATTCCTATCAGTATTCAAGAGGAGTCAGGCATCGTCACCTTTTGAAGCAATGAACTCCGCGTGCCTCTCGAGGTGTCAGCGGGATGTGAGGATTCCGTCAAAATGAGGCAGTGACCTAGGGCTTTCTCTAAGGTCTCCACAGGGGATTCAGACAACCCTTCATGTTGTGAGATGAAAGACGAGCCTGTATTCAAGCCACTGCAAGGAAATCCGGCCTCCTTTCAAGTTAGGGCTTCTCGCTGTATATTCCCCTTGAGGCAGCAAACTCGGGGTCCCTCCCAAATACCTATTGCTGAGAGAAGCCTCCTCCTGAGGTGCTTCTGGAAAGTTGGCATACGTCTTGAGCCTAAGCCAGGGAATCAGCTCTCATCTCGAGACGATTTGGGGTACACAGAGCATTCCTCGAGTTGCTGTGCTGAAGTTGGTGGTCCTCTAGACTTGGGACAGTGTTCTCGGGGCATCTCTGGAGTTGCCTGAAGGAAGTCGAGCCACCGGTCGTGTTGAATGGGGAACAAGGAATGGCTCTGGAGTCAATGCAGGGGAATCCGTCCTCATCTCGAGTTGATTTGGGGCACATGGAGCTGCTTTGCATTGCTGGTTGACCTCAGGGTCCGTCTAGACTGGTGACAGTGTTCTTGGGGACTGTCTCGAGATCCATTAAGCAAGTCGAAGCTCCTGACTTGTTTGAATGGGATCACGGAATAGCTCTGCATGCACTGCAAGGGAATGGGGCCTCATCTCGCCTCTAGGGGGAAGTCTCATGGTTTTTCTCGAGTTGCGGCGGGAACCTGGGGTATGTTCACGACTTACGGCGGGGATGGCCCTTCAAAACACGAGTTTCTTCCGTGACGTCAGGACTCCTGTCTAGTAATGAGGGACACCTCAGCAATCTCTTCGAGGCTTGGCAGGGCAAAAGGGACGCTTCTCGAGGTGAGCCAGGGCACCCAAGGACCCTTTCCAGTAGCCACAGGGATTTTGGGATTCCTATCAGTATTCAAGAGGAGTCAGGCATCGTCACCTTTTGAAGCAATGAACTCCGCGTGCCTCTCGAGGTGTCAGCGGGATGTGAGGATTCCGTCAAAATGAGGCAGGGACCTAGGGCTTTCTCTAAGGTCTCCACAGGGGATTCAGACATCCCTTCATATTGTGAGATGAAAGACGAGCCTGTATTCAAGCCACTGCAAGGAAATCCGGCCTCCTTTCAAGTTAGGGCTTCTCGCTGTATATTCCCCTGAGGCAGCAAACTCGGAGTCCCTCCCACATACCTATTGCTGAGAGAAGCCTCCTCCTGAGGTGCTTCTGGAAAGTTGGCATACGTCTTGAGCCTAAGCCAGGGATTCAGCTCTCATCTCGAGACGATTTGTGGTACACAGAACATTCCTCGAGTTGCTGTGCTGAAGTTGGTGTTCCTCTAGACTTGGGACAGTGTTCTCTGGGCATCTCTGGAGTTGCCTGAAGGAAGTCGAGCCACCGGTCGTGTTGAATGGGGAACGGGGAATGGCTCTGGAGTCAATGCAGGGGAATCGGGCCTCATCTCGAGTTGATTTGTGGCACCTGGAGCTGCTTTGCGTTGCTGGCGTGACCTCAGGGTCCGTCTAGACTGGTGACAGTGTTCTTGGGGACTGCCTCGAGATCCGTTAAGCAAGTCGAAGCTCCTGACTTGTTTGAATGGGATCACGGAATAGCTCTGCATGCACTGCAGGGGAATGGGGCCTCATCTCGCCTCTAGGGGGAAGTCTCATGGTTTTTCTCGAGTTGCGGCGGGGACCTGGGGTATGTTCTCAACTTACGGCGGGGATGGCCCTTCAAAACACGACTTTCTTCAGTGACGTCAGGACTCCTGTCTAGTAACGAGGGACACCTCAGCAATCTCTTCGAGGCTTGGCAGGGCAAAAGGGACGCTTCTCGAGGTGAGCTAGGGCACCCAAGGACCCTTTCCAGTAGCCACAGGGATTTTGGGATTCCTATAAGTATTCAAGAGGAGTCAGGCATCGTCACCTTTTGAAGCAATGAACTCCGCGTGCCTCTCGAGGTGTCAGCGGGATGTGAGGATTCCGTCAAAATGAGGCAGGGACCTAGGGCTTTCTCTAAGGTCTCCACAGGGGATTCAGACATCCCTTCATGTTGTGAGATGAAAGACGAGCCTGTATTCAAGCCACTGCAAGGAAATCCGGCCTCCTTTCAAGTTAGGGCTTCTCGCTGTATATTCCCCTGAGGCAGCAAACTCGGAGTCCCTCCCACATACCTATTGCTGAGAGAAGCCTCCTCCTGAGGTGCTTCTGGAAAGTTGGCATACGTCTTGAGCCTAAGCCAGGGATTCAGCTCTCATCTCGAGACGATTTGTGGTACACAGAACATTCCTCGAGTTGCTGTGCTGAAGTTGGTGTTCCTCTAGACTTGGGACAGTGTTCTCTGGGCATCTCTGGAGTTGCCTGAAGGAAGTCGAGCCACCGGTCGTGTTGAATGGGGAACGGGGAATGGCTCTGGAGTCAATGCAGGGGAATCGGGCCTCATCTCGAGTTGATTTGTGGCACCTGGAGCTGCTTTGCGTTGCTGGCGTGACCTCAGGGTCCGTCTAGACTGGTGACAGTGTTCTTGGGGACTGCCTCGAGATCCGTTAAGCAAGTCGAAGCTCCTGACTTGTTTGAATGGGATCACGGAATAGCTCTGCATGCACTGCAGGGGAATGGGGCCTCATCTCGCCTCTAGGGGGAAGTCTCATGGTTTTTCTCGAGTTGCGGCGGGGAACTGGGGTATGTTCTCAACTTACGGCGGGGATGGCCCTTCAAAACACGACTTTCTTCAGTGACGTCAGGACTCCTGTCTAGTAACGAGGGACACCTCAGCAATCTCTTCGAGGCTTGGCAGGGCAAAAGGGACGCTTCTCGAGGTGAGCTAGGGCACCCAAGGACCCTTTCCAGTAGCCACAGGGATTTTGGGATTCCTATAAGTATTCAAGAGGAGTCAGGCATCGTCACCTTTTGAAGCAATGAACTCCGCGTGCCTCTCGAGGTGTCAGCGGGATGTGAGGCATTCCGTCAAAATGAGGCAGGGACCTAGGGCTTTCTCTAAGGTCTCCACAGGGGATTCAGACATCCCTTCATGTTGTGAAATGAAAGACGAGCCTGTATTCAAGCCACTGCAAGGAAATCCGGCCTCCTTTCAAGTTAGGGCTTCTCGCTGTATATTCCCCTTGAGGCAGCAAACTCGGGGTCCCTCCCACATACCTATTGCTGAGAGAAGCCTCCTCATGAGGTGCTTCTGGAAAGGTGGCATACGTCTTGAGCCTAAGCCAGGGAATCAGCTCTCATCTCGAGACGATTTGGGGTACACAGAGCATTCCTCGAGTTGCTGTGCTGAAGTTGGTGGTCCTCTAGACTTGGGACAGTGTTCTCGGGGCATATCTGGAGTTGCCTGAAGGAAGTCGAGCCACCGGTCGTGTTGAATGGGGAACAAGGAATGGCTCTGGAGTCAATGCAGGGGAATCCGGCCTCATCTCGAGTTGATTTGGGGCACATGGAGCTGCTTTGCATTGCTGGTTGACCTCAGGGTCCGTCTAGACTGGTGACAGTGTTCTTGGGGACTGTCTCGAGATCCATTAAGCAAGTCGAAGCTCCTGACTTGTTTGAATGGGATCACGGAATAGCTCTGCATGCACTGCAAGGGAATGGGGCCTCATCTCGCCTCTAGGGGGAAGTCTCATGGTTTTTCTCGAGTTGCGGCGGGAACCTGGGGTATGTTCACGACTTACGGCGGGGATGGCCCTTCAAAACACGAGTTTCTTCAGTGACGTCAGGACTCCTGTCTAGTAATGAGGGACACCTCAGCAATCTCTTCGAGGCTTGGCAGGGCAAAAGGGACGCTTCTCGAGGTGAGCCAGGGCACCCAAGGACCCTTTCCAGTAGCCACACGGATTTTGGGATTCCTATCAGTATTCAAGAGGAGTCAGGCATCGTCACCTTTTGAAGCAATGAACTCCGCGTGCCTCTCGAGGTGTCAGCGGGATGTGAGGATTCCGTCAAAATGAGGCAGGGACCTAGGGCTTTCTCTAAGGTCTCCACAGGGGATTCAGACATCCCTTCATGTTGTGAGATGAAAGACGAGCCTGTATTCAAGCCACTGCAAGGAAATCCGGCCTCCTTTCAAGTTAGGGCTTCTCGCTGTATATTCCCCTGAGGCAGCAAACTCGGAGTCCCTCCCACATACCTATTGCTGAGAGAAGCCTCCTCCTGAGGTGCTTCTGGAAAGTTGGCATACGTCTTGAGCCTAAGCCAGGGATTCAGCTCTCATCTCGAGACGATTTGTGGTACACAGAACATTCCTCGAGTTGCTGTGCTGAAGTTGGTGTTCCTCTAGACTTGGGACAGTGTTCTCTGGGCATCTCTGGAGTTGCCTGAAGGAAGTCGAGCCACCGGTCGTGTTGAATGGGGAACGGGGAATGGCTCTGGAGTCAATGCAGGGGAATCGGGCCTCATCTCGAGTTGATTTGTGGCACCTGGAGCTGCTTTGCGTTGCTGGCGTGACCTCAGGGTCCGTCTAGACTGGTGACAGTGTTCTTGGGGACTGCCTCGAGATCCGTTAAGCAAGTCGAAGCTCCTGACTTGTTTGAATGGGATCACGGAATAGCTCTGCATGCACTGCAGGGGAATGGGGCCTCATCTCGCCTCTAGGGGGAAGTCTCATGGTTTTTCTCGAGTTGCGGCGGGGAACTGGGGTATGTTCTCAACTTACGGCGGGGATGGCCCTTCAAAACACGACTTTCTTCAGTGACGTCAGGACTCCTGTCTAGTAACGAGGGACACCTCAGCAATCTCTTCGAGGCTTGGCAGGGCAAAAGGGACGCTTCTCGAGGTGAGCTAGGGCACCCAAGGACCCTTTCCAGTAGCCACAGGGATTTTGGGATTCCTATAAGTATTCAAGAGGAGTCAGGCATCGTCACCTTTTGAAGCAATGAACTCCGCGTGCCTCTCGAGGTGTCAGTGGGATGTGAGGATTCCGTCAAAATGAGGCAGGGACCTAGGGCTTTCTCTAAGGTCTCCACAGGGGATTCAGACATCCCTTCATGTTGTGAAATGAAAGACGAGCCTGTATTCAAGCCACTGCAAGGAAATCCGGCCTCCTTTCAAGTTAGGGCTTCTCGCTGTATATTCCCCTTGAGGCAGCAAACTCGGGGTCCCTCCCACATAACTATTGCTGAGAGAAGCCTCCTCATGAGGTGCTTCTGGAAAGGTGGCATACGTCTTGAGCCTAAGCCAGGGAATCAGCTCTCATCTCGAGACGATTTGGGGTACACAGAGCATTCCTCGAGTTGCTGTGCTGAAGTTGGTGGTCCTCTAGACTTGGGACAGTGTTCTCGGGGCATATCTGGAGTTGCCTGAAGGAAGTCGAGCCACCGGTCGTGTTGAATGGGGAACAAGGAATGGCTCTGGAGTCAATGCAGGGGAATCCGGCCTCATCTCGAGTTGATTTGGGGCACATGGAGCTGCTTTGCATTCCTGGGTGACCTCAGGCTCCGTCTAGACTGGTGACAGTGTTCTTGGGGACTGCCTCGAGATCCATTAAGCAAGTCGAAGCTCCTGACTTGTTTGAATGGGATCACGGAATAGCTCTGCATGCACTGCAGGGGAATGGGGCCTCATCTCGCCTCTAGGGGGAAGTCTCATGGTTTTTCTCGAGTTGCGGCGGGGACCTGGGGTATGTTCTCGACTTACGGCGGGGATGGCCCTTGAAAACACGAGTTTCTTCAGTGAGGTCAGGACTCCTGTCTAGTAACGAGGGACACCTCAGCAATCTCTTCGAGGCTTGGAAGGGCAAAAGGGACGCTTCTCGAGGTGAGCCAGGGCACCCAAGGACCCTTTCCAGTAGCCACAGGGATTTGGGGATTCCTATAAGTATTCAAGAGGAGTCAGGCATCGTCACCTTTTGAAGCAATGAACTCCGCGTGCCTCTCGAGGTGTCAGCGGGATGTGAGGATTCCGTCAAAATGAGGCAGGGACCTAGGGCTTTCTCTAAGGTCTCCACAGGGGATTCAGACATCCCTTCATGTTGTGAGATGAAAAACAAACCTGTTTCAAGCTACTGCAAGGAAATCCGGCCTCCTTTCAAGTTAGGGCTTCTCGCTGTATATTCCCCTTGAGGCAGCAAACTAGGAGTCCCTCCCACATACCTATTGCTGAGAAGCCTCCTCCTGAGGTGCTTCTGGAAAGTTGGCATACGTCTTGAGCCTAAGCCAGGGAATCAGCTCTCATCTCGAGACGATTTGGGGTACACAGAGCATTCCTCGAGTTGCTGTGCTGAAGTTGGTGGTCCTCTAGACTTGAGACAGTGTTCTCGGGGCATCTCTGGAGTTGCCTGAAGGAAGGCGAGCCACCGGTCGTGTTGAATGGGGAACGGGGAATGGCTCTGGAGTCAATGCAGGGGAATCGGGCCTCATCTCGAGTTGATTTGGGGCACATGGAGCAGCTTTGCGTTGCTGGGGTGACCTCAGGTTCCGTCTAGACTGGTGACAGTGTTCTTGGGGACTGTCTCGAGACCATTAAGCACGTCGAAGCTCCTGACTTGTTTGAATGGGATCACGGAATAGCTCTGCATGCACTGCAGGGGAATGGGGCCTCATCTCGCCTCTAGGGGGAAGTCTCATGGTTTTTCTCGAGTTGCGGCGGGGACCTGGGGTATGTTCTCGACTTACGGCGGGGATGGCCCTTCAAAACACGAGTTTCTTCAGTGACGTCAGGACTCCTGTCTAGTAACGAGGGACACCTCAGGAATCTCTTCGAGGCTTGGCAGGGCAAAAGGGACGCTTCTCGAAGTGAGGCAGGGCACCCAAGGAACCATTCCAGTAGCCACAGGGATTTTGGGATTCCTATCAGTATTCAAGAGGAGTCAAGCATCGTCACCTTTTGAAGCAATGAACTCCGCGTGCCTCTCGAGGTGTCAGCGGGATGTGAGGCATTCCGTCAAAATGAGGCAGGGACCTAGGGCTTTCTCTAAGGTCTCCACAGGGGATTCAGACATCCCTTCATGTTGTGAGATGAAAGACATGCCTGTATTCAAGCTACTGCAAGGAAATCCGGCCTCCTTTCAAGCTAGGGCTTCTCGCTGTATATTCCCCTTGAGGCAGCAAACTCGGAGTCCCTCCCACATACCTATTGCTGAGAAGCCTCCTCCTGAGGTGCTTCTGGAAAGTTGGCATAAGTCTTGAGCCTAAGCCAGGGAATCAGCTCTCATCTCGAGACGATTTGGGGTACACAGAGCATTCCTCGAGTTGCTGTGCTGAAGTTGGTGTTCCTCTAGACTTGGGACAGTGTTCTCGGGGCATCTCTGGAGTTGCCTGAAGGAAACCGAGCCACCGGTCCTGTTGAATGGGGAACGGGGAATGGCTCTGGAGTCAATGCAGGGGAATCGGGCCTCATCTCGAGTTGATTTGTGGCACATGGAGCTGCTTTGCGTTGCTGGGGTGACCTCAGGGTCCGTCTAGACTGGTGACAGTGTTCTTGGTTACTGTCTCGAGATCCATTAAGCAAGTCGAAGCTCCTGACTTGTTTGAATGGGATCACGGAATAGCTCTGCATGCACTGCAGGGGAATGGGGCCTCATCTCGCCTCTAGGGGGAAGTCTCATGGTTTTTCTCGAGTTGCGGCGGGGACCTGGGGTATGTTCTCGACTTACGGCGGGGATGGCCCTTCAAAACACGAGTTTCTTCCGTGACGTCAGGACTCCTGTCTAGTAACGAGGGACACCTCAGCAATCACTTCGAGGCTTGGCAGGGCAAAAGGGACGCTTATCGAGGTGAGCCAGGGCACCCAAGGACACTTTCCAGTAGCCACAGGGATTTTGAGATTCCTATCAGTATTCAAGAGGAGTCAGGCATCGTCACCTTTTGAAGCAATGAACTCCGCGTGCCTCTCGAGGTGTCAGCGGGATGTGAGGATTCCGTCAAAATGAGGCAGGGACCTAGGGCTTTCTCTAAGGTCTCCACAGGGGATTCAGACATCCCTTCAGGTTGTGAGATGAAAGACGAGCCTGTATTCAAGCCACTGCAAGGAAATCCGGCCTCCTTTCAAGTTAGGGCTTCTCGCTGTATATTCCCCTTGAGGCAGCAAACTCGGAGTCCCTCCCACATACCTATTGCTGAGAGAATCCTCCTCCTGAGGTGCTTCTGGAAAGTTGGCATACGCCTTGAGCCTAAGCCAGGGATTCAGCTCTCATCTCGAGACGATTTGGGGAACACAGAGCATTCCTCGAGTTGCTGTGCTGAAGTTGGTGTTCCTCTAGACTTGGGACAGTGTTCTCTGGGCATCTCTAGAGTTGCCTGAAGGAAGTCGAGCCACCGGTCGTGTTGAATGGGGAACAGGGAATGGCTCTGGAGTCAATGCAGGGGAATCCGGCCTCATCTCGAGTTGATTTGGGGCACATGGAGCTGCTTTGCATTGCTGAGGTGACCTCAGGGTCTGTCTAGACTGGTGACAGTGTTCTTGGGGACTGTCTCGAGATCCATTAAGCAAATCGAAGCTCCTGACTTGTTTGAATGGGATCACGGAATAGCTCTGCATGCACTGCAGGGGAATGGGGCCTCATCTCGCCTCTAGGGGGAAGTCTCATGGTTTTTCTCGAGTTGCGGCGGGAACCTGGGGTATGTTCTCGACTTACGGCGGGGATGGCCCTTCAAAACACGAGTTTCTTCAGTGACGTCAGGACTCCTGTCTAGTAATGAGGGACACCTCAGGAATCTCTTCGAGGCTTGGCAGGGCAAAAGGGACGCCTCTCGAGGTGAGCCAGGGCACCCAATGACCCTTTCCAGTAGCCACAGGGATTTTGGGATTCCTATAAGTATTCAAGTGGAATCAGGCATCGTCACCTTTTCAAGCAGTGATCTCTGCGTGCCTCTCGAGGTGTCAGGGGGATGTGAGGTATTCCGTCAAAATGAGGCAGGGACCTCGGGCTTCCTCTAAGGACTCCACAGGGGATTCAGGCATCCCTTCATGTTGTCAGATCAAAGACGAGCCTGTATTCAAGCCACTGCAAGGAAATCTGGCCTCCGTTCACATTAGGGCTTCTCCCTGTGTATTCACCTTGAGGCAGCAAACTCGGGGTCCCTCCCACATACCTATTGCTGAGAGAAGCCTCCTCCTGAGGTGCTTCTGGAAAGTTGGCATACGTCTTGAGCCTAAGCCAGGGAATCAGCTCTCATCTCAAGATGATTTGGGGTACACGGAGCATTCCTCGAGTTGCTGTGCTGAAGTTGGTGTTCCTCTAGACTTGGGACAGTGTTCTCGGGGCATCTCTGGAGTTGCCTGAAGGAAATCGAGCCACCTGTCGTGTTGAATGGGGAACGGGGAATGGCTCTGGAGTCAATGCAGGGGAATCGGGCCTCATCTCGAGTTGATTTGGGGCACATGGAGCAGCTTTGCGTTGCTGGGGTGACCTCAGGGTCCATCTAGACTGGTGACAGTGTTCTTGGGGACTGTCTCGAGATCCATTAAGCAAGTCGAAGCTCCTGACTTGTTTGAATGGGATCACGGAATAGCTCTGCATGCACTGCAGGGGAATGGGGCCTCATCTCGCCTCTAGGGGGAAGTCTCATGGTTTTTCTCGAGTTGCGGCGGGGACCTGGGGTATGTTCTCGACTTACGGCGGGGATGGCCCTTCAAAACACGAGTTTCTTCAGTGACGTCAGGACTCCTGTCTAGTAACGAGGGACAAGTCAGCAATCTCTTCGAGGCTTGGCAGGGCAAAAGGGACCCTTATCGAGGTGAGGCAGGGCACCCAAGGCCCCTTTCCAGGAGCCACAGGGATTTTGGGATTCCTATCAGTATTCAAGAGGAGTCAGGCATCGTCACCTTTTGAAGCAATGAACTCCGCGTGCCTCTCGAGGTGTCAGCGGGATGTGAGGCATTCCGTCAAAATGAGGCAGGGACCTAGGGCTTTCTCTAAGGTCTCCACAGGGGATTCAGACATCCCTTCATGTTGTGAGATGAAAGACGAGCCTGTATTCAAGCCACTGCAAGGAAATCCGGCCTGCTTTCAAGTTAGGGCTTCTCGCTGTATATTCCCCTTGAGGCAGCAAACTCGGGGTCCCTCCCACATACCTATTGCTGAGAGAAGCCTCCTCCTGAGGTGCTTCTGGAAAGTTGGCATACGTCTTGAGCCTAAGCCAGGGAATCAGCTCTCATCTCGAGACGATTTGGGGTACACAGAGCATTCCTCGAGTTGCTGTGCTGAAGTTGGTGGTCCTCTAGACTTGGGACAGTGTTCTCGGGGCATCTCTGGAGTTGCCTGAAGGAAGTCGAGCCACCGGTCGTGTTGAATTGGGAACGGGGAATGGCTCTGGAGTCAATGCGGCGGAATACGGCCTCATCTCGAGTTGATTTGGGGCACATGGAGCTGCTTTGCATTGCTGAGTGACCTTATGGTCCGTCTAGACTGGTGACAGTGTTCTTGGGGACTGTCTCGAGATCCATTAAGCAAGTCGAAGCTCCTGACTTGTTTGAATGGGATCACGGAATAGCTCTGCATGCACTGCAGGGGAATGGGGCCTCATCTCGCCTCTAGGGGGAAGTCTCATGGTTTTTCTCGAGTTGCGGCGGGGACCTGGGGTATGTTCTCGACTTACGGCGGGGATGGCCCTTCAAAACACGAGTTTCTTCAGTGACGTCAGGACTCCTGTCTAGTAATGAGGGACACCTCAGCAATCTCTTCGAGGCTTGGCAGGGCAAAAGGGACGCTTCTCGAGGTGAGCCAGGGCACCCAAGGACCCTTTCCAGTAGCCACAGGGATTTTGGGATTCCTATAAGTATTCAAGAGGAGTCAGGCATCGTCACCTTTTGAAGCAATGAACTCTGCGTGCCTCTCGAGGTGTCAGGGGGATGTGAGGTATTCCGTCAAAATGAGGCAGGGACCTAGGGCTTCCTCTAAGGTCTCCACAGGGGATTCAGAAATCCCTTCATGTTGTCAGATCAAAGACGAGCCTGTATTCAAGCCACTGCAAGGAAATCTGGCCTCCGTTCACATTAGGGCTTCTCCCTGTGTATTCCCCTTGAGGCAGCAAACTCGGGGTCCCTCCCACATACCTATTGCTGAGAGAAGCCTCCTCCTGCGGTGCTTCTGGAAAGTTGGCATACGTCTTGAGCCTAAGCCAGGGAATCAGCTCTCATCTCGAGATGATTTGGGGTACACGGAGCATTCCTCTGGTTGCTGTGCTGAAATTGGTGCTCCTCTAGACTTGGGACAGTGTTCTCGGGGCATCTCTGGAGTTGGCTGAAGGAAGTCGAGCCACCGGTCGTGTTGAATGGGGAACGGGGAATGGCTCTGGAGTCAATGCAGGGGAATCGGGCCTCATCTCGAGTTGATTTGGGGCACATGGAGCAGCTTTGCGTTGCTGGGGTGACCTCAGGTTCCGTCTAGACTGGTGACAGTGTTCTTGGGGACTGTCTCGAGACCATTAAGCACGTCGAAGCTCCTGACTTGTTTGAATGGGATCACGGAATAGCTCTGCATGCACTGCAGGGGAATGGGGCCTCATCTCGCCTCTAGGGGGAAGTCTCATGGTTTTTCTCGAGTTGCGGCGGGGACCTGGGGTATGTTCTCGACTTACGGCGGGGATGGCCCTTCAAAACACGAGTTTCTTCAGTGACGTCAGGACTCCTGTCTAGTAACGAGGGACACCTCAGGAATCTCTTCGAGGCTTGGCAGGGCAAAAGGGACGCTTCTCGAAGTGAGGCAGGGCACCCAAGGAACCATTCCAGTAGCCACAGGGATTTTGGGATTCCTATCAGTATTCAAGAGGAGTCAAGCATCGTCACCTTTTGAAGCAATGAACTCCGCGTGCCTCTCGAGGTGTCAGCGGGATGTGAGGCATTCCGTCAAAATGAGGCAGGGACCTAGGGCTTTCTCTAAGGTCTCCACAGGGGATTCAGACATCCCTTCATGTTGTGAGATGAAAGACATGCCTGTATTCAAGCTACTGCAAGGAAATCCGGCCTCCTTTCAAGCTAGGGCTTCTCGCTGTATATTCCCCTTGAGGCAGCAAACTCGGAGTCCCTCCCACATACCTATTGCTGAGAAGCCTCCTCCTGAGGTGCTTCTGGAAAGTTGGCATAAGTCTTGAGCCTAAGCCAGGGAATCAGCTCTCATCTCGAGACGATTTGGGGTACACAGAGCATTCCTCGAGTTGCTGTGCTGAAGTTGGTGTTCCTCTAGACTTGGGACAGTGTTCTCGGGGCATCTCTGGAGTTGCCTGAAGGAAACCGAGCCACCGGTCCTGTTGAATGGGGAACGGGGAATGGCTCTGGAGTCAATGCAGGGGAATCGGGCCTCATCTCGAGTTGATTTGTGGCACATGGAGCTGCTTTGCGTTGCTGGGGTGACCTCAGGGTCCGTCTAGACTGGTGACAGTGTTCTTGGTTACTGTCTCGAGATCCATTAAGCAAGTCGAAGCTCCTGACTTGTTTGAATGGGATCACGGAATAGCTCTGCATGCACTGCAGGGGAATGGGGCCTCATCTCGCCTCTAGGGGGAAGTCTCATGGTTTTTCTCGAGTTGCGGCGGGGACCTGGGGTATGTTCTCGACTTACGGCGGGGATGGCCCTTCAAAACACGAGTTTCTTCCGTGACGTCAGGACTCCTGTCTAGTAACGAGGGACACCTCAGCAATCACTTCGAGGCTTGGCAGGGCAAAAGGGACGCTTATCGAGGTGAGCCAGGGCACCCAAGGACACTTTCCAGTAGCCACAGGGATTTTGAGATTCCTATCAGTATTCAAGAGGAGTCAGGCATCGTCACCTTTTGAAGCAATGAACTCCGCGTGCCTCTCGAGGTGTCAGCGGGATGTGAGGATTCCGTCAAAATGAGGCAGGGACCTAGGGCTTTCTCTAAGGTCTCCACAGGGGATTCAGACATCCCTTCAGGTTGTGAGATGAAAGACGAGCCTGTATTCAAGCCACTGCAAGGAAATCCGGCCTCCTTTCAAGTTAGGGCTTCTCGCTGTATATTCCCCTTGAGGCAGCAAACTCGGAGTCCCTCCCACATACCTATTGCTGAGAGAATCCTCCTCCTGAGGTGCTTCTGGAAAGTTGGCATACGCCTTGAGCCTAAGCCAGGGATTCAGCTCTCATCTCGAGACGATTTGGGGAACACAGAGCATTCCTCGAGTTGCTGTGCTGAAGTTGGTGTTCCTCTAGACTTGGGACAGTGTTCTCTGGGCATCTCTAGAGTTGCCTGAAGGAAGTCGAGCCACCGGTCGTGTTGAATGGGGAACAGGGAATGGCTCTGGAGTCAATGCAGGGGAATCCGGCCTCATCTCGAGTTGATTTGGGGCACATGGAGCTGCTTTGCATTGCTGAGGTGACCTCAGGGTCCGTCTAGACTGGTGACAGTGTTCTTGGGGACTGTCTCGAGATCCATTAAGCAAATCGAAGCTCCTGACTTGTTTGAATGGGATCACGGAATAGCTCTGCATGCACTGCAGGGGAATGGGGCCTCATCTCGCCTCTAGGGGGAAGTCTCATGGTTTTTCTCGAGTTGCGGCGGGAACCTGGGGTATGTTCTCGACTTACGGCGGGGATGGCCCTTCAAAACACGAGTTTCTTCAGTGACGTCAGGACTCCTGTCTAGTAATGAGGGACACCTCAGGAATCTCTTCGAGGCTTGGCAGGGCAAAAGGGACGCCTCTCGAGGTGAGCCAGGGCACCCAATGACCCTTTCCAGTAGCCACAGGGATTTTGGGATTCCTATAAGTATTCAAGTGGAATCAGGCATCGTCACCTTTTCAAGCAGTGATCTCTGCGTGCCTCTCGAGGTGTCAGGGGGATGTGAGGTATTCCGTCAAAATGAGGCAGGGACCTCGGGCTTCCTCTAAGGACTCCACAGGGGATTCAGGCATCCCTTCATGTTGTCAGATCAAAGACGAGCCTGTATTCAAGCAACTGCAAGGAAATCTGGCCTCCGTTCACATTAGGGCTTCTCCCTGTGTATTCACCTTGAGGCAGCAAACTCGGGGTCCCTCCCACATACCTATTGCTGAGAGAAGCCTCCTCCTGAGGTGCTTCTGGAAAGTTGGCATACGTCTTGAGCCTAAGCCAGGGAATCAGCTCTCATCTCAAGATGATTTGGGGTACACGGAGCATTCCTCGAGTTGCTGTGCTGAAGTTGGTGTTCCTCTAGACTTGGGACAGTGTTCTCGGGGCATCTCTGGAGTTGCCTGAAGGAAATCGAGCCACCTGTCGTGTTGAATGGGGAACGGGGAATGGCTCTGGAGTCAATGCAGGGGAATCGGGCCTCATCTCGAGTTGATTTGGGGCACATGGAGCAGCTTTGCGTTGCTGGGGTGACCTCAGGGTCCATCTAGACTGGTGACAGTGTTCTTGGGGACTGTCTCGAGATCCATTAAGCAAGTCGAAGCTCCTGACTTGTTTGAATGGGATCACGGAATAGCTCTGCATGCACTGCAGGGGAATGGGGCCTCATCTCGCCTCTAGGGGGAAGTCTCATGGTTTTTCTCGAGTTGCGGCGGGGACCTGGGGTATGTTCTCGACTTACGGCGGGGATGGCCCTTCAAAACACGAGTTTCTTCAGTGACGTCAGGACTCCTGTCTAGTAACGAGGGACACCTCAGCAATCTCTTCGAGGCTTGGCAGGGCAAAAGGGACCCTTATCGAGGTGAGGCAGGGCACCCAAGGCCCCTTTCCAGGAGCCACAGGGATTTTGGGATTCCTATCAGTATTCAAGAGGAGTCAGGCATCGTCACCTTTTGAAGCAATGAACTCCGCGTGCCTCTCGAGGTGTCAGCGGGATGTGAGGCATTCCGTCAAAATGAGGCAGGGACCTAGGGCTTTCTCTAAGGTCTCCACAGGGGATTCAGACATCCCTTCATGTTGTGAGATGAAAGACGAGCCTGTATTCAAGCCACTGCAAGGAAATCCGGCCTGCTTTCAAGTTAGGGCTTCTCGCTGTATATTCCCCTTGAGGCAGCAAACTCGGGGTCCCTCCCACATACCTATTGCTGAGAGAAGCCTCCTCCTGAGGTGCTTCTGGAAAGTTGGCATACGTCTTGAGCCTAAGCCAGGGAATCAGCTCTCATCTCGAGACGATTTGGGGTACACAGAGCATTCCTCGAGTTGCTGTGCTGAAGTTGGTGGTCCTCTAGACTTGGGACAGTGTTCTCGGGGCATCTCTGGAGTTGCCTGAAGGAAGTCGAGCCACCGGTCGTGTTGAATTGGGAACGGGGAATGGCTCTGGAGTCAATGCGGCGGAATACGGCCTCATCTCGAGTTGATTTGGGGCACATGGAGCTGCTTTGCATTGCTGAGTGACCTTATGGTCCGTCTAGACTGGTGACAGTGTTCTTGGGGACTGTCTCGAGATCCATTAAGCAAGTCGAAGCTCCTGACTTGTTTGAATGGGATCACGGAATAGCTCTGCATGCACTGCAGGGGAATGGGGCCTCATCTCGCCTCTAGGGGGAAGTCTCACGGTTTTTCTCGAGTTGCGGCGGGGCCCTGGGGTATGTTCTCGACTTAGCGGGGATGGCACTTCAAAACACGAGTTTCTCCAGTGACGTCAGGACTCCTGCCTAGTAACGAGGGACACCTCAGGAATCTCTTCGAGGCTTGGCAGGGCAAAAGGGACGCTTCTCGAGGTGAGGCAGGGCACCGAAAGACCCTTTCCAGTAGCCACAGCGATTTTGGGATTCCTATCAGTATTCAAGAGGAGTCAGGCATCGTCACCTTTTGAAGCAATGAACTCCGCGTGCCTCTCCAGGTGTCAGCGGGATGTGAGGCATTCAGTCAAAATGAGGCAGGGACCTAGGGCTTCCTCTAAGGTCTCCACAGGGGATTCAGAAATCCCTTCATGTTGTCAGATCAAAGACGAGCCTGTATTCAAGCCACTGCAAGGAAATCTGGCCTCCGTTCACATTAGGGCTTCTCCCTGTGTATTCCCCTTGAGGCAGCAAACTCGGGGTCCCTCCCACATACCTATTGCTGAGAGAAGCCTTCTCCTGCGGTGCTTCTGGAAAGTTGGCTTACGTCTTGAGCCTAAGCCAGGGAATCAGCTCTCATCTCGAGATGATTTGGGGTACACGGAGCATTCCTCTGGTTGCTGTGCTGAAACTGGTGCTCCTCTAGACTTGGGACAGTGTTCTCGGGGCATCTCTGGAGTTGGCTGAAGGAAGTCGAGCCACCGGTCGTGTTGAATGGGGAACGGGGAATGGCTCTGGAGACAATGCAGGGGAATCGGGCTTCATCTCGAGTTGATTTGGGGCACATGGAGCAGCTTTGCGTTGCTGGGGTGACCTCAGGGTCCGTCTAGACTGGTGACAGTGTTCTTGGGGACTGTCTCGAGATCCATTAAGCAAGTCGAAGCTCCTGACTTGTTTGAATGGGATCACGGAATAGCTCTGCATGCACTGCAGGGGAATGGGGCCTCATCTCGCCTCTAGGGGGAAGTCTCATGGTTTTTCTCGAGTTGCGGCGGGGACCTGGGGTATGTTCTCGACTTACGGCGGGGATGGCCCTTCAAAACACGAGTTTCTTCCGTGACGTCAGGACTCCTGTCTAGTAACGAGGGACACCTCAGCAATCACTTCGAGGCTTGGCAGGGCAAAAGGGACGCTTCTCGAGGTGAGCCAGGGCACCCAAGGACACTTTCCAGTAGCCACAGGGATTTTGGGATTCCTATCAGTATTCAAGAGGAGTCAGGCATCGTCACCTTTTGAAGCAATGAACTCCGCGTGCCTCTCGAGGTGTCAGCGGGATGTGAGGATTCCGTCAAAATGAGGCAGGGACCTAGGGCTTTCTCTAAGGTCTCCACAGGGGATTCAGACATTCCTTCAGGTTGTGACATGAAAGACGAGCCTGTATTCAAGCCACTGCAAGGAAATCCGGCCTCCTTTCAAGTTAGGGCTTCTCGCAGTATATTCCCCTTGAGGCAGCAAACTCGGAGTCCCTCCCACATACCTATTGCTGAGAGAATCCTCCTCCTGAGGTGCTTCTGGAAAGTTGGCATACGCCTTGAGCCTAAGCCAGGGATTCAGCTCTCATCTCGAGACGATTTGGGGAACACAGAGCATTCCTCGAGTTGCTGTGCTGAAGTTGGTGTTCCTCTAGACTTGGGACAGTGTTCTCTGGGCATCTCTGGAGTTGCCTGAAGGAAGTCGAGCCACCGGTCGTGTTGAATGGGGAACAGGGAATGGCTCTGGAGTCAATGCAGGGGAATCCGGCCTCATCTCGAGTTGATTTGGGGCACATGGAGCTGCTTTGCATTGCTGGTTGACCTCAGGGTCCGTCTAGACTGGTGACAGTGTTCTTGGGGACTGTCTCGAGATCCATTAAGCAAGTCGAAGCTCCTGACTTGTTTGAATGGGATCACGGAATAGCTCTGCATGCACTGCAGGGGAATGGGGCCTCATCTCGCCTCTAGGGGGAAGTCTCATGGTTTTTCTCGAGTTGCGGCGGGAACCTGGGGTATGTTCTCGACTTACGGCGGGGATGGCCCTTCAAAACACGAGTTTCTTCAGTGACGTCAGGACTCCTGTCTAGTAATGAGGGACACCTCAGGAATCTCTTCGAGGCTTGGCAGGGCAAAAGGGACGCCTCTCGAGGTGAGCCAGGGCACCCAAGGACCCTTTCCAGTAGCCACAGGGATTTTGGGATTCCTATAAGTATTCAAGTGGAATCAGGCATCGTCACCTTTTCAAGCAGTGATCTCTGCGTGCCTCTCGAGGTGTCAGGGGGATGTGAGGTATTCCGTCAAAATGAGGCAGGGACCTAGGGCTTCCTCTAAGGACTCCACAGGGGATTCAGGCATCCCTTCATGTTGTCAGATCAAAGACGAGCCTGTATTCAAGCCACTGCAAGGAAATCTGGCCTCCGTTCACATTAGGGCTTCTCCCTGTGTATTCCCCTTGAGGCAGCAAACTCGGGGTCCCTCCCACATACCTATTGCTGAGAGAAGCCTCCTCCTGAGGTGCTTCTGGAAAGTTGGCATACGTCTTGAGCCTAAGCCAGGGAATCAGCTCTCATCTCGAGATGATTTGGGGTACACGGAGCATTCCTCGAGTTGCTGTGCTGAAGTTGGTGTTCCTCTAGACTTGGGACAGTGTTCTCGGGGCATCTCTGGAGTTGCCTGAAGGAAGGCGAGCCACCGGTCGTGTTGAATGGGGAACGGGGAATGGCTCTGGAGTCAATGCAGGGGAATCGGGCCTCATCTCGAGTTGATTTGGGGCACATGGAGCTGCTTTGCATTGCTGGGTGACCTCAGGGTCCGTCTAGACTGGTGACAGTGTTCTTGGGGACTGTCTCGAGATCCATTAACCAAGTCGAAGCTCCTGACTTGTTTGAATGGGATCACGGAATAGCTCTGCATGCACTGCAGGGGAATGGGGCCTCATCTCGCCTCTAGCGGGAAGTCTCACGGTTTTTCTCGAGTTGCGGCGGGGACCTGGGGTATGTTCTCGACTTACGGCGGGGATGGCCCTTCAAAACACGAGTTTCTCCAATGACGTCAGGACTCCTGCCTAGTAACGAGGGACACCTCAGCAATCTCTTCGAGGCTTGGCAGGGCAAAAGGGACGCTTCTCGAGGTGAGCCAGGGCACCCAAGGACCCTTTCCAGAAGCCACAGGGATTTTGGGATTCCTATCAGTATTCAAGAGGAGTCAGGCATCGTCACCTTTTGAAGCAATGAACTCCGCGTGCCTCTCGAGGTGTCAGCGGGATGTGAGGATTCCGTCAAAATAAGGCAGGGACCTAGGGATTTCTCTAAGGTCTCCACAGCGGATTCAGACATCCCTTCATGTTGTGAGATGAAAGACGAGCCTGTATTCAAGCCACTGCAAGGAAATCCGGCCTCCTTTCAAGTTAGGGCTTCTCGCTGTATATTCCCCTTGAGGCAGCAAACTCGGGGTCCCTCCCACATACCTATTGCTGAGAGAAGCCTCCTCCTGAGGTGCTTCTGGAAAGTTGGCATACGTCTTGAGCCTAAGCCAGGGAATCAGCTCTCATCTCGAGACGATTTGGCATACACAGAGCATTCCTCGAGTTGCTGTGCTGAAGTTGGTGGTCCTCTAGGCTTGGGACAGTGTTCTCGGGGCATCTCTGGAGTTGCCTGAAGGAAGTCGATCCACCGGTCCTGTTGAATGGGGAACAGGGAATGGCTCTGGAGTCAATGCAGGGGAATCCGGCCTCATCTCGAGTTGATTTGGGGCACATGGAGATGCTTTGCATTGCTGGGTGACCTCAGGGTCCATCTAGACTGGTGACAGTGTTCTTGGGGACTGTCTCGAGATCCATTAAGCAAGTCGAAGCTCCTGACTTGTTTGAATGGGATCACGGAATAGCTCTGCATGCACTGCAGGGGAATGGGGCCTCATCTCGCCTCTAGGGGGAAGTCTCACGGTTTTTCTCGAGTTGCGGTGGGGACCTGGGGTATGTTCTCGACTTACGGCGGGGATGGCCCTGCAAAACACGAGTTTCTTCAGTGACGTCAGGACTCCTGTCTAGTAACGAGGGACACCTCAGCAATCTCTTCGAGGCTTGGCAGGGCAAAAGGGACGCTTCTCGAGGTTAGCCAGGGCACCCAAGGACCCTTTCCAGTAGCCACAGGGATTTTGGGATTCCTATCAGTATTCAAGAGGAGTCAGGCATCGTCACCGTTTGAAGCAATGAACTCTGCGTGTCTCTCGAAGTGTCAGGGGGATGTGAGGTATTCCGTCAAAATGAGGCAGGGACCTAGGGCTTCCTCTAAGGTCTCCACAGGGGATTCAGACAACCCTTCATGTTGTCAGACCAAAGACGAGCCTGTATTCAAGCCACCGCAAGGAAATCTGGCCTCCGTTCACATTAGGGCTTCTCCCTGTGTATTCTCCTTGAGGCAGCAAACTCGGGGTCCCTCCCACATACCTATTGCTGAGAGAAGCCTCCTCCTGAGGTGCTTCTGGAAAGTTGGCATACGTCTTGAGCCTAAGCCAGGGAATCAGCTCTCATCTCGAGATGATTTGGGGTACACGGAGCACTCCTCGAGTTGCTGTGCTGAAGTTGGTGTTCCTCTAGACATGGGACAGTGTTCTCGGGGCATCTCTGGAGTTGCCTGAAGGAAGTCGAGCCACCGGTCATGTTGAATGGGGAACGGGGAATGTCTCTGGAGTCAATGCAGGGGAATCCGGCCTCATCTCGAGTTGATTTGGGGTACATGGAGCTGCTTTGCATTGCTGTGTGACCTCAGGGTCCGTCTAGACTGGTGACAGTGTTCTTGGGGACTGTCTCGAGATCCATTAAGCAAGTCGAAGCTCCTGACTTGTTTGAATGGGATCACGGAATAGCTCTGCATGCACTGCAGGGGAATGGGGCCTCATCTCGCCTCTAGGGGGAAGTCTCACGGTTTTTCTCGCGTTGCGGCGGGGACCTGGGGTATGTTCTCGACTTACGGCGGGGATGGCCCCTCAAAACACGAGTTTCTCCAGTGACGTCAGGACTCCTGCCTAGTAACGAGGGACACCTCAGCAATCTCTTCGAGGCTTGGCAGGGCAAAAGGGACGCTTCTCGAGGTGAGGCAGGGCACCCAAGACCCTTTCCAGTAGCCACAGGGATTTTGGGATTCCTATCAGTATTCAAGAGGAGTCAGGCATCGTCACCTTTTGAAGCAATGAACTCCGCGTGCCTCTCGAGATGTCAGCGGGATGTGAGGATTCCGTCAAAATGAGGCAGGGACCTAGGGCTTCCTCTAAGGTCTCCACAGGGGATTCAGACATCCCTTCATGTTGTGAGATGGAAGACGAGCCTGTATTCAAGCCACTGCAAGGAAATCCGGCCTCCTTTCAAGTTAGGGCTTCTCGCTGTATATTCCCCTTGAGGCAGCAAATTCGGGGTCCCTCCCACATACCTATTGCTGAGAGAAGCCTCCTCCTGAGGTGCTTCTGGAAAGTTGGAATACGTCTTGAGCCTAAGCCAGGGAATCAGCTCTCATCTCGAGATGATTTGGGGTACACGGAGCATTCCTCGAGTTGCTGTGCTGAAGTTGGTGTTCCTCTAGACTTGGGACAGTGTTCTCGGGGCATCTCTGGAGTTGCCTGAAGGAAGGCGAGCCACGGGTCGTGTTGAATGGGGAACGGGGAATGGCTCTGGAGTCAATGCAGGGGAATCCGGCCTCATCTCGAGTTGATTTGGGGCACATGGAGATGCTTTGCATTGCTGGGTGACCTCAGGGTCCGTCTAGACTGGTGACAGTGTTCTTGGGGACTGTCTCGAGATCCATTAAGCAAGTCGAAGCTCCTGACTTGTTTGAATGGGATCACGGAATAGCTCTGCATGCACTGCAGGGGAATGGGGCCTCATCTCGCCTATAGGGGGAAGTCTCACGGTTTTTCTCGAGTTGCGGCGGGGACCTGGGGTATGTTCTCGACTTAGCGGGGATGGCCCTGCAAAACACGAGTTTCTCCAATGACGTCAGGACTCCTGCCTAGTAACGAGGGACATCTCAGCAATCTCTTCGAGGCTTGGCAGGGCAAAAGGGAAGCTTCTCGAGGTGAGGCAGGGCACCCAAGGACCCTTTCCAGAAGCCACAGGGATTTTGGGATTCCTATCAGTATTCAAGAGTAGTCAGGCATCGTCACCTTTTGAAGCAATGAACTCCGCGTGCCTCTCGAGGTGTCAGCGGGATGTGAGGATTCCGTCAAAATGAGGCAGGGACCTAGGGATTTCTCTAAGGTCTCCACAGCGGATTCAGACATCCCTTCATGTTGTGAGATGAAAGACGAGCCTGTATTCAAGCCACTGCAAGGAAATCCGGCCTCCTTTCAAGTTAGGGCTTCTCGCTGTATATTCCCCTTGAGGCAGCAAACTCGGGGTCCCTCCCACATACCTATTGCTGAGAGAAGCCTCCTCCTGAGGTGCTTCTGGAAAGTTGGCATACGTCTTGAGCCTAAGCCAGGGAATCAGCTCTCATCTCGAGACGATTTGGCATACACAGAGCATTCCTCGAGTTGCTGTGCTGAAGTTGGTGGTCCTCTAGGCTTGGGACAGTGTTCTCGGGGCATCTCTGGAGTTGCCTGAAGGAAGTCGAGCCACCGGTCGTGTTGAATGGGGAACAGGGAATGGCTCTGGAGTCAATGCAGGGGAATACGGCCTCATCTCGAGTTGATATGGGGCACATGGAGCTGCTTTTCATTGCTGGGTGACCTCAGGGTCCGTCTAGACTGGTGACAGTGTTCTTGGGGACTGTCTCGAGATCCATTAAGCAAGTCGAAGCTCCTGACTTGTTTGAATGGGATCACGGAATATCTCTGCATGCACTGCAGGGGAATGGGGCCTCATCTCGCCTCTAGGGGGAAGTCTCATGGTTTTTCTCGAGTTGCGGCGGGGACCTGGGTTATGTTCTCGACTTACGGCGGGGATGGCCCTTCAAAACACGAGTTTCTTCAGTGACGTCAGGACTCCTGTCTAGTAATGAGGGACACCTCAGCAATCTCTTCGAGGCTTGGCAGGGCAAAAGGGACGCTTCTCGAGGTGAGCCAGGGCACCCAAGGACCCTTTCCAGTAGCCACAGGGATTTTGGGATTCCTATAAGTATTCAAGAGGAGTCAGGCATCGTCACCTTTTGAAGCAATGAACTCTGCGTGTCTCTCGAAGTGTCAGGGGGATGTGAGGTATTCCGTCAAAATGAGGCAGGGACCTAGGGCTTCCTCTAAGGTCTCCACAGGGGATTCAGACAACCCTTCATGTTGTCAGACCAAAGACGAGCCTGTATTCAAGCCACTGCAAGGAAATCTGGCCTCCGTTCACATTAGGGCTTCTCCCTGTGTATTCTCCTTGAGGCAGCAAACTCGGGGTCCCTCCCACATACCTATTGCTGAGAGAAGCCTCCTCCTGAGGTGCTTCTGGAAAGTTGGCATACGTCTTGAGCCTAAGCCAGGGAATCAGCTCTCATCTCGAGATGATTTGGGGTACACGGAGCATTCCTCGAGTTGCTGTGCTGAAGTTGGTGTTCCTCTAGACTTGGGACAGTGTTCTCGGGGCATCTCTGGAGTTGCCTGAAGGAAGTTGAGCCACCGGTCGTGTTGAATGGGGAACGGGGAATGGCTCTGGAGTCAATGCAGGGGAATCCGGCCTCATCTCGAGTTGATTTGGGGTACATGGAGCTGCTTTGCATTGCTGTGTGACCTCAGGGTCCGTCTAGACTGGTGACAGTGTTCTTGGGGACTCTCTCGAGATCCATTAAGCAAGTCGAAGCTCCTGACTTGTTTGAATGGGATCACGGAATAGCTCTGCATGCACTGCAGGGGAATGGGGCCTCATCTCGCCTCTAGGGGGAAGTCTCACGGTTTTTCTCGAGTTGCGGTGGGGACCTGGGGTATGTTCTCGACTTACGGCGGGGATGGCCCTTCAAAACACGAGTTTCTTCAGTGACGTCAGGACTCCTGTCTAGTAACGAGGGACACCTCAGCAATCTCTTCGAGGCTTGGCAGGGCAAAAGGGACGCTTCTCGAGGTGAGCCAGGGCACCCAAGGACCCTTTCCAGTAGCCACAGGGATTTTGGGATTCCTATAAGTATTCAAGAGGAGTCAGGCATCGTCACCTTTTCAAGCAATGAACTCTGCGTGCCTCTCGAGGTGTCAGCGGGATGTGAGGATTCCGTCAAATGAGGCAGGGACCTAGGGCTTCCTCTAAGGTCTCCACAGGGGATTCAGACATCCCTTCAGGTTGTGAGATGAAAGACGAGCCTGTATTCAAGCCACTGCAAGGAAATCCGGCCTCCTTTCAAGTTAGGGCTTCTCGCTGTATATTCCCCTTGAGGCAGCAAACTCGGGGTCCCTCCCACATACCTATTGCTGAGAGAAGCCTCCTCCTGAGGTGCTTCTGGAAAGTTGGCATACGTCTTGAGCCTAAGCCAGGGAATCAGCTCTCATCTTGAGACGATTTGGGGTACACAAAGCATTCCTCGAGTTGCTGTGCTGAAGTTGGTGGTCCTCTAGACTTGGGACAGTGTTCTTGGGGCATCTCTGGAGTTGCCTGAAGGAAGTCGAGCCACCGGTCGTGTTGAATGGGGAACAGGGAATGGCTCTGGAGTCAATGCAGGGGAATACGGCCTCATCTCGAGTTGATATGGGGCACATGGAGCTGCTTTGCATTGCTGGGTGACCTCAGGGTCCGTCTAGACTGGTGACAGTGTTCTTGGGGACTGTCTCGAGATCCATTAAGCAAGTCGAAGCTCCTGACTTGTTTGAATGGGATCACGGAATATCTCTGCATGCACTGCAGGGGAATGGGGCCTCATCTCGCCTCTAGGGGGAAGTCTCATGGTTTTTCTCGAGTTGCGGCGGGGACCTGGGGTATGTTCTCGACTTACGGCGGGGATAGCCCTTCAAAACACAAGTTTCTTCAGTGACGTCAGGACTCCTGTCTAGTAATGAGGGACACCTCAGCAATCTCTTCGAGGCTTGGCAGGGCAAAAGGGACGCTTCTCGAGGTGAGCCAGGGCACCCAAGGACCCTTTCCAGTAGCCACAGGGATTTTGGGATTCCTATAAGTATTCAAGAGGAGTCAGGCATCGTCACCTTTTGAAGCAATGAACTCTGCGTGTCTCTCGAAGTGTCAGGGGGATGTGAGGTATTCCGTCAAAATGAGGCAGGGACCTAGGGCTTCCTCTAAGGTCTCCACAGGGGATTCAGACAAACCTTCATGTTGTCAGACCAAAGACGAGCCTGTATTCAAGCCACTGCAAGGAAATCTGGCCTCCGTTCACATTAGGGCTTCTCCCTGTGTATTCTCCTTGAGGCAGCAAACTCGGGTTCCCTCCCACATACCTATTGCTGAGACAAGCCTCCTCCTGAGGTGCTTCTGGAAAGATGGCATACGTCTTGAGCCTAAGCCAGGGAATCAGCTCTCATCTCGAGATGATTTGGGGTACACGGAGCATTCCTCGAGTTGCTGTGCTGAAGTTGGTGTTCCTCTAGACTTGGGACAGTGTTCTCGGGGCATCTCTGGAGTTGCCTGAAGGAAGTCGAGCCACCGGTCGTGTTGAATGGGGAACGGGGAATGGCTCTGGAGTCAATGCAAGGGAATCCGGCCTCATCTCGAGTTGATTTGTGGTACATGGAGCTGCTTTGCATTGCTGTGTGACCTCAGGGTCCGTCTAGACTGGTGACAGTGTTCTTGGGGACTCTCTCGAGATCCATTAAGCAAGTCGAAGCTCCTGACTTGTTTGAATGGGATCACGGAATAGCTCTGCATGCACTGCAGGGGAATGGGGCCTCATCTGGCCTCTAGGGAGAAGTCTCACGGTTTTTCTCGAGTTGCGGCGGGGACCTGGGGTATGTTCTCGACTTACGGCGGGGATGGCCCCTCAAAACACGTGTTTCTCCAGTGACGTCAGGACTCCTGCCTAGTAACGAGGGACACCTCAGCAATCTCTTCGAGGCTTGGCAGGGCAAAAGGGACGCTTCTCGGGGTGAGGCAGGGCACCCAAGACCCTTTCCAGTAGCCACAGGGATTTTGGGATTCCCATCAGTATTCAAGAGGAGTCAGGCATCGTCACCTTTTGAAGCAATGAACTCCGCGTGCCTCTCGAGGTGTCAGCGGGATGTGAGGATTCCGTCAAAATGAGGCAGGGACCTAGGGCTTCCTCTAAGGTCTCCACAGGGGATTCAGACATCCCTTCATGTTGTGAGATGGAAGACGAGCCTGTATTCAAGCCACTGCAAGGAAATCCGGCCTCCTTTCAAGTTAGGGCTTCTCGCTGTATATTCCCCTTGAGACAGCAAATTCGGGGTCCCTCCCACATACCTATTGCTGAGAGAAGCCTCCTCCTGAGGTGCTTCTGGAAAGTTGGAATACGTCTTGAGCCTAAGCCAGGGAATCAGCTCTCATCTCGAGATGATTTGGGGTACACGGAGCATTCCTCGAGTTGCTGTGCTGAAGTTGGTGTTCCTCTAGACTTGGGACAGTGTTCTCGGGGCATCTCTGGAGTTGCCTGAAGGAAGGCGAGCCACGGGTCGTGTTGAATGGGGAACGGGGAATGGCTCTGGAGTCAATGCAGGGGAATCCGGCCTCATCTCGAGTTGATTTGGGGCACATGGAGATGCTTTGCATTGCTGGGTGACCTCAGGGTCCGTCTAGACTGGTGACAGTGTTCTTGGGGACTGTCTCGAGATCCATTAAGCAAGTCAAAGCTCCTGACTTGTTTGAATGGGATCACGGAATAGCTCTGCATGCACTGCAGGGGAATGGGGCCTCATCTCGCCTATAGGGGGAAGTCTCACGGTTTTTCTCGAGTTGCGGCGGGGACCTGGGGTATGTTCTCGACTTACGGCGGGGATGGCCCTTCAAAACACGAGTTTCTCCAATGACGTCAGGTCTCCTGCCTAGTAACGAGGGACACCTCAGCAATCTCTTCGAGGCTTGGCAGGGCAAAAGGGACGCTTCTCGAGGTGAGGCAGGGCACCCAAGGACCCTTTCCAGAAGCCACAGGGATTTTGGGATTCCTATCAGTATTCAAGAGGAGTCAGGCATCGTCACCTTTTGAAGCAATGAACTCCGCGTGCCTCTCGAGGTGTCAGCGGGATGTGAGGATTCCGTCAAAATGAGGCAGGGACCTAGGGATTTCTCTAAGGTCTCCACAGCGGATTCAGACATCCCTTCATGTTGTGAGATGAAAGACGAGCCTGTATTCAAGCCACTGCAAGGAAATCCGGCCTCCTTTCAAGTTAGGGCTTCTCGCTGTATATTCCCCTTGAGGCAGCAAACTCGGGGTCCCTCCCACATACCTATTGCTGAGAGAAGCCTCCTCCTGAGGTGCTTCTGGAAAGTTGGCCTACGTCTTGAGCCTAAGCCAGGGAATCAGCTCTCATCTCGAGACGATTTGGCATACACAGAGCATTCCTCGAGTTGCTGTGCTGAAGTTGGTGGTCCTCTAGGCTTGGGAGAGTGTTCTCGGGGCATCTCTGGAGTTGCCTGAAGGAAGTCGATCCACCGGTCGTTTTGAATGGGGAACAGGGAATGGCTCTGGAGTCAATGCAGGGGAATCCGGCCTCATCTCGAATTGATTTGGGGCACATGGAGATGCTTTGCATTGCTGGGTGACCTCAGGGTCCATCTAGACTGGTGACAGTGTTCTTGGGGACTGTCTCGAGATCCATTAAGCAAGTCGAAGGTCCTGACTTGTTTGAATGGGATCACGGAATAGCTCTGCATGCACTGCAGGGGAATGGGGCCTCATCTCGCCTCTAGGGGGAAGTCTCATGGTTTTTCTCGAGTTGCGGCGGGGACCTGGGGTATGTTCTCGACTTACGGCGGGGATGGCCCTTCAAAACACGAGTTTCTTCAGTGACGTCAGGACTCCTGTCTAGTAATGAGGGACACCTCAGCAATCTCTTCGAGGCATGGCAGGGCAAAAGGGACGCTTCTCGAGGTGAGCCAGGGAACCCAAGGACCCTTTCCAGTAGCCACAGGGATTTTGGGATTCCTATAAGTATTCAAGAGGAGTCAGGCATCGTCACCTTTTGAAGCAATGAACTCTGCGTGCCTCTCGAGGTGTCAGGGGGATGTGAGGTATTCCGTCAAAATGAGGCAGGGACCTAGGGCTTCCTATAAGATCTCCACAGGGGATTCAGACATCCCTTCATGTTGTCAGATCAAAGAAGAGCCTGTATTCCAGCCACTGCAAGGAAATCTGGCCTCCGTTCACATTAGGGCTTCTCCCTGTGTATTCCCCTTGAGGCAGCAAACTCGGGGTTCCTCCCACATACCTATTGCTGAGAGAAGCCTCCTCCTGAGATGCTTCTGGAAAGTTGGCATACGTCTTGAGCCTAAGCCAGGGAATCAGCTCTCATCTCGAGATGATTTGGGGTACACGGAGCATTCCTCGAGTTGCTGTGCTGATGTTGGTGTTCCTCTAGCCTTGGGACAGTGTTCTCGGGGAATCTCTGGAGTTGCTTGAAGGAAGTCGAGCCACCGGTCTTGTTGAATGGGGAACGGGGAATGGCTCTGGAGTCAATGCAGGGGAATCGGGCCTCATCTCGAGTTGATTTGGGGCACATGGAGCAGCTTTGCGTTGCTGGGGTGACCTCAGGGTCCGTCTAGACTGGTGACAGTGTTCTTGGGGACTGTCTCGAGATCCATTAAGCAAGTCGAAGCTCCTGACTTGTTTGAATGGGATCACGGAATAGCTCTGCATGCACTGTAGGGGAATGGGGCCTCATCTCGCCTCTAGGGGGAAGGCTCACGGTTTTTCTCGAGTTGCGGTGGGGACCTGGGGTATGTTCTCGACTTACGGCGGGGATGGCCCTTCAAAACACGACTTTCTTCAGTGACGTCAGGACTCCTGCCTAGTAACGACGGACACCTCAGGAATCTCTTCGAGGCTTGGCAGGGCAAAAGGGACGCTTCTCGAGGTGAGGCAGGGCACCCAAGGACCCTTTCCAGTAGCCACAGGGATTTTGGGATTCCTATCAGTATTCAAGACGAGTCTGGCATCGTCACCTTTTGAAGCAATGAACTCCGCGTGCCTCTCGAGGTGTCAGCGGGATGTGAGGCATTCCGTCAAAATGAGGCAGGGACCTAGGGCTTTCTCTAAGGTCTCCACAGGGGATTCAGACATCCCTTCATGTTGTGAGATGAAAGACAAGCCTGTATTCAAGCTACTGCAAGGAAATCCGGCCTCCTTTCAAGTTAGGGCTTCTCGATGTATATTCCCCTTGAGGCAGCAAACTCGGAGTCTCTCCCACATACCTATTGCTGAGAAGCCTCCTCCTGAGGTGCTTCTGGAAATTTGGCATACGTCTTGAGCCTAAGCCAGGGAATCAGCTCTCATCTCGAGACGATTTGGGGTACACAGAGCATTCCTCGAGTTGCTGTGCTGAAGTTGGTGTTCCTCTAGACTTGGGACAGTGTTCTCGGGGCATCTCTGGAGTTGCCTGAAGGAAGGCGAGCCTCCGTTCGTTTTGAACGTGGAACGGGGAACGGCTCTGGAGTCAATGCAGGGGAATCGGGCCTCATCTCGAGTTGATTTGGGGCACATGGAGCTGCTTTGCGTTGCTGGGGTGACCTCAGGGTCCGTCTAGACTGGTGACAGTGTTCTTGGGGACTGTCTCGAGATCCGTTAAGCAAGTCGAAGCTCCTGACTTGTTTGAATGGGATCACGGAATAGCTCTGCATGCACTGCAGGGGAATGGGGCCTCATCTCGCCTCTAGGGGGAAGTCTCATGGTTTTTCTCGAGTTGCGGCGGGGACCTGGGGTATGTTCTCGACTTACGGCGGGGAGGGCCCTCCAAAACACGAGTTTCTTCAGTGACGTCAGGACTCCTGCCTAGTAACGAGGGACAACTCAGGAATCTCTTCGAGGCTTGGCAGGGCAAAAGGGACGCTTCTCGTGGTGAGGCAGGGCACCCAAGGACCCTTTCCAGTAGCCACAGGGATTTTGGGATTCCTATCAGTATTCAAGAGGAGTCAGGCATCGTCACCTTTTGAAGTAATGAACTCCGCGTGCCTCTCGAGGTGTCAGCGGGATGTGAGGCATTCCGTCAAAATGAGGCAGGGACCTAGGTCTTTCTCTAAGGTCTCCACAGGGGATTCAGAAATCCCTTCATGTTGTGAGATGAAAGACAAGCCTGTATTCAAGCTACTGCAAGGAAATCCGGCCTCCTTTCAAGTTAGGGCTTCTCGATGTATATTCCCCTTGAGGCAGCAAACTTGGAGTCCCTCCCACATACCTATTGCTGAGAAGCCTCCTCCTGAGGTGCTTCTGGAAAGTTGGCATACGTCTTGAGCCTAAGCCAGGGAATCAGCTCTCATCTCGAGACGATTTGGGGTACACAGATCATTCCTCGAGTTGCTGTGCTGAAGTTGGTGTTCCTCTAGACTTGGGACAGTGTTCTCGGGGCATCTCTGAAGTTGCCTGAAGGAAGGCGAGCCTCCGTTCGTGTTGAACGGGGAACGGGGAATGGCTCTGGAGTCAATGCAGGGGAATCGGGCCTCATCTCGAGTTGATTTGGGGCACATGGAGCTGCTTTGCGTTGCTGAGGTGACCTCAGGGTCCGTCTAGACTGGTGACAGTGTTCTTGGGGACTGTCTCGAGATCCATTAAGCAAGTTGAAGCTCCTGACTTGTTTGAATGGGATCACGGAATAGCTCTGCATGCACTGCAGGGGAATGGGGCCTCATCTCGCCTATAGGGGGATGTCTCATGGTTTTTCTCGAGTTGCGGCGGGGACCTTGGGTATGTTCTCGACTTACGGCGGGGATGGCCCTTCAAAACACGAGTTTCTTCAGTGATGTCAGGACTCCTGTCTAGTAACGAGGGACACCTCAGCAATCTCTTCGAGGCTTGGCAGGGCAAAAGGGACGCTTCTCGAGGTGAGGCAGGGCACCCAAGGACCCTTTCCAGTAGCCACAGGGATTTTGGGATTCCTATAAGTATTCAAGAGGAGTCAGGCATCGTCACCTTTTGAAGCAATGAACTCTGCGTGCCTCTCGAGGTGTCAGGGGGATGTGAGGTATTCCGTCAAAATGAGGCAGGGACCTAGGGCTTCCTATAAGATCTCCACAGGGGATTCAGACATCCCTTCATGTTGTCAGATCAAAGACGAGCCTGTATTCCAGCCACTGCAAGGAAATCTGGCCTCCGTTCACATTAGGGCTTCTCCCTGTGTATTCCCCTTGAGGCAGCAAACTCGGGGTTCCTCCCACATACCTATTGCTGAGAGAAGCCTCCTCCTGAGATGCTTCTGGAAAGTTGGCATACGTCTTGAGCCTAAGCCAGGGAATCAGCTCTCATCTCGAGATGATTTGGGGTACACGGAGCATTCCTCGAGTTGCTGTGCTGATGTTGGTGTTCCTCTAGCCTTGGGACAGTGTTCTCGGGGAATCTCTGGAGTTGCCTGAAGGAAGTCGAGCCACCGGTCTTGTTGAATGGGGAACGGGGAATGGCTCTGGAGTCAATGCAGGGGAATCGGGCCTCATCTCGAGTTGATTTGGGGCACATGGAGCAGCTTTGCGTTGCTGGGGTGACCTCAGGGTCCGTCTAGACTGGTGACAGTGTTCTTGGGGACTGTCTCGAGATCCATTAAGCAAGTCGAAGCTCCTGACTTGTTTGAATGGGATCACGGAATAGCTCTGCATGCACTGCAGGGGAATGGGGCCTCATCTCGCCTCTAGGGGGAAGGCTCACGGTTTTTCTCGAGTTGCGGTGGGGACCTGGGGTATGTTCTCGACTTACGGCGGGGATGGCCCTTCAAAACACGACTTTCTTCAGTGACGTCAGGACTCCTGCCTAGTAACGACGGACACCTCAGGAATCTCTTCGAGGCTTGGCAGGGCAAAAGGGACGCTTCTCGAGGTGAGGCAGGGCACCCAAGGACCCTTTCCAGTAGCCACAGGGATTTTGGGATTCCTATCAGTATTCAAGACGAGTCTGGCATCGTCACCTTTTGAAGCAATGAACTCCGCGTGCCTCTCGAGGTGTCAGCGGGATGTGAGGCATTCCGTCAAAATGAGGCAGGGACCTAGGGCTTTCTCTAAGGTCTCCACAGGGGATTCAGACATCCCTTCATGTTGTGAGATGAAAGACAAGCCTGTATTCAAGCTACTGCAAGGAAATCCGGCCTCCTTTCAAGTTAGGGCTTCTCGATGTATATTCCCCTTGAGGCAGCAAACTCGGAGTCTCTCCCACATACCTATTGCTGAGAAGCCTCCTCCTGAGGTGCTTCTGGAAATTTGGCATACGTCTTGAGCCTAAGCCAGGGAATCAGCTCTCATCTCGAGACGATTTGGGGTACACAGAGCATTCCTCGAGTTGCTGTGCTGAAGTTGGTGTTCCTCTAGACTTGGGACAGTGTTCTCGGGGCATCTCTGGAGTTGCCTGAAGGAAGGCGAGCCTCCGTTCGTTTTGAACGTGGAACGGGGAACGGCTCTGGAGTCAATGCAGGGGAATCGGGCCTCATCTCGAGTTGATTTGGGGCACATGGAGCTGCTTTGCGTTGCTGGGGTGACCTCAGGGTCCATCTAGACTGGTGACAGTGTTCTTGGGGACTGTCTCGAGATCCGTTAAGCAAGTCGAAGCTCCTGACTTGTTTGAATGGGATCACGGAATAGCTCTGCATGCACTGCAGGGGAATGGGGCCTCATCTCGCCTCTAGGGGGAAGTCTCATGGTTTTTCTCGAGTTGCGGCGGGGACCTGGGGTATGTTCTCGACTTACGGCGGGGAGGGCCCTCCAAAACACGAGTTTCTTCAGTGACGTCAGGACTCCTGCCTAGTAACGAGGGACAACTCAGGAATCTCTTCGAGGCTTGGCAGGGCAAAAGGGACGCTTCTCGTGGTGAGGCAGGGCACCCAAGGACCCTTTCCAGTAGCCACAGGGATTTTGGGATTCCTATCAGTATTCAAGAGGAGTCAGGCATCGTCACCTTTTGAAGTAATGAACTCCGCGTGCCTCTCGAGGTGTCAGCGGGATGTGAGGCATTCCGTCAAAATGAGGCAGGGACCTAGGTCTTTCTCTAAGGTCTCCACAGGGGATTCAGAAATCCCTTCATGTTGTGAGATGAAAGACAAGCCTGTATTCAAGCTACTGCAAGGAAATCCGGCCTCCTTTCAAGTTAGGGCTTCTCGATGTATATTCCCCTTGAGGCAGCAAACTTGGAGTCCCTCCCACATACCTATTGCTGAGAAGCCTCCTCCTGAGGTGCTTCTGGAAAGTTGGCATACGTCTTGAGCCTAAGCCAGGGAATCAGCTCTCATCTCGAGACGATTTGGGGTACACAGATCATTCCTCGAGTTGCTGTGCTGAAGTTGGTGTTCCTCTAGACTTGGGACAGTGTTCTCGGGGCATCTCTGAAGTTGCCTGAAGGAAGGCGAGCCTCCGTTCGTGTTGAACGGGGAACGGGGAATGGCTCTGGAGTCAATGCAGGGGAATCGGGCCTCATCTCGAGTTGATTTGGGGCACATGGAGCTGCTTTGCGTTGCTGAGGTGACCTCAGGGTCCGTCTAGACTGGTGACAGTGTTCTTGGGGACTGTCTCGAGATCCATTAAGCAAGTCGAAGCTCCTGACTTGTTTGAATGGGATCACGGAATAGCTCTGCATGCACTGCAGGGGAATGGGGCCTCATCTCGCCTATAGGGGGATGTCTCATGGTTTTTCTCGAGTTGCGGCGGGGACCTTGGGTATGTTCTCGACTTACGGCGGGGATGGCCCTTCAAAACACGAGTTTCTTCAGTGATGTCAGGACTCCTGTCTAGTAACGAGGGACACCTCAGCAATTTCTTCGAGGCTTGGCAGGGCAAAAGGGACGCTTCTCGAGGTGAGGCAGGGCACCCAAGGACCCTTTCCAGTAGCCACAGGGATTTTGGGATTCCTATAAGTATTCAAGAGGAGTCAGGCATCGTCACCTTTTGAAGCAATGAACTCTGCGTGCCTCTCGAGGTGTCAGGGGGATGTGAGGTATTCCGTCAAAATGAGGCAGGGACCTAGGGCTTCCTATAAGATCTCCACAGGGGATTCAGACATCCCTTCATGTTGTCAGATCAAAGACGAGCCTGTATTCCAGCCACTGCAAGGAAATCTGGCCTCCGTTCACATTAGGGCTTCTCCCTGTGTATTCCCCTTGAGGCAGCAAACTCGGGGTTCCTCCCACATACCTATTGCTGAGAGAAGCCTCCTCCTGAGATGCTTCTGGAAAGTTGGCATACGTCTTGAGCCTAAGCCAGGGAATCAGCTCTCATCTCGAGATGATTTGGGGTACACGGAGCATTCCTCGAGTTGCTGTGCTGATGTTGGTGTTCCTCTAGCCTTGGGACAGTGTTCTCGGGGAATCTCTGGAGTTGCCTGAAGGAAGTCGAGCCACCGGTCTTGTTGAATGGGGAACGGGGAATGGCTCTGGAGTCAATGCAGGGGAATCGGGCCTCATCTCGAGTTGATTTGGGGCACATGGAGCAGCTTTGCGTTGCTGGGGTGACCTCAGGGTCCGTCTAGACTGGTGACAGTGTTCTTGGGGACTGTCTCGAGATCCATTAAGCAAGTCGAAGCTCCTGACTTGTTTGAATGGGATCACGGAATAGCTCTGCATGCACTGCAGGGGAATGGGGCCTCATCTCGCCTCTAGGGGGAAGGCTCACGGTTTTTCTCGAGTTGCGGTGGGGACCTGGGGTATGTTCTCGACTTACGGCGGGGATGGCCCTTCAAAACACGACTTTCTTCAGTGACGTCAGGACTCCTGCCTAGTAACGACGGACACCTCAGGAATCTCTTCGAGGCTTGGCAGGGCAAAAGGGACGCTTCTCGAGGTGAGGCAGGGCACCCAAGGACCCTTTCCAGTAGCCACAGGGATTTTGGGATTCCTATCAGTATTCAAGACGAGTCTGGCATCGTCACCTTTTGAAGCAATGAACTCCGCGTGCCTCTCGAGGTGTCAGCGGGATGTGAGGCATTCCGTCAAAATGAGGCAGGGACCTAGGGCTTTCTCTAAGGTCTCCAAAGGGGATTCAGACATCCCTTCATGTTGTGAGATGAAAGACAAGCCTGTATTCAAGCTACTGCAAGGAAATCCGGCCTCCTTTCAAGTTAGGGCTTCTCGATGTATATTCCCCTTGAGGCAGCAAACTCGGAGTCTCTCCCACATACCTATTGCTGAGAAGCCTCCTCCTGAGGTGCTTCTGGAAATTTGGCATACGTCTTGAGCCTAAGCCAGGGAATCAGCTCTCATCTCGAGACGATTTGGGGTACACAGAGCATTCCTCGAGTTGCTGTGCTGAAGTTGGTGTTCCTCTAGACTTGGGACAGTGTTCTCGGGGCATCTCTGGAGTTGCCTGAAGGAAGGCGAGCCTCCGTTCGTTTTGAACGTGGAACGGGGAACGGCTCTGGAGTCAATGCAGGGGAATCGGGCCTCATCTCGAGTTGATTTGGGGCACATGGAGCTGCTTTGCGTTGCTGGGGTGACCTCAGGGTCCGTCTAGACTGGTGACAGTGTTCTTGGGGACTGTCTCGAGATCCGTTAAGCAAGTCGAAGCTCCTGACTTGTTTGAATGGGATCACGGAATAGCTCTGCATGCACTGCAGGGGAATGGGGCCTCATCTCGCCTCTAGGGGGAAGTCTCATGGTTTTTCTCGAGTTGCGGCGGGGACCTGGGGTATGTTCTCGACTTACGGCGGGGAGGGCCCTCCGAAACACGAGTTTCTTCAGTGACGTCAGGACTCCTGCCTAGTAACGAGGGACAACTCAGGAATCTCTTCGAGGCTTGGCAGGGCAAAAGGGACGCTTCTCGTGGTGAGGCAGGGCACCCAAGGACCCTTTCCAGTAGCCACAGGGATTTTGGGATTCCTATCAGTATTCAAGAGGAGTCAGGCATCGTCACCTTTTGAAGTAATGAACTCCGCGTGCCTCTCGAGGTGTCAGCGGGATGTGAGGCATTCCGTCAAAATGAGGCAGGGACCTAGGTCTTTCTCTAAGGTCTCCACAGGGGATTCAGAAATCCCTTCATGTTGTGAGATGAAAGACAAGCCTGTATTCAAGCTACTGCAAGGAAATCCGGCCTCCTTTCAAGTTAGGGCTTCTCGATGTATATTCCCCTTGAGGCAGCAAACTTGGAGTCCCTCCCACATACCTATTGCTGAGAAGCCTCCTCCTGAGATGCTTCTGGAAAGTTGGCATACGTCTTGAGCCTAAGCCAGGGAATCAGCTCTCATCTCGAGACGATTTGGGGTACACAGATCATTCCTCGAGTTGCTGTGCTGAAGTTGGTGTTCCTCTAGACTTGGGACAGTGTTCTCGGGGCATCTCTGAAGTTGCCTGAAGGAAGGCGAGCCTCCGTTCGTGTTGAACGGGGAACGGGGAATGGCTCTGGAGTCAATGCAGGGGAATCGGGCCTCATCTCGAGTTGATTTGGGGCACATGGAGCTGCTTTGCGTTGCTGGGGTGACCTCAGGGTCCGTCTAGACTGGTGACAGTGTTCTTGGGGACTGTCTCGAGATCCATTAAGCAAGTCGAAGCTCCTGACTTGTTTGAATGGGATCACGGAATAGCTCTGCATGCACTGCAGGGGAATGGGGCCTCATCTCGCCTATAGGGGGATGTCTCATGGTTTTTCTCGAGTTGCGGCGGGGACCTTGGGTATGTTCTCGACTTACGGCGGGGATGGCCCTTCAAAACACGAGTTTCTTCAGTGATGTCAGGACTCCTGTCTAGTAACGAGGGACACCTCAGCAATCTCTTCGAGGCTTGGCAGGGCAAAAGGGACGCTTCTCGAGGTGAGGCAGGGCACCCAAGGACCCTTTCCAGTAGCCACAGGGATTTTGGGATTCCTATAAGTATTCAAGAGGAGTCAGGCATCGTCACCTTTTGAAGCAATGAACTCTGCGTGCCTCTCGAGGTGTCAGGGGGATGTGAGGTATTCCGTCAAAATGAGGCAGGGACCTAGGGCTTTCTCTAAGGTCTCCACAGGGGATTCAGACATCCCTTCATGTTGTCAGATCAAAGACGAGCCTGTATTCAACCATCTGCAAGGAAATCTGGACTCCGTTCACATTAGGGCTTCTCCCTGTGTATTCCCCTTGAGGCAGCAAACACAGGGTCCCTCCCACATACCTATTGCTGAGAGAAGCCTCCTCCTGAGATGCTTCTGGAAAGTTGGCATACGTCTTGAGCCTAAGCCAGGGAATCAGCTCTCATCTCGAGATGATTTGTGGTACACGGATCATTCCTCGAGTTGCTGTGCTGATGTTGGTGTTCCTCTAGCCTTGGGACAGTGTTCTCGGGGAATCTCTGGAGTTGCCTGAAGGAACTCGAGCCACCGGTCATCTTGAATGGGGAACGGGGAATGGCTCTGGAGTCAATGCAGGGGAATCGGGCCTCATCTCGAGTTGATTTGGGTCACATGGAGCAGCTTTGCGTTGCTGGGGTGACCTCAGGGTCCGTCTAGACTGGTGACAGTGTTCTTGGGGACTGTCTCGAGATCCATTAAGCAAGTCGAAGCTCCTGACTTGTTTGAATGGGATCACGGAATAGCTCTGCATGCACTGCAGGGGAATGGGGCTTCATCTCGCCTCTAGGGGGAAGTCTCATGGTTTTTCTCGAGTTGCGGCGGGGACCTGGGGTATGTTCTCGACTTACGGCGGGGATGGCCCTTCAAAACACGAGTTTCTCCAGTGACGTCAGGACTCCTGCCTAGTAACGAGGGACACCTCAGGAATCTCTTCGAGGCTTCGCAGGGCAAAAGGGACGCTTCTCGAGGTGAGGCAGGGCACCCAAGGACCCTTTCCAGTAGCCACAGGTGATTTTGGGATTCCTATCAGTATTCAAGAGGAGTCAGGCATCGTCACCTTTTGAAGCAATGAACTCCGCGTGCCTCTCGCGGTGTCAGCGGGATGTGAGGCATTCCGTCAAAATGAGGCAGGGACCTAGGGCTTTCTCTAAGGTCTCCACAGGGGATTCAGACATCCCTTCATGTTGTGAGATGAAAGACAAGCCTGTATTCAAGCTACTGCAAGGAAATCCGGCCTCCTTTCAAGTTAGGGCTTCTCGATGTATATTCCCCTTGAGGCAGCAAACTCGGAGTCCCTCCCACATACCTATTGCTGAGAAGCCTCCTCCTGAGGTGCTTCTGGAAACTTGGTATACGTCTTGAGCATAAGCCAGGGAATCAGCTCTCATCTCGAGACGATTTGGGGTACACAGAGCATTTCTCGAGTTGCTGTGCTGAAGTTGGTGTTCCTCTAGACTTGGGACAGTGTTCTCGGGGCATCTCTGGAGTTGCCTGAAGGAAGGCGAGCCTCCGTTCGTGTTGAACGGGGAACGGGGAATGGCTCTGGAGTCAATGCAGGGGAATCGGGCCTCATCTCGAGTTGATTTGGGGCACACGGAGCTGCTTTGCGTTGCTGGGGTGACCTCAGGGTCCGTCTAGACTGGTGACAGTGTTCTTGGGGACTCTCTCGAGATCCATTAAGCAAGTCGAAGCTCCTGACTTGTTTGAATGGGATCACGGAATAGCTCTGCATGCACTGCAGGGGAATGGGGCCTCATCTCGCCTCTAGGGGGAAGTCTCATGGTTTTTCTCGAGTTGCGGCGGGGACCTGGGTTATGTTCTCGACTTACGGCGGGTATGGCCCTTCAAAACACGAGTTTCTTCAGTGACGTCAGTACTCCTGTCTAGTAACGAGGGGACACCTCAGCAATCTCTTCGAGGCTTGGCAGGGCAAAGGGACGCTTCTCGAGGTGAGCCAGGGCACCCAAGGACCCTTTCCAGTAGCCACAGGGATTTTGGGATTCCTATCAGTATTCAAGAGGAGTCAGGCATCGTCACCTTTTGAAGCAATGAACTCCGCGTGCCTCTCGAGGTGTCAGCGGGATGTGAGGCATTCCGTCAAAATGAGGCAGGGATCTAGGGCTTTCTCTAAGGTCTCCACAGGGGATTCAGACATCCCTTCATGTTGTCAGATCAAAGACGAGCCTGTATTCAAGCCACTGCAAGGAAATCCGGCCTCCTTTCAATTTAGGGCTTCTCGCTGTATATTCCCCTTGAGGCAGCAAACCCGGGGTCCCTCCCACATAACTATTTCTGAGAGAAGCCTCCTCCTGAGGTGCTTCTGGAAAGTTGGCATATGTCTTGAGCCTAAGCCAGGGAATCAGCTCTCATCTCAAGATGATTTGGGGTACTCGGAGCACTCCTCGAGTTGCTGTGCTGAAGCTGGTGTTCCTCTAGACTTGGGAAATTGTTCTCTGGGCATCTCTGGAGTTGCCTGAAGGAAGTCGAGCCACCGGTCGTGTTGAATGGGGAACGGGGAATGGCTCTGGAGTCAATGCAGGGGAATCGGGCCTCATCTCGAGTTGATTTGGGTCACATGGAGCAGCTTTGCGTGCTGGGGTGACTTCAGGCTCAGTCTAGACTGGTGACAGTGTTCTTGGGGACTGTCTCGAGATCCATTAAGCAAGTCGAAGCTCCTGACTTGTTTGAATGGGATCACGGAATAGCTCTGCATGCACTGCAGGGGAATGGGGCCTCATCTCGCCTCTAGGGGGAAGTCTCATGGTTTTTCTCGAGTTGCGGCGGGGACCTGGGGTATGTTCTCGACTTAAGCGGGGATGGCCCTTCAAAACACGAGTTTCTGCAGTGACGTCAGGACTCCTGCCTAGTAACGAGGGACACCTCAGGAATCTCTTCGAGGCTTGGCAGGGCAAAAGGGACGCTTCTCGAGTTGAGGCAGGACACCCAAGGACCCTTTCCAGTAGCCACAGGGATTTTGGGATTCCTATCAGTATTCAAGAGGAGTCAGGCATCGTCACCTTTTAAAGCAATGAACTCTGCGTGCCTCTCGAGGTGTCAGGGGGATGTGAGGTATTCCGTCAAAATGAGGCAGGGACCTAGGGCTTTCTTTAAGGTCTCCACAGGGGATTCAGACATCCCTACATGTTGTCAGATCAAAGACGAGCCTGTATTCCAGCCACTGCAAGGAAATCTGGCCTCCGTTCACATTAGGGCTTCTCCCTGTGTATTCCCCTTGAGGCAGCAAACTCGGGGTCCCTCCCACATACCTATTGCTGAGAGAAGCCTCCTCCTGAGATGCTTCTGGAAAGTTGGCATACGTCTTGAGCCTAAGCCAGGGAATCAGCTCTCATCTCGAGATGATTTGGGGTACACGGAGCATTCCTCGAGTTGCTGTGCTGAAGTTGGTGTTCCTCTAGCCTTGGGACAGTGTTCTCGGGGAATCTCTGGAGTTGCCTGAAGGAAGTCGAGCCACCGGTCGTGTTGAATGGGGAACGGGGAATGGCTCTGGAGTCAATGCAGGGGAATCGGGCCTCATCTCGAGTTGATTTGGGGCACATGGAGCAGCTTTGCGTTGCTGGGGTGACCTCAGGGTCCGTCTAGACTGGTGACAGTGTTCTTGGGGACTGTCTCGAGATCCGTTAAGCAAGTCGAAGCTCCTGACTTGTTTGAATGGGATCACGGAATAGCTCTGCATGCACTGCAGGGGAATGGGGCCTCATCTCGCCTCTAGGGGGAAGTCTCATGGTTTTTCTCGAGTTGCGGCGGGGACCTGGGGTATGTTCTCGACTTACGGCGGGGATGGCCCTTCAAAACACGAGTTTCTTCAGTGACGTCAGGACTCCTGTCTAGTAACGAGGGACACCTCAGCAATCTCTTCGAGGCTTGGCAGGGCAAAAGGGACGCTTCTCGAGGTGAGCCAGGGCACCCAAGGACCCTTTCCAGTAGCAACAGGGATTTTGGGATTCCTATAAGTATTCAAGAGGAGTCAGGCATCGTCACCTTTTGAAGCAATGAACTCCGCGTGCCTCTCGAGGTGTCAGCGGGATGTGAGGCATTCCGTCAAAATGAGGCAGGGACCTAGGGCTTTCTCTAAGGTCTCCACAGGGGATTCAGACATCCCTTCATGTTGTGAGATGAAAGACAAGCCTGTATTCAAGCTACTGCAAGGAAATCCGGCCTCCTTTCAAGTTAGGGCTTCTCGATGTATATTCCCCTTGAGGCAGCAAACTCGGAGTCCCTCCCACATACCTATTGCTGAGAAGCCTCCTCCTGAGGTGCTTCTGGAAACTTAGCATAGGTCTTGAGCCTAAGCCAGGGAATCAGCTCTCATCTCGAGACGATTTGGGGTACACAGAGCATTTCTCGAGTTGCTGTGCTGAAGTTGGTGTTCCTCTAGACTTGGGAAAGTGTTCTCGGGGCATCTCTGGAGTTGCCTGAAGGAAGGCGAGCCTCCCTTCGTGTTGAACGGGGAATGGGGAATGGCTCTGGAGTCAATGCAGGGGAATCGGGCCTCATATCGAGTTGATTTGGGGCACATGGAGCTGCTTTGCGTTGCTGGGGTGACCTCAGGGTCCGTCTAGACTGGTGACAGTGTTCTTGGGGACTGTCTCGAGATCTGTTAAGCAAGTCGAAGCTCCTGACTTGTTTGAATGGGATCACGGAATAGCTCTGCATGCACTGCAGGGGAATGGGGCCTCATCTCGCCTCTAGGGGGAAGTCTCATGGTTTTTCTCGAGTTGCGGCGGGGACCTGGGTTATGTTCTCGACTTACGGCGGGGATGGCCCTCCAAAACACGAGTTTCTTCAGTAACGTCAGGACTCCTGCCTAGTAACGAGGGACACCTCAGGAATCTCTTCGAGGCTTGGCAGGGCAAAAGGGATGCTTCTCGAGGTGAGGCAGGGCACCCAAGGACCCTTTCCAGTAGCCACAGGGATTTTGGGATTCCTATCAGTATTCAAGAGGAGTCAGGCATCGTCACCTTTTGAAGTAATGAACTCCGCGTGCCTCTCGAGGTGTCAGCGGGATGTGAGGCATTCCGTCAAAATGAGGCAGGGACCTAGGGCTTTCTCTAAGGTCTCCACAGGGGATTCAGAAATCCCTTCATGTTGTGAGATGAAAGACAAGCCTGTATTCAAGCTACTGCAAGGAAATCCGGCCTCCTTTCAAGTTAGGGCTTCTCGATGTATATTCCCCTTGAGGCAGCAATCTTGGAGTCCCTCCCACATACCTATTGCTGAGAAGCCTCCTCCTGAGGTGCTTCTGGAAATTTGGCATCCGTCTTGAGCCTAAGCCAGGGAATCAGCTCTCATCTCGAGACGATTTGGGGTACACAGATCATTCCTCGAGTTGCTGTGCTGAAGTTGGTGTTCCTCTAGACTTGGGACAGTGTTCTCGGGGCATCTCTGGAGTTGCCTGAAGGAAGGCGAGCCTCCGTTCGTGTTGAACGGGGAACGGGGAATGGCTCTGGAGTCAATGCAGGGGAATCGGGCCTCATCTCGAGTTGATTTGGGGCACATGGAGCTGCTTTGCGTTGCTGAGGTGACCTCAGGGTCCGTCTAGACTGGTGACAGTGTTCTTGGGGACTGTCTCGAGATCCATTAAGCAAGTCGAAGCTCCTGACTTGTTTGAATGGGATCACGGAATAGCTCTGCATGCACTGCAGGGGAATGGGGCCTCATCTCGCCTATAGGGGGATGTCTCATGGTTTTTCTCGAGTTGCGGCGGGGACCTTGGGTATGTTCTCGACTTACGGCGGGGATGGCCCTTCAAAACACGAGTTTCTTCAGTGACGTCAGGACTCCTGTCTAGTAACGAGGGACACCTCAGCAATCTCTTCGAGGCTTGGCAGGGCAAAGGGGACGCTTCTCGAGGTGAGCCAGGGCACCCAAGGACCCTTTCCAGTAGCAACAGGGATTTTGGGATTCCTATAAGTATTCAAGAGGAGTCAGGCATCGTCACCTTTTGAAGCAGTGAACTCTGCGTGCCTCTCGAGGTGTCAGGGGGATGTGAGGTATTCCGTCAAAATGAGGCAGGGAAATAGGGCTTCCTCTAAGGTCTCCACAGGGGATTCAGACATCCCTTCATGTTGTCAGATCAAAGACGAGCCTGTATTCAACCCTCTGCAAGGAAATCTGGCCTCCGTTCACATTAGGGCTTCTCCCTGTGTATTCCCCTTGAGGCAGCAAACACGGGGTCCCTCCAACATACCTATTGCTGAGAGAAGCCTCCTCCTGAGATGCTTCTGGAAAGTTGGCATACGTCTTGAGCCTAAGCCAGGGAATCAGCTCTCATCTCGAGATGATTTGGGGTACACGGAGCATTCCTCGAGTTGCTGTGCTGAAGTTGGTGTTCCTCTAGCCTTGGGACAGTGTTCTCGGGGAATCTCTGGAGTTGCCTGAATGAAGTCGAGCCACCGGTCGTCTTGAATGGGGAACGGGGAATGGCTCTGGAGTCAATGCAGGGGAATCGGGCCTCATCTCGAGTTGATTTGGGGCACATGGAGCAGCTTTGCGTGGTGGGGTGACTTCAGGCTCAGTCTAGACTGGTGACAGTGTTCTTGGGGACTGTCTCGAGATCCATTAAGCAAGTCGAAGCTCCTGACTTGTTTGAATGTGATCACGGAATAGCTCTGCATGCACTGCAGGGGAATGGGGCCTCATCTCGCCTCTAGGGGGAAGTCTCATGGTTTTTCTCGAGTTGCAGCGGGGACCTGGGGTATGTTCTCGACTTACGGCGGGGATGGCCCTTCAAAACACGAGTTTCTCCAGTGACGTCAGGACTCCTGCCTAGTAACGAGGGACACCTCAGGAATCTCTTCGAGGCTTGGCAGGGCAAAAGGGACGCTTCTCGAGGTGAGGCAGGACACCCAAGGACCCTTTCCAGTAGCCACAGGGATTTTGGGATTCCTATCAGTATTCAAGAGGAGTCAGGTATCGTCACCTTTTGAAGCAATGAACTCCGCGTGCCTCTCGAGGTGTCAGCGGGATGTGAGGCATTCCGTCAAAATGAGGCAGGGACCTAGGGCTTTCTCTAAGGTCTCCACAGGGGATTCAGACATCCCTTCATGTTGTGAGATGAAAGACAAGCCTGTATTCAAGCTACTGCAAGGAAATCCGGCCTCCTTTCAAGTTAGGGCTTCTCGATGTATATTCCCCTTGAGGCAGCAAACTCGGAGTCCCTCCCACATACCTATTGCTGAGAAGCCTCCTCCTGAGGTGCTTCTGGAAAGTTGGCATACGTCTTGAGCCTAAGCCAGGGAATCAGCTCTCATCTCGAGATGATTTGGGGTACACAGAGCATTCCTCGAGTTGCTGTGCTGAAGTTGGTGTTCCTCTAGACTTGTGACAGTGTTCTCGGGGCATCTCTGGAGTTGCCTGAAGGAAGGCGATCCTCCGTTCGTGTTGAACGGGGAACGGGGAATGGCTCTGGAGTCAATGCAGGGGAATCGGGCCTCATCTCGAGTTGATTTGGGGCACATGGAGCTGCTTTGCGTTGCTGGGGTGACCTCAGGGTCCGTCTAGACTGGTGACAGTGTTCTTGGGGACTGTCTTGAGATCCATTAAGCAAGTCGAAGCTCCTGACTTGTTTGAATGGGATCACGGAATAGATCTGCATGCACTGCAGGGGAATGGGGCCTCATCTCGCCTCTAGGGGGAAGTCTCATGGTTTTTCTCGAGTTGCGGCGGGGACCTGGGGTATGTTCTCGACTTACGGCGGCGATGGCCCTTCAAAACACGAGTTTCTTCAGTGACGTCAGGACTCCTGTCTAGTAACGAGGGACACCTCAGGAATCTCTTCGAGGCTTGGCAGGGCAAAGGGGACGCTTCTCGAGGTGAGCCAGGGCACCCAAGGACCCTTTCCAGTAGCAACAGGGATTTTGGGATTCCTATAAGTATTCAAGAGGAGTCAGGCATCGTCACCTTTTGAAGCAATAAACTCTGCGTGCCTCTCGAGGTGTCAGGGGGATGTGAGGTATTCCGTCAAAATGAGGCAGGGAACTAGGGCTTCCTCTAAGGTCTCCACAGGGTATTCAGACATCCCTTAATGTTGTCAGATAAAAGACGAGCCTGTATTCAACCATCTGCAAGGAAAACTGGACTCCGTTCACATTAGGGCTTCCCCCTGTGTATTCCCCTTGAGGCAGCAAACACGGGGTCCCTCCCACATACCTATTGCTGAGAGAAGCCTCCTCCTGAGATGCTTCTGGAAAGTTGGCATACGTCTTGAGCCTAAGCCAGGGAATCAGCTCTCATCTCGAGATGATTTGGGGTACACGGAGCATTCCTCGAGTTGCTGTGCTGAAGTTGGTGTTCCTCTAGCCTTGGGACAGTGTTCTCGGGGAATCTCTGCAGTTGCCTGAAGGAAGTCGAGCCACCGGTCATCTTGAATGGGGAACGGGGAATGGCTCTGGAGTCAATGCAGGGGAATCGGGCCTCATCTCGAGTTGATTTGGGGCACATGGAGCAGCTTTGCGTTGCTGGGGTGACCTCAGGGTCCGTCTAGACTGGTGACAGTGTTCTTGGGGACTGTCTCGAGATCCATTAAGCAAGTCGAAGCTCCTGACTTGTTTGAATGGGATCACGGAATAGCTCTGCATGCACTGCAGGGGAATGGGGCTTCATCTCGCCTCCAGGGGGAAGTCTCACGGTTTTTCTCGAGTTGCGGCGGGGACCTGGGGTATGTTCTCGACTTACGGCGGGGATGGCCCTTCAAAACACGAGTTTCTCCAGTGACGTCAGGACTCCTGCCTAGTAACGAGGGACACCTCAGGAATCTCTTCGAGGCTTGGCAGGGCAAAAGGGACGCTTCTCGAGATGAGGCAGGGCACCCAAGGACCCTTTCCTGTAGCCACAGGTGATTTTGGGATTCCTATCAGTATTCAAGAGGAGTCAGGCATCGTCACCTTTTGAAGCAATGAACTCCGCGTGCCTCTCGAGGTGTCAGCGGGATGTGAGGCATTCCGTCAAAATGAGGCAGGGACCTAGGGCTTTCTCTAAGGTCTCCACAGGGGAATCAGACATCCCTTCATGTTGTGAGATGAAAGACAAGCCTGTATTCAGGCTACTGCAAGGAAATCCGGCCTCCTTTCAAGTTAGGGCTTCTCGATGTATATTCCCCTTGAGGCAGCAAACTCGGAGTCCCTCCCACATACCTATTGCTGAGAGAAGCCTCCTCCTGAGATGTTTCTGGAAAGTTGGCATACGTCTTGAGCCTAAGCCAGGGAATCAGCTCTCATCTCGAGACGATTTGGGGTACACAGAGCATTTCTCGAGTTGCTGTGCTGAAGTTGGTGTTCCTCTAGACTTGGGACAGTGTTCTCGGGGCATCTCTGGAGTTGCCTGAAGGAAGGCGAGCCTCCGTTCGTGTTGAACGGGGAACGGGGAATGGCTCTGGAGTCAATGCAGGGGAATCGGGCCTCATCTCGAGTTGATTTGGGGCACATGGAGCTGCTTTGCGTTGCTGGGGTGACCTCAGGGTCCGTCTAGACTGGTGACAGTGTTCTTGGGGACTGTCTCGAGATCCATTAAGCAAGTCGAAGCTCCTGACTTGTTTGAATGGGATCACGGAATAGCTCTGCATGCACTGCAGGGGAATGGGGCCTCATCTCGCCTATAGGGGGAAGTCTCATGGTTTTTCTCGAGTTGCGGCGGGGCCCTGGGGTATGTTCTCGACTTACGGCGGGGATGGCCCTTCAAAACACGAGTTTCTTCAGTGACGTCAGTACTCCTGTCTAGTAACGAGGGACACCTCAGGAATCTCTTCGAGGCTTGGCAGGGCAAAGGGGACACTTCTCGAGGTGAGCCAGGGCACCCAAGGACCCTTTCCAGTAGCAACAGGGATTTTGGGATTCCTATAAGTATTCAAGAGGAGTCAGGCATCGTCACCTTTTGAAGCAATGAACTCTGCGTGCCTCTCGAGGTTTCAGTGGGATGTGAGGTATTCCGTCAAAATGAGGCAGGGAAATAGGGCTTCCTCTAAGGTCTCCACAGGGGATTCAGACATCCCTTAATGTTGTCAGATCAAAGACGAGCCTGTATTCAACCCTCTGCAAGGAAATCTGGCCTCCGTTCACATCAGGGCTTCTCCCTGTGTATTCCCCTTGAGGCAGCAAACTCGGGGTCCCTCCCACATACCTATTGCTGAGAGAAGCCTCCTCCTGAGGTGCTTCTGGAAAGTTGGCATACGTCTTGAGCCTAAGCCAGGGAATCAGCTCTCATCTCGAGATGATTTGGGGTACACGGAGCATTCCTCGAGTTGCTGTGCTGAAGTTGGTGTTCCTCTAGCCTTGGGACAGTGTTCTCGGGGAATCTCTGGAGTTGCCTGAATGAAGTCGAGCCACCGGTCGTGTTGAATGGGGAACGGGGAATGGCTCTGGAGTCAATGCAGGGGAATCGGGCCTCATCTCGAGTTGATTTGGGGCACATGGAGCAGCTTTGCGTTGCTGGGGTGACCTCAGGGTCCGTCTAGACTGGTGACAGTGTTCTTGGGGACTGTCTCGAGATCCATTAAGCAAGTCGAAGCTCCTGACTTGTTTGAATGGGATCACGGAATAGCTCTGCATGCACTGCAGGGGAATGGGGCCTCATCTCGCCTATAGGGGGATGTCTCATGGTTTTTCTCGAGTTGCGGCGGGGACCTTGGGTATGTTCTCGACTTACGGCGGGGATGGCCCTTCAAAACACGAGTTTCTTCAGTGACGTCAGGACTCCTGTCTAGTAACGAGGGACACCTCAGCAATCTCTTCGAGGCTTGGCAGGGCAAAGGGGACGCTTCTCGAGGTGAGCCAGGGCACCCAAGGACCCTTTCCAGTAGCAACAGGGATTTTGGGATTCCTATAAGTATTCAAGAGGAGTCAGGCATCGTCACCTTTTGAAGCAGTGAACTCTGCGTGCCTCTCGAGGTGTCAGGGGGATGTGAGGTATTCCGTCAAAATGAGGCAGGGAAATAGGGCTTCCTCTAAGGTCTCCACAGGGGATTCAGACATCCCTTCATGTTGTCAGATCAAAGACGAGCCTGTATTCAACCCTCTGCAAGGAAATCTGGCCTCCGTTCACATTAGGGCTTCTCCCTGTGTATTCCCCTTGAGGCAGCAAACACGGGGTCCCTCCAACATACCTATTGCTGAGAGAAGCCTCCTCCTGAGATGCTTCTGGAAAGTTGGCATACGTCTTGAGCCTAAGCCAGGGAATCAGCTCTCATCTCGAGATGATTTGGGGTACACGGAGCATTCCTCGAGTTGCTGTGCTGAAGTTGGTGTTCCTCTAGCCTTGGGACATTGTTCTCGGGGAATCTCTGGAGTTGCCTGAATGAAGTCGAGCCACCGGTCGTCTTGAATGGGGAACGGGGAATGGCTCTGGAGTCAATGCAAGGGAATCGGGCCTCATCTCGAGTTGATTTGGGGCACATGGAGCAGCTTTGCGTGCTGGGGTGACTTCAGGCTCAGTCTAGACTGGTGACAGTGTTCTTGGGGACTGTCTCGAGATCCATTAAGCAAGTCGAAGCTCCTGACTTGTTTGAATGTGATCACGGAATAGCTCTGCATGCACTGCAGGGGAATGGGGCCTCATCTCGCCTCTAGGGGGAAGTCTCACGGTTTTTCTCGAGTTGCAGCGGGGACCTGGGGTATGTTCTCGACTTACGGCGGGGATGGCCCTTCAAAACACGAGTTTCTCCAGTGACGTCAGGACTCCTGCCTAGTAACGAGGGACACCTCAGGAATCTCTTCGAGGCTTGGCAGGGCAAAAGGGACGCTTCTCGAGGTGAGGCAGGACACCCAAGGACCCTTTCCAGTAGCCACAGGGATTTTGGGATTCCTATCAGTATTCAAGAGGAGTCAGGTATCGTCACCTTTTGAAGCAATGAACTCCGCGTGCCTCTCGAGGTGTCAGCGGGATGTGAGGCATTCCGTCAAAATGAGGCAGGGACCTAGGGCTTTCTCTAAGGTCTCCACAGGGGATTCAGACATCCCTTCATGTTGTGAGATGAAAGACAAGCCTGTATTCAAGCTACTGCAAGGAAATCCGGCCTCCTTTCAAGTTAGGGCTTCTCGATGTATATTCCCCTTGAGGCAGCAAACTCGGAGTCCCTCCCACATACCTATTGCTGAGAAGCCTCCTCCTGAGGTGCTTCTGGAAAGTTGGCATACGTCTTGAGCCTAAGCCAGGGAATCAGCTCTCATCTCGAGATGATTTGGGGTACACAGAGCATTCCTCGAGTTGCTGTGCTGAAGTTGGTGTTCCTCTAGACTTGTGACAGTGTTCTCGGGGCATCTCTGGAGTTGCCTGAAGGAAGGCGATCCTCCGTTCGTGTTGAACGGGGAACGGGGAATGGCTCTGGAGTCAATGCAAGGGAATCGGGCCTCATCTCGAGTTGATTTGGGGCACATGGAGCTGCTTTGCGTTGCTGGGGTGACCTCAGGGTCCGTCTAGACTGGTGACAGTGTTCTTGGGGACTGTCTCGAGATCCATTAAGCAAGTCGAAGCTCCTGACTTGTTTGAATGGGATCACGGAATAGCTCTGCATGCACTGCAGGGGAATGGGGCCTCATCTCGCCTATAGGGGGAAGTCTCATGGTTTTTCTCGAGTTGAGGCGGGGCCCTGGGGTATCTTCTCGACTTACGGCGGGGATGGCCCTTCAAAACACGAGTTTCTTCAGTGACGTCAGTACTCCTGTCTAGTAACGAGGGACACCTCAGGAATCTCTTCGAGGCTTGGCAGGGCAAAGGGGACACTTCTCGAGGTGAGCCAGGGCACCCAAGGACCCTTTCCAGTAGCAACAGGGATTTTGGGATTCCTATAAGTATTCAAGAGGAGTCAGGCATCGTCACCTTTTGAAGCAATGAACTCTGCGTGCCTCTCGAGGTTTCAGGGGGATGTGAGGTATTCCGTCAAAATGAGGCAGGGAAATAGGGCTTCCTCTAAGGTCTCCACAGGGGATTCAGACATCCCTTAATGTTGTCAGATCAAAGACGAGCCTGTATTCAACCCTCTGCAAGGAAATCTGGCCTCCGTTCACATCAGGGCTTCTCCCTGTGTATTCCCCTTGAGGCAGCAAACTCGGGGTCCCTCCCACATACCTATTGCTGAGAGAAGCCTCCTCCTGAGGTGCTTCTGGAAAGTTGGCATACGTCTTGAGCCTAAGCCAGGGAATCAGCTCTCATCTCGAGATGATTTGGGGTACACGGAGCATTCCTCGAGTTGCTGTGCTGAAGTTGGTGTTCCTCTAGCCTTGGGACAGTGTTCTCGGGGAATCTCTGGAGTTGCCTGAATGAAGTCGAGCCACCGGTCGTGTTGAATGGGGAACGGGGAATGGCTCTGGAGTCAATGCAGGGGAATCGGGCCTCATCTCGAGTTGATTTGGGGCACATGGAGCAGCTTTGCGTTGCTGGGGTGACCTCAGGGTCCGTCTAGACTGGTGACAGTGTTCTTGGGGACTGTCTCGAGATCCATTAAGCAAGTCGAAGCTCCTGACTTGTTTGAATGGGATCACGGAATAGCTCTGCATGCACTGCAGGGGAATGGGGCCTCATCTCGCCTATAGGGGGATGTCTCATGGTTTTTCTCGAGTTGCGGCGGGGACCTTGGGTATGTTCTCGACTTACGGCGGGGATGGCCCTTCAAAACACGAGTTTCTTCAGTGACGTCAGGACTCCTGTCTAGTAACGAGGGACACCTCAGCAATCTCTTCGAGGCTTGGCAGGGCAAAGGGGACGCTTCTCGAGGTGAGCCAGGGCACCCAAGGACCCTTTCCAGTAGCAACAGGGATTTTGGGATTCCTATAAGTATTCAAGAGGAGTCAGGCATCGTCACCTTTTGAAGCAGTGAACTCTGCGTGCCTCTCGAGGTGTCAGGGGGATGTGAGGTATTCCGTCAAAATGAGGCAGGGAAATAGGGCTTCCTCTAAGGTCTCCACAGGGGATTCAGACATCCCTTCATGTTGTCAGATCAAAGACGAGCCTGTATTCAACCCTCTGCAAGGAAATCTGGCCTCCGTTCACATTAGGGCTTCTCCCTGTGTATTCCCCTTGAGGCAGCAAACACGGGGTCCCTCCAACATACCTATTGCTGAGAGAAGCCTCCTCCTGAGATGCTTCTGGAAAGTTGGCATACGTCTTGAGCCTAAGCCAGGGAATCAGCTCTCATCTCGAGATGATTTGGGGTACACGGAGCATTCCTCGAGTTGCTGTGCTGAAGTTGGTGTTCCTCTAGCCTTGGGACATTGTTCTCGGGGAATCTCTGGAGTTGCCTGAATGAAGTCGAGCCACCGGTCGTCTTGAATGGGGAACGGGGAATGGCTCTGGAGTCAATGCAGGGGAATCGGGCCTCATCTCGAGTTGATTTGGGGCACATGGAGCAGCTTTGCGTGCTGGGGTGACTTCAGGCTCAGTCTAGACTGGTGACAGTGTTCTTGGGGACTGTCTCGAGATCCATTAAGCAAGTCGAAGCTCCTGACTTGTTTGAATGTGATCACGGAATAGCTCTGCATGCACTGCAGGGGAATGGGGCCTCATCTCGCCTCTAGGGGGAAGTCTCACGGTTTTTCTCGAGTTGCAGCGGGGACCTGGGGTATGTTCTCGACTTACGGCGGGGATGGCCCTTCAAAACACGAGTTTCTCCAGTGACGTCAGGACTCCTGCCTAGTAACGAGGGACACCTCAGGAATCTCTTCGAGGCTTGGCAGGGCAAAAGGGACGCTTCTCGAGGTGAGGCAGGACACCCAAGGACCCTTTCCAGTAGCCACAGGGATTTTGGGATTCCTATCAGTATTCAAGAGGAGTCAGGTATCGTCACCTTTTGAAGCAATGAACTCCGCGTGCCTCTCGAGGTGTCAGCGGGATGTGAGGCATTCCGTCAAAATGAGGCAGGGACCTAGGGCTTTCTCTAAGGTCTCCACAGGGGATTCAGACATCCCTTCATGTTGTGAGATGAAAGACAAGCCTGTATTCAAGCTACTGCAAGGAAATCCGGCCTCCTTTCAAGTTAGGGCTTCTCGATGTATATTCCCCTTGAGGCAGCAAACTCGGAGTCCCTCCCACATACCTATTGCTGAGAAGCCTCCTCCTGAGGTGCTTCTGAAAAGTTGGCATACGTCTTGAGCCTAAGCCAGGGAATCAGCTCTCATCTCGAGATGATTTGGGGTACACAGAGCATTCCTCGAGTTGCTGTGCTGAAGTTGGTGTTCCTCTAGACTTGTGACAGTGTTCTCGGGGCATCTCTGGAGTTGCCTGAAGGAAGGCGATCCTCCGTTCGTGTTGAACGGGGAACGGGGAATGGCTCTGGAGTCAATGCAAGGGAATCGGGCCTCATCTCGAGTTGATTTGGGGCACATGGAGCTGCTTTGCGTTGCTGGGGTGACCTCAGGGTCCGTCTAGACTGGTGACAGTGTTCTTGGGGACTGTCTTGAGATCCATTAAGCAAGTCGAAGCTCCTGACTTGTTTGAATGGGATCACGGAATAGATCTGCATGCACTGCAGGGGAATGGGGCCTCATCTCGCCTCTAGGGGGAAGTCTCATGGTTTTTCTCGAGTTGCGGCGGGGACCTGGGGTATGTTCTCGACTTACGGCGGCGATGGCCCTTCAAAACACGAGTTTCTTCAGTGACGTCAGGACTCCTGTCTAGTAACGAGGGACACCTCAGCAATCTCTTCGAGGCTTGGCAGGGCAAAGGGGACGCTTCTCGAGGTGAGCCAGGGCACCCAAGGACCCTTTCCAGTAGCAACAGGGATTTTGGGATTCCTATAAGTATTCAAGAGGAGTCAGGCATCGTCACCTTTTGAAGCAATAAACTCTGCGTGCCTCTCGAGGTGTCAGGGGGATGTGAGGTATTCCGTCAAAATGAGGCAGGGACCTAGGGCTTCCTCTAAGGTCTCCACAGGGTATTCAGACATCCCTTAATGTTGTCAGATAAAAGACGAGCCTGTATTCAACCATCTGCAAGGAAATCTGGACTCCGTTCACATTAGGGCTTCCCCCTGTGTATTCCCCTTGAGGCAGCAAACACGGGGTCCCTCCCACATACCTATTGCTGAGAGAAGCCTCCTCCTGAGATGCTTCTGGAAAGTTGGCATACGTCTTGAGCCTAAGCCAGGGAATCAGCTCTCATCTCGAGATGATTTGGGGTACACGGAGCATTCCTCGAGTTGCTGTGCTGAAGTTGGTGTTCCTCTAGCCTTGGGACAGTGTTCTCGGGGAATCTCTGCAGTTGCCTGAAGGAAGTCGAGCCACCGGTCATCTTGAATGGGGAACGGGGAATGGCTCTGGAGTCAATGCAGGGGAATCGGGCCTCATCTCGAGTTGATTTGGGGCACATGGAGCAGCTTTGCGTTGCTGGGGTGACCTCAGGGTCCGTCTAGACTGGTGACAGTGTTCTTGGGGACTGTCTCGAGATCCATTAAGCAAGTCGAAGCTCCTGACTTGTTTGAATGGGATCACGGAATAGCTCTGCATGCACTGCAGGGGAATGGGGCTTCATCTCGCCTCCAGGGGGAAGTCTCACGGTTTTTCTCGAGTTGCGGCGGGGACCTGGGGTATGTTCTCGACTTACGGCGGGGATGGCCCTTCAAAACACGAGTTTCTCCAGTGACGTCAGGACTCCTGCCTAGTAACGAGGGACACCTCAGGAATCTCTTCGAGGCTTGGCAGGGCAAAAGGGACGCTTCTCGAGATGAGGCAGGGCACCCAAGGACCCTTTCCTGTAGCCACAGGTGATTTTGGGATTCCTATCAGTATTCAAGAGGAGTCAGGCATCGTCACCTTTTGAAGCAATGAACTCCGCGTGCCTCTCGAGGTGTCAGCGGGATGTGAGGCATTCCGTCAAAATGAGGCAGGGACCTAGGGCTTTCTCTAAGGTCTCCACAGGGGATTCAGACATCCCTTCATGTTGTGAGATGAAAGACAAGCCTGTATTCAAGCTACTGCAAGGAAATCCGGCCTCCTTTCAAGTTAGGGCTTCTCGATGTATATTCCCCTTGAGGCAGCAAACTCGGAGTCCCTCCCACATACCTATTGCTGAGAGAAGCCTCCTCCTGAGATGTTTCTGGAAAGTTGGCATACGTCTTGAGCCTAAGCCAGGGAATCAGCTCTCATCTCGAGACGATTTGGGGTACACAGAGCATTTCTCGAGTTGCTGTGCTGAAGTTGGTGTTCCTCTAGACTTGGGACAGTGTTCTCGGGGCATCTCTGGAGTTGCCTGAAAGAAGGCGAGCCTCCGTTCGTGTTGAACGGGGAACGGGGAATGGCTCTGGAGTCAATGCAGGGGAATCGGGCCTCATCTCGAGTTGATTTGGGGCACATGGAGCTGCTTTGCGTTGCTGGGGTGACCTCAGGGTCCGTCTAGACTGGTGACAGTGTTCTTGGGGACTGTCTCGAGATCCATTAAGCAAGTCGAAGCTCCTGACTTGTTTGAATGGGATCACGGAATAGCTCTGCATGCACTGCAGGGGAATGGGGCCTCATCTCGCCTATAGGGGGAAGTCTCATGGTTTTTCTCGAGTTGCGGCGGGGCCCTGGGGTATGTTCTCGACTTACGGCGGGGATGGCCCTTCAAAACACGAGTTTCTTCAGTGACGTCAGTACTCCTGTCTAGTAACGAGGGACACCTCAGGAATCTCTTCGAGGCTTGGCAGGGCAAAGGGGACGCTTCTCGAGGTGAGCCAGGGCACCCAAGGACCCTTTCCAGTAGCAACAGGGATTTTGGGATTCCTATAAGTATTCAAGAGGAGTCAGGCATCGTCACCTTTTGAAGCAATGAACTCTGCGTGCCTCTCGAGGTTTCAGGGGGATGTGAGGTATTCCGTCAAAATGAGGCAGGGAAATAGGTCTTCCTCTAAGGTCTCCACAGGGGATTCAGACATCCCTTAATGTTGTCAGATCAAAGACGAGCCTGTATTCAACCCTCTGCAAGGAAATCTGGCCTCCGTTCACATCAGGGCTTCTCCCTGTGTATTCCCCTTGAGGCAGCAAACTCGGGGTCCCTCCCACATACCTATTGCTGAGAGAAGCCTCCTCCTGAGGTGCTTCTGGAAAGTTGGCATACGTCTTGAGCCTAAGCCAGGGAATCAGCTCTCATCTCGAGATGATTTGGGGTACACGGAGCATTCCTCGAGTTGCTGTGCTGAAGTTGGTGTTCCTCTAGCCTTGGGACAGTGTTCTCGGGGAATCTCTGGAGTTGCCTGAATGAAGTCGAGCCACCGGTCGTGTTGAATGGGGAACGGGGAATGGCTCTGGAGTCAATGCAGGGGAATCGGGCCTCATCTCGAGTTGATTTGGGGCACATGGAGCAGCTTTGCGTTGCTGGGGTGACCTCAGGGTCCGTCTAGACTGGTGACAGTGTTCTTGGGGACTGTCTCGAGATCCATTAAGCAAGTCGAAGCTCCTGACTTGTTTGAATGGGATCACGGAATAGCTCTGCATGCACTGCAGGGGAATGGGGCCTCATCTCGCCTATAGGGGGATGTCTCATGGTTTTTCTCGAGTTGCGGCGGGGACCTTGGGTATGTTCTCGACTTACGGCGGGGATGGCCCTTCAAAACACGAGTTTCTTCAGTGACGTCAGGACTCCTGTCTAGTAACGAGGGACACCTCAGCAATCTCTTCGAGGCTTGGCAGGGCAAAGGGGACGCTTCTCGAGGTGAGCCAGGGCACCCAAGGACCCTTTCCAGTAGCAACAGGGATTTTGGGATTCCTATAAGTATTCAAGAGGAGTCAGGCATCGTCACCTTTTGAAGCAGTGAACTCTGCGTGCCTCTCGAGGTGTCAGGGGGATGTGAGGTATTCCGTCAAAATGAGGCAGGGAAATAGGGCTTCCTCTAAGGTCTCCACAGGGGATTCAGACATCCCTTCATGTTGTCAGATCAAAGACGAGCCTGTATTCAACCCTCTGCAAGGAAATCTGGCCTCCGTTCACATTAGGGCTTCTCCCTGTGTATTCCCCTTGAGGCAGCAAACACGGGGTCCCTCCAACATACCTATTGCTGAGAGAAGCCTCCTCCTGAGATGCTTCTGGAAAGTTAGCATACGTCTTGAGCCTAAGCCAGGGAATCAGCTCTCATCTCGAGATGATTTGGGGTACACGGAGCATTCCTCGAGTTGCTGTGCTGAAGTTGGTGTTCCTCTAGCCTTGGGACATTGTTCTCGGGGAATCTCTGGAGTTGCCTGAATGAAGTCGAGCCACCGGTCGTGTTGAATGGGGAACGGGGAATGGCTCTGGAGTCAATGCAGGGGAATCGGGCCTCATCTCGAGTTGATTTGGGGCACATGGAGCAGCTTTGCGTGCTGGGGTGACTTCAGGCTCAGTCTAGACTGGTGACAGTGTTCTTGGGGACTGTCTCGAGATCCATTAAGCAAGTCGAAGCTCCTGACTTGTTTGAATGTGATCACGGAATAGCTCTGCATGCACTGCAGGGGAATGGGGCCTCATCTCGCCTCTAGGGGGAAGTCTCACGGTTTTTCTCGAGTTGCAGCGGGGACCTGGGGTATGTTCTCGACTTACGGCGGGGATGGCCCTTCAAAACACGAGTTTCTCCAGTGACGTCAGGACTCCTGCCTAGTAACGAGGGACACCTCAGGAATCTCTTCGAGGCTTGGCAGGGCAAAAGGGACGCTTCTCGAGGTGAGGCAGGACACCCAAGGACCCTTTCCAGTAGCCACAGGGATTTTGGGATTCCTATCAGTATTCAAGAGGAGTCAGGTATCGTCACCTTTTGAAGCAATGAACTCCGCGTGCCTCTCGAGGTGTCAGCGGGATGTGAGGCATTCCGTCAAAATGAGGCAGGGACCTAGGGCTTTCTCTAAGGTCTCCACAGGGGATTCAGACATCTCTTCATGTTGTGAGATGAAAGACAAGCCTGTATTCAAGCTACTGCAAGGAAATCCGGCCTCCTTTCAAGTTAGGGCTTCTCGATGTATATTCCCCTTGAGGCAGCAAACTCGGAGTCCCTCCCACATACCTATTGCTGAGAAGCCTCCTCCTGAGGTGCTTCTGGAAAATTGGCATACGTCTTGAGCCTAAGCCAGGGAATCAGCTCTCATCTCGAGATGATTTGGGGTACACAGAGCATTCCTCGAGTTGCTGTGCTGAAGTTGGTGTTCCTCTAGACTTGTGACAGTGTTCTCGGGGCATCTCTGGAGTTGCCTGAAGGAAGGCGATCCTCCGTTCGTGTTGAACGGGGAACGGGGAATGGCTCTGGAGTCAATGCAGGGGAATCGGGCCTCATCTCGAGTTGATTTGGGGCACATGGAGCTGCTTTGCGTTGCTGGGGTGACCTCAGGGTCCGTCTAGACTGGTGACAGTGTTCTTGGGGACTGTCTTGAGATCCATTAAGCAAGTCGAAGCTCCTGACTTGTTTGAATGGGATCACGGAATAGATCTGCATGCACTGCAGGGGAATGGGGCCTCATCTCGCCTCTAGGGGGAAGTCTCATGGTTTTTCTCGAGTTGCGGCGGGGACCTGGGGTATGTTCTCGACTTACGGCGGCGATGGCCCTTCAAAACACGAGTTTCTTCAGTGACGTCAGGACTCCTGTCTAGTAACGAGGGACACCTCAGCAATCTCTTCGAGGCTTGGCAGGGCAAAGGGGACGCTTCTCGAGGTGAGCCAGGGCACCCAAGGACCCTTTCCAGTAGCAACAGGGATTTTGGGATTCCTATAAGTATTCAAGAGGAGTCAGGCATCGTCACCTTTTGAAGCAATAAACTCTGCGTGCCTCTCGAGGTGTCAGGGGGATGTGAGGTATTCCGTCAAAATGAGGCAGGGACCTAGGGCTTCCTCTAAGGTCTCCACAGGGTATTCAGACATCCCTTAATGTTGTCAGATAAAAGACGAGCCTGTATTCAACCATCTGCAAGGAAATCTGGACTCCGTTCACATTAGGGCTTCCCCCTGTGTATTCCCCTTGAGGCAGCAAACACGGGGTCCCTCCCACATACCTATTGCTGAGAGAAGCCTCCTCCTGAGATGCTTCTGGAAAGTTGGCATACGTCTTGAGCCTAAGCCAGGGAATCAGCTCTCATCTCGAGATGATTTGGGGTACACGGAGCATTCCTCGAGTTGCTGTGCTGAAGTTGGTGTTCCTCTAGCCTTGGGACAGTGTTCTCGGGGAATCTCTGCAGTTGCCTGAAGGAAGTCGAGCCACCGGTCATCTTGAATGGGGAACGGGGAATGGCTCTGGAGTCAATGCAGGGGAATCGGGCCTCATCTCGAGTTGATTTGGGGCACATGGAGCAGCTTTGCGTTGCTGGGGTGACCTCAGGGTCCGTCTAGACTGGTGACAGTGTTCTTGGGGACTGTCTCGAGATCCATTAAGCAAGTCGAAGCTCCTGACTTGTTTGAATGGGATCACGGAATAGCTCTGCATGCACTGCAGGGGAATGGGGCTTCATCTCGCCTCCAGGGGGAAGTCTCACGGTTTTTCTCGAGTTGCGGCGGGGACCTGGGGTATGTTCTCGACTTACGGCGGGGATGGCCCTTCAAAACACGAGTTTCTCCAGTGACGTCAGGACTCCTGCCTAGTAACGAGGGACACCTCAGGAATCTCTTCGAGGCTTGGCAGGGCAAAAGGGACGCTTCTCGAGATGAGGCAGGGCACCCAAGGACCCTTTCCTGTAGCCACAGGTGATTTTGGGATTCCTATCAGTATTCAAGAGGAGTCAGGCATCGTCACCTTTTGAAGCAATGAACTCCGCGTGCCTCTCGAGGTGTCAGCGGGATGTGAGGCATTCCGTCAAAATGAGGCAGGGACCTAGGGCTTTCTCTAAGGTCTCCACAGGGGATTCAGACATCCCTTCATGTTGTGAGATGAAAGACAAGCCTGTATTCAAGCTACTGCAAGGAAATCCGGCCTCCTTTCAAGTTAGGGCTTCTCGATGTATATTCCCCTTGAGGCAGCAAACTCGGAGTCCCTCCCACATACCTATTGCTGAGAAGCCTCCTCCTGAGGTGCTTCTGGAAAGTTGGCATACGTCTTGAGCCTAAGCCAGGGAATCAGCTCTCATCTCGAGACGATTTGCGGTACACAGAGCATTCCTCGAGTTGCTGTGCTGAAGTTGGTGTTCCTCTAGACTTGGGACAGTGTTCTCGGGGCATCTCTGGAGTTGCCTGAAGGAAGGCGAGCCTCCGTTCGTGTTGAAGGGGGAACGGGAATGGCTCTGGAGTCAATGCAGGGGAATCGGGCCTCATCTCGAGTTGATTTGGGGCACATGGAGCTGCTTTGCGTTGCTGGGGTGACCTCAGGGTCCGTCTAGACTGGTGACAGTGTTCTTGGGGACTGTCTCGAGATCCATTAAGCAAGTCGAAGCTCCTGACTTGTTTGAATGGGATCACGGAATAGCTCTGCATGCACTGCAGGGGAATGGGGCTTCATCTCGCCTCCAGGGGGAAGTCTCACGGTTTTTCTCGAGTTGCGGCGGGGACCTGGGGTATGTTCTCGACTTACGGCGGGGATGGCCCTTCAAAACACGAGTTTCTCCAGTGACGTCAGGACTCCTGCCTAGTAACGAGGGACACCTCAGGAATCTCTTCGAGGCTTGGCAGGGCAAAAGGGACGCTTCTCGAGATGAGGCAGGGCACCCAAGGACCCTTTCCTGTAGCCACAGGTGATTTTGGGATTCCTATCAGTATTCAAGAGGAGTCAGGCATCGTCACCTTTTGAAGCAATGAACTCCGCGTGCCTCTCGAGGTGTCAGCGGGATGTGAGGCATTCCGTCAAAATGAGGCAGGGACCTAGGGCTTTCTCTAAGGTCTCCACAGGGGATTCAGACATCCCTTCATGTTGTGAGATGAAAGACAAGCCTGTATTCAAGCTACTGCAAGGAAATCCGGCCTCCTTTCAAGTTAGGGCTTCTCGATGTATATTCCCCTTGAGGCAGCAAACTCGGAGTCCCTCCCACATACCTATTGCTGAGAGAAGCCTCCTCCTGAGATGTTTCTGGAAAGTTGGCATACGTCTTGAGCCTAAGCCAGGGAATCAGCTCTCATCTCGAGACGATTTGGGGTACACAGAGCATTTCTCGAGTTGCTGTGCTGAAGTTGGTGTTCCTCTAGACTTGGGACAGTGTTCTCGGGGCATCTCTGGAGTTGCCTGAAAGAAGGCGAGCCTCCGTTCGTGTTGAACGGGGAACGGGGAATGGCTCTGGAGTCAATGCAGGGGAATCGGGCCTCATCTCGAGTTGATTTGGGGCACATGGAGCTGCTTTGCGTTGCTGGGGTGACCTCAGGGTCCGTCTAGACTGGTGACAGTGTTCTTGGGGACTGTCTCGAGATCCATTAAGCAAGTCGAAGCTCCTGACTTGTTTGAATGGGATCACGGAATAGCTCTGCATGCACTGCAGGGGAATGGGGCCTCATCTCGCCTATAGGGGGAAGTCTCATGGTTTTTCTCGAGTTGCGGCGGGGCCCTGGGGTATGTTCTCGACTTACGGCGGGGATGGCCCTTCAAAACACGAGTTTCTTCAGTGACGTCAGTACTCCTGTCTAGTAACGAGGGACACCTCAGGAATCTCTTCGAGGCTTGGCAGGGCAAAGGGGACGCTTCTCGAGGTGAGCCAGGGCACCCAAGGACCCTTTCCAGTAGCAACAGGGATTTTGGGATTCCTATAAGTATTCAAGAGGAGTCAGGCATCGTCACCTTTTGAAGCAATGAACTCTGCGTGCCTCTCGAGGTTTCAGGGGGATGTGAGGTATTCCGTCAAAATGAGGCAGGGAAATAGGGCTTCCTCTAAGGTCTCCACAGGGGATTCAGACATCCCTTAATGTTGTCAGATCAAAGACGAGCCTGTATTCAACCCTCTGCAAGGAAATCTGGCCTCCGTTCACATCAGGGCTTCTCCCTGTGTATTCCCCTTGAGGCAGCAAACTCGGGGTCCCTCCCACATACCTATTGCTGAGAGAAGCCTCCTCCTGAGGTGCTTCTGGAAAGTTGGCATACGTCTTGAGCCTAAGCCAGGGAATCAGCTCTCATCTCGAGATGATTTGGGGTACACGGAGCATTCCTCGAGTTGCTGTGCTGAAGTTGGTGTTCCTCTAGCCTTGGGACAGTGTTCTCGGGGAATCTCTGGAGTTGCCTGAATGAAGTCGAGCCACCGGTCGTGTTGAATGGGGAACGGGGAATGGCTCTGGAGTCAATGCAGGGGAATCGGGCCTCATCTCGAGTTGATTTGGGGCACATGGAGCAGCTTTGCGTTGCTGGGGTGACCTCAGGGTCCGTCTAGACTGGTGACAGTGTTCTTGGGGACTGTCTCGAGATCCATTAAGCAAGTCGAAGCTCCTGACTTGTTTGAATGGGATCACGGAATAGCTCTGCATGCACTGCAGGGGAATGGGGCCTCATCTCGCCTATAGGGGGATGTCTCATGGTTTTTCTCGAGTTGCGGCGGGGACCTTGGGTATGTTCTCGACTTACGGCGGGGATGGCCCTTCAAAACACGAGTTTCTTCAGTGACGTCAGGACTCCTGTCTAGTAACGAGGGACACCTCAGCAATCTCTTCGAGGCTTGGCAGGGCAAAGGGGACGCTTCTCGAGGTGAGCCAGGGCACCCAAGGACCCTTTCCAGTAGCAACAGGGATTTTGGGATTCCTATAAGTATTCAAGAGGAGTCAGGCATCGTCACCTTTTGAAGCAGTGAACTCTGCGTGCCTCTCGAGGTGTCAGGGGGATGTGAGGTATTCCGTCAAAATGAGGCAGGGAAATAGGGCTTCCTCTAAGGTCTCCACAGGGGATTCAGACATCCCTTCATGTTGTCAGATCAAAGACGAGCCTGTATTCAACCCTCTGCAAGGAAATCTGGCCTCCGTTCACATTAGGGCTTCTCCCTGTGTATTCCCCTTGAGGCAGCAAACACGGGGTCCCTCCAACATACCTATTGCTGAGAGAAGCCTCCTCCTGAGATGCTTCTGGAAAGTTAGCATACGTCTTGAGCCTAAGCCAGGGAATCAGCTCTCATCTCGAGATGATTTGGGGTACACGGAGCATTCCTCGAGTTGCTGTGCTGAAGTTGGTGTTCCTCTAGCCTTGGGACATTGTTCTCGGGGAATCTCTGGAGTTGCCTGAATGAAGTCGAGCCACCGGTCGTGTTGAATGGGGAACGGGGAATGGCTCTGGAGTCAATGCAGGGGAATCGGGCCTCATCTCGAGTTGATTTGGGGCACATGGAGCAGCTTTGCGTGCTGGGGTGACTTCAGGCTCAGTCTAGACTGGTGACAGTGTTCTTGGGGACTGTCTCGAGATCCATTAAGCAAGTCGAAGCTCCTGACTTGTTTGAATGTGATCACGGAATAGCTCTGCATGCACTGCAGGGGAATGGGGCCTCATCTCGCCTCTAGGGGGAAGTCTCACGGTTTTTCTCGAGTTGCAGCGGGGACCTGGGGTATGTTCTCGACTTACGGCGGGGATGGCCCTTCAAAACACGAGTTTCTCCAGTGACGTCAGGACTCCTGCCTAGTAACGAGGGACACCTCAGGAATCTCTTCGAGGCTTGGCAGGGCAAAAGGGACGCTTCTCGAGGTGAGGCAGGACACCCAAGGACCCTTTCCAGTAGCCACAGGGATTTTGGGATTCCTATCAGTATTCAAGAGGAGTCAGGTATCGTCACCTTTTGAAGCAATGAACTCCGCGTGCCTCTCGAGGTGTCAGCGGGATGTGAGGCATTCCGTCAAAATGAGGCAGGGACCTAGGGCTTTCTCTAAGGTCTCCACAGGGGATTCAGACATCTCTTCATGTTGTGAGATGAAAGACAAGCCTGTATTCAAGCTACTGCAAGGAAATCCGGCCTCCTTTCAAGTTAGGGCTTCTCGATGTATATTCCCCTTGAGGCAGCAAACTCGGAGTCCCTCCCACATACCTATTGCTGAGAAGCCTCCTCCTGAGGTGCTTCTGGAAAGTTGGCATACGTCTTGAGCCTAAGCCAGGGAATCAGCTCTCATCTCGAGATGATTTGGGGTACACAGAGCATTCCTCGAGTTGCTGTGCTGAAGTTGGTGTTCCTCTAGACTTGTGACAGTGTTCTCGGGGCATCTCTGGAGTTGCCTGAAGGAAGGCGATCCTCCGTTCGTGTTGAACGGGGAACGGGGAATGGCTCTGGAGTCAATGCAGGGGAATCGGGCCTCATCTCGAGTTGATTTGGGGCACATGGAGCTGCTTTGCGTTGCTGGGGTGACCTCAGGGTCCGTCTAGACTGGTGACAGTGTTCTTGGGGACTGTCTTGAGATCCATTAAGCAAGTCGAAGCTCCTGACTTGTTTGAATGGGATCACGGAATAGATCTGCATGCACTGCAGGGGAATGGGGCCTCATCTCGCCTCTAGGGGGAAGTCTCATGGTTTTTCTCGAGTTGCGGCGGGGACCTGGGGTATGTTCTCGACTTACGGCGGCGATGGCCCTTCAAAACACGAGTTTCTTCAGTGACGTCAGGACTCCTGTCTAGTAACGAGGGACACCTCAGCAATCTCTTCGAGGCTTGGCAGGGCAAAGGGGACGCTTCTCGAGGTGAGCCAGGGCACCCAAGGACCCTTTCCAGTAGCAACAGGGATTTTGGGATTCCTATAAGTATTCAAGAGGAGTCAGGCATCGTCACCTTTTGAAGCAATAAACTCCGCGTGCCTCTCGAGGTGTCAGGGGGATGTGAGGTATTCCGTCAAAATGAGGCAGGGACCTAGGGCTTCCTCTAAGGTCTCCACAGGGTATTCAGACATCCCTTAATGTTGTCAGATAAAAGACGAGCCTGTATTCAACCATCTGCAAGGAAATCTGGACTCCGTTCACATTAGGGCTTCCCCCTGTGTATTCCCCTTGAGGCAGCAAACACGGGGTCCCTCCCACATACCTATTGCTGAGAGAAGCCTCCTCCTGAGATGCTTCTGGAAAGTTGGCATACGTCTTGAGCCTAAGCCAGGGAATCAGCTCTCATCTCGAGATGATTTGGGGTACACGGAGCATTCCTCGAGTTGCTGTGCTGAAGTTGGTGTTCCTCTAGCCTTGGGACAGTGTTCTCGGGGAATCTCTGCAGTTGCCTGAAGGAAGTCGAGCCACCGGTCATCTTGAATGGGGAACGGGGAATGGCTCTGGAGTCAATGCAGGGGAATCGGGCCTCATCTCGAGTTGATTTGGGGCACATGGAGCAGCTTTGCGTTGCTGGGGTGACCTCAGGGTCCGTCTAGACTGGTGACAGTGTTCTTGGGGACTGTCTCGAGATCCATTAAGCAAGTCGAAGCTCCTGACTTGTTTGAATGGGATCACGGAATAGCTCTGCATGCACTGCAGGGGAATGGGGCTTCATCTCGCCTCCAGGGGGAAGTCTCACGGTTTTTCTCGAGTTGCGGCGGGGACCTGGGGTATGTTCTCGACTTACGGCGGGGATGGCCCTTCAAAACACGAGTTTCTCCAGTGACGTCAGGACTCCTGCCTAGTAACGAGGGACACCTCAGGAATCTCTTCGAGGCTTGGCAGGGCAAAAGGGACGCTTCTCGAGATGAGGCAGGGCACCCAAGGACCCTTTCCTGTAGCCACAGGTGATTTTGGGATTCCTATCAGTATTCAAGAGGAGTCAGGCATCGTCACCTTTTGAAGCAATAAACTCTGCGTGCCTCTCGAGGTGTCAGGGGGATGTGAGGTATTCCGTCAAAATGAGGCAGGGACCTAGGGCTTCCTCTAAGGTCTCCACAGGGTATTCAGACATCCCTTAATGTTGTCAGATAAAAGACGAGCCTGTATTCAACCATCTGCAAGGAAATCTGGACTCCGTTCACATTAGGGCTTCCCCCTGTGTATTCCCCTTGAGGCAGCAAACACGGGGTCCCTCCCACATACCTATTGCTGAGAGAAGCCTCCTCCTGAGATGCTTCTGGAAAGTTGGCATACGTCTTGAGCCTAAGCCAGGGAATCAGCTCTCATCTCGAGATGATTTGGGGTACACGGAGCATTCCTCGAGTTGCTGTGCTGAAGTTGGTGTTCCTCTAGCCTTGGGACAGTGTTCTCGGGGAATCTCTGCAGTTGCCTGAAGGAAGTCGAGCCACCGGTCATCTTGAATGGGGAACGGGGAATGGCTCTGGAGTCAATGCAGGGGAATCGGGCCTCATCTCGAGTTGATTTGGGGCACATGGAGCAGCTTTGCGTTGCTGGGGTGACCTCAGGGTCCGTCTAGACTGGTGACAGTGTTCTTGGGGACTGTCTCGAGATCCATTAAGCAAGTCGAAGCTCCTGACTTGTTTGAATGGGATCACGGAATAGCTCTGCATGCACTGCAGGGGAATGGGGCTTCATCTCGCCTCCAGGGGGAAGTCTCACGGTTTTTCTCGAGTTGCGGCGGGGACCTGGGGTATGTTCTCGACTTACGGCGGGGATGGCCCTTCAAAACACGAGTTTCTCCAGTGACGTCAGGACTCCTGCCTAGTAACGAGGGACACCTCAGGAATCTCTTCGAGGCTTGGCAGGGCAAAAGGGACGCTTCTCGAGATGAGGCAGGGCACCCAAGGACCCTTTCCTGTAGCCACAGGTGATTTTGGGATTCCTATCAGTATTCAAGAGGAGTCAGGCATCGTCACCTTTTGAAGCAATGAACTCCGCGTGCCTCTCGAGGTGTCAGCGGGATGTGAGGCATTCCGTCAAAATGAGGCAGGGACCTAGGGCTTTCTCTAAGGTCTCCACAGGGGATTCAGACATCCCTTCATGTTGTGAGATGAAAGACAAGCCTGTATTCAAGCTACTGCAAGGAAATCCGGCCTCCTTTCAAGTTAGGGCTTCTCGATGTATATTCCCCTTGAGGCAGCAAACTCGGAGTCCCTCCCACATACCTATTGCTGAGAAGCCTCCTCCTGAGGTGCTTCTGGAAAGTTGGCATACGTCTTGAGCCTAAGCCAGGGAATCAGCTCTCATCTCGAGACGATTTGCGGTACACAGAGCATTCCTCGAGTTGCTGTGCTGAAGTTGGTGTTCCTCTAGACTTGGGACAGTGTTCTCGGGGCATCTCTGGAGTTGCCTGAAGGAAGGCGAGCCTCCGTTCGTGTTGAAGGGGGAACGGGAATGGCTCTGGAGTCAATGCAGGGGAATCGGGCCTCATCTCGAGTTGATTTGGGGCACATGGAGCTGCTTTGCGTTGCTGGGGTGACCTCAGGGTCCGTCTAGACTGGTGACAGTGTTCTTGGGGACTGTCTCGAGATCCATTAAGCAAGTCGAAGCTCCTGACTTGTTTGAATGGGATCACGGAATAGCTCTGCATGCACTGCAGGGGAATGGGGCTTCATCTCGCCTCCAGGGGGAAGTCTCACGGTTTTTCTCGAGTTGCGGCGGGGACCTGGGGTATGTTCTCGACTTACGGCGGGGATGGCCCTTCAAAACACGAGTTTCTCCAGTGACGTCAGGACTCCTGCCTAGTAACGAGGGACACCTCAGGAATCTCTTCGAGGCTTGGCAGGGCAAAAGGGACGCTTCTCGAGATGAGGCAGGGCACCCAAGGACCCTTTCCTGTAGCCACAGGTGATTTTGGGATTCCTATCAGTATTCAAGAGGAGTCAGGCATCGTCACCTTTTGAAGCAATGAACTCCGCGTGCCTCTCGAGGTGTCAGCGGGATGTGAGGCATTCCGTCAAAATGAGGCAGGGACCTAGGGCTTTCTCTAAGGTCTCCACAGGGGATTCAGACATCCCTTCATGTTGTGAGATGAAAGACAAGCCTGTATTCAAGCTACTGCAAGGAAATCCGGCCTCCTTTCAAGTTAGGGCTTCTCGATGTATATTCCCCTTGAGGCAGCAAACTCGGAGTCCCTCCCACATACCTATTGCTGAGAGAAGCCTCCTCCTGAGATGTTTCTGGAAAGTTGGCATACGTCTTGAGCCTAAGCCAGGGAATCAGCTCTCATCTCGAGACGATTTGGGGTACACAGAGCATTTCTCGAGTTGCTGTGCTGAAGTTGGTGTTCCTCTAGACTTGGGACAGTGTTCTCGGGGCATCTCTGGAGTTGCCTGAAAGAAGGCGAGCCTCCGTTCGTGTTGAACGGGGAACGGGGAATGGCTCTGGAGTCAATGCAGGGGAATCGGGCCTCATCTCGAGTTGATTTGGGGCACATGGAGCTGCTTTGCGTTGCTGGGGTGACCTCAGGGTCCGTCTAGACTGGTGACAGTGTTCTTGGGGACTGTCTCGAGATCCATTAAGCAAGTCGAAGCTCCTGACTTGTTTGAATGGGATCACGGAATAGCTCTGCATGCACTGCAGGGGAATGGGGCCTCATCTCGCCTATAGGGGGAAGTCTCATGGTTTTTCTCGAGTTGCGGCGGGGCCCTGGGGTATGTTCTCGACTTACGGCGGGGATGGCCCTTCAAAACACGAGTTTCTTCAGTGACGTCAGTACTCCTGTCTAGTAACGAGGGACACCTCAGGAATCTCTTCGAGGCTTGGCAGGGCAAAGGGGACGCTTCTCGAGGTGAGCCAGGGCACCCAAGGACCCTTTCCAGTAGCAACAGGGATTTTGGGATTCCTATAAGTATTCAAGAGGAGTCAGGCATCGTCACCTTTTGAAGCAATGAACTCTGCGTGCCTCTCGAGGTTTCAGGGGGATGTGAGGTATTCCGTCAAAATGAGGCAGGGAAATAGGGCTTCCTCTAAGGTCTCCACAGGGGATTCAGACATACCTTAATGTTGTCAGATCAAAGACGAGCCTGTATTCAACCCTCTGCAAGGAAATCTGGCCTCCGTTCACATCAGGGCTTCTCCCTGTGTATTCCCCTTGAGGCAGCAAACTCGGGGTCCCTCCCACATACCTATTGCTGAGAGAAGCCTCCTCCTGAGGTGCTTCTGGAAAGTTGGCATACGTCTTGAGCCTAAGCCAGGGAATCAGCTCTCATCTCGAGATGATTTGGGGTACACGGAGCATTCCTCGAGTTGCTGTGCTGAAGTTGGTGTTCCTCTAGCCTTGGGACAGTGTTCTCGGGGAATCTCTGGAGTTGCCTGAATGAAGTCGAGCCACCGGTCGTGTTGAATGGGGAACGGGGAATGGCTCTGGAGTCAATGCAGGGGAATCGGGCCTCATCTCGAGTTGATTTGGGGCACATGGAGCAGCTTTGCGTTGCTGGGGTGACCTCAGGGTCCGTCTAGACTGGTGACAGTGTTCTTGGGGACTGTCTCGAGATCCATTAAGCAAGTCGAAGCTCCTGACTTGTTTGAATGGGATCACGGAATAGCTCTGCATGCACTGCAGGGGAATGGGGCCTCATCTCGCCTATAGGGGGATGTCTCATGGTTTTTCTCGAGTTGCGGCGGGGACCTTGGGTATGTTCTCGACTTACGGCGGGGATGGCCCTTCAAAACACGAGTTTCTTCAGTGACGTCAGGACTCCTGTCTAGTAACGAGGGACACCTCAGCAATCTCTTCGAGGCTTGGCAGGGCAAAGGGGACGCTTCTCGAGGTGAGCCAGGGCACCCAAGGACCCTTTCCAGTAGCAACAGGGATTTTGGGATTCCTATAAGTATTCAAGAGGAGTCAGGCATCGTCACCTTTTGAAGCAGTGAACTCTGCGTGCCTCTCGAGGTGTCAGGGGGATGTGAGGTATTCCGTCAAAATGAGGCAGGGAAATAGGGCTTCCTCTAAGGTCTCCACAGGGGATTCAGACATCCCTTCATGTTGTCAGATCAAAGACGAGCCTGTATTCAACCCTCTGCAAGGAAATCTGGCCTCCGTTCACATTAGGGCTTCTCCCTGTGTATTCCCCTTGAGGCAGCAAACACGGGGTCCCTCCAACATACCTATTGCTGAGAGAAGCCTCCTCCTGAGATGCTTCTGGAAAGTTAGCATACGTCTTGAGCCTAAGCCAGGGAATCAGCTCTCATCTCGAGATGATTTGGGGTACACGGAGCATTCCTCGAGTTGCTGTGCTGAAGTTGGTGTTCCTCTAGCCTTGGGACATTGTTCTCGGGGAATCTCTGGAGTTGCCTGAATGAAGTCGAGCCACCGGTCGTGTTGAATGGGGAACGGGGAATGGCTCTGGAGTCAATGCAGGGGAATCGGGCCTCATCTCGAGTTGATTTGGGGCACATGGAGCAGCTTTGCGTGCTGGGGTGACTTCAGGCTCAGTCTAGACTGGTGACAGTGTTCTTGGGGACTGTCTCGAGATCCATTAAGCAAGTCGAAGCTCCTGACTTGTTTGAATGTGATCACGGAATAGCTCTGCATGCACTGCAGGGGAATGGGGCCTCATCTCGCCTCTAGGGGGAAGTCTCACGGTTTTTCTCGAGTTGCGGCGGGGACCTGGGGTATGTTCTCGACTTACGGCGGGGATGGCCCTTCAAAACACGAGTTTCTCCAGTGACGTCAGGACTCCTGCCTAGTAACGAGGGACACCTCAGGAATCTCTTCGAGGCTTGGCAGGGCAAAAGGGACGCTTCTCGAGATGAGGCAGGGCACCCAAGGACCCTTTCCTGTAGCCACAGGTGATTTTGGGATTCCTATCAGTATTCAAGAGGAGTCAGGCATCGTCACCTTTTGAAGCAATGAACTCCGCGTGCCTCTCGAGGTGTCAGCGGGATGTGAGGCATTCCGTCAAAATGAGGCAGGGACCTAGGGCTTTCTCTAAGGTCTCCACAGGGGATTCAGACATCCCTTCATGTTGTGAGATGAAAGACAAGCCTGTATTCAAGCTACTGCAAGGAAATCCGGCCTCCTTTCAAGTTAGGGCTTCTCGATGTATATTCCCCTTGAGGCAGCAAACTCGGAGTCCCTCCCACATACCTATTGCTGAGAGAAGCCTCCTCCTGAGATGTTTCTGGAAAGTTGGCATACGTCTTGAGCCTAAGCCAGGGAATCAGCTCTCATCTCGAGACGATTTGGGGTACACAGAGCATTTCTCGAGTTGCTGTGCTGAAGTTGGTGTTCCTCTAGACTTGGGACAGTGTTCTCGGGGCATCTCTGGAGTTGCCTGAAAGAAGGCGAGCCTCCGTTCGTGTTGAACGGGGAACGGGGAATGGCTCTGGAGTCAATGCAGGGGAATCGGGCCTCATCTCGAGTTGATTTGGGGCACATGGAGCTGCTTTGCGTTGCTGGGGTGACCTCAGGGTCCGTCTAGACTGGTGACAGTGTTCTTGGGGACTGTCTCGAGATCCATTAAGCAAGTCGAAGCTCCTGACTTGTTTGAATGGGATCACGGAATAGCTCTGCATGCACTGCAGGGGAATGGGGCCTCATCTCGCCTATAGGGGGAAGTCTCATGGTTTTTCTCGAGTTGCGGCGGGGCCCTGGGGTATGTTCTCGACTTACGGCGGGGATGGCCCTTCAAAACACGAGTTTCTTCAGTGACGTCAGTACTCCTGTCTAGTAACGAGGGACACCTCAGGAATCTCTTCGAGGCTTGGCAGGGCAAAGGGGACGCTTCTCGAGGTGAGCCAGGGCACCCAAGGACCCTTTCCAGTAGCAACAGGGATTTTGGGATTCCTATAAGTATTCAAGAGGAGTCAGGCATCGTCACCTTTTGAAGCAATGAACTCTGCGTGCCTCTCGAGGTTTCAGGGGGATGTGAGGTATTCCGTCAAAATGAGGCAGGGAAATAGGGCTTCCTCTAAGGTCTCCACAGGGGATTCAGACATACCTTAATGTTGTCAGATCAAAGACGAGCCTGTATTCAACCCTCTGCAAGGAAATCTGGCCTCCGTTCACATCAGGGCTTCTCCCTGTGTATTCCCCTTGAGGCAGCAAACTCGGGGTCCCTCCCACATACCTATTGCTGAGAGAAGCCTCCTCCTGAGGTGCTTCTGGAAAGTTGGCATACGTCTTGAGCCTAAGCCAGGGAATCAGCTCTCATCTCGAGATGATTTGGGGTACACGGAGCATTCCTCGAGTTGCTGTGCTGAAGTTGGTGTTCCTCTAGCCTTGGGACAGTGTTCTCGGGGAATCTCTGGAGTTGCCTGAATGAAGTCGAGCCACCGGTCGTGTTGAATGGGGAACGGGGAATGGCTCTGGAGTCAATGCAGGGGAATCGGGCCTCATCTCGAGTTGATTTGGGGCACATGGAGCAGCTTTGCGTTGCTGGGGTGACCTCAGGGTCCGTCTAGACTGGTGACAGTGTTCTTGGGGACTGTCTCGAGATCCATTAAGCAAGTCGAAGCTCCTGACTTGTTTGAATGGGATCACGGAATAGCTCTGCATGCACTGCAGGGGAATGGGGCCTCATCTCGCCTATAGGGGGATGTCTCATGGTTTTTCTCGAGTTGCGGCGGGGACCTTGGGTATGTTCTCGACTTACGGCGGGGATGGCCCTTCAAAACACGAGTTTCTTCAGTGACGTCAGGACTCCTGTCTAGTAACGAGGGACACCTCAGCAATCTCTTCGAGGCTTGGCAGGGCAAAGGGGACGCTTCTCGAGGTGAGCCAGGGCACCCAAGGACCCTTTCCAGTAGCAACAGGGATTTTGGGATTCCTATAAGTATTCAAGAGGAGTCAGGCATCGTCACCTTTTGAAGCAGTGAACTCTGCGTGCCTCTCGAGGTGTCAGGGGGATGTGAGGTATTCCGTCAAAATGAGGCAGGGAAATAGGGCTTCCTCTAAGGTCTCCACAGGGGATTCAGACATCCCTTCATGTTGTCAGATCAAAGACGAGCCTGTATTCAACCCTCTGCAAGGAAATCTGGCCTCCGTTCACATTAGGGCTTCTCCCTGTGTATTCCCCTTGAGGCAGCAAACACGGGGTCCCTCCAACATACCTATTGCTGAGAGAAGCCTCCTCCTGAGATGCTTCTGGAAAGTTAGCATACGTCTTGAGCCTAAGCCAGGGAATCAGCTCTCATCTCGAGATGATTTGGGGTACACGGAGCATTCCTCGAGTTGCTGTGCTGAAGTTGGTGTTCCTCTAGCCTTGGGACATTGTTCTCGGGGAATCTCTGGAGTTGCCTGAATGAAGTCGAGCCACCGGTCGTGTTGAATGGGGAACGGGGAATGGCTCTGGAGTCAATGCAGGGGAATCGGGCCTCATCTCGAGTTGATTTGGGGCACATGGAGCAGCTTTGCGTGCTGGGGTGACTTCAGGCTCAGTCTAGACTGGTGACAGTGTTCTTGGGGACTGTCTCGAGATCCATTAAGCAAGTCGAAGCTCCTGACTTGTTTGAATGTGATCACGGAATAGCTCTGCATGCACTGCAGGGGAATGGGGCCTCATCTCGCCTCTAGGGGGAAGTCTCACGGTTTTTCTCGAGTTGCAGCGGGGACCTGGGGTATGTTCTCGACTTACGGCGGGGATGGCCCTTCAAAACACGAGTTTCTCCAGTGACGTCAGGACTCCTGCCTAGTAACGAGGGACACCTCAGGAATCTCTTCGAGGCTTGGCAGGGCAAAAGGGACGCTTCTCGAGGTGAGGCAGGACACCCAAGGACCCTTTCCAGTAGCCACAGGGATTTTGGGATTCCTATCAGTATTCAAGAGGAGTCAGGTATCGTCACCTTTTGAAGCAATGCACTCCGCGTGCCTCTCGAGGTGTCAGCGGGATGTGAGGCATTCCGTCAAAATGAGGCAGGGACCTAGGGCTTTCTCTAAGGTCTCCACAGGGGATTCAGACATCTCTTCATGTTGTGAGATGAAAGACAAGCCTGTATTCAAGCTACTGCAAGGAAATCCGGCCTCCTTTCAAGTTAGGGCTTCTCGATGTATATTCCCCTTGAGGCAGCAAACTCGGAGTCCCTCCCACATACCTATTGCTGAGAAGCCTCCTCCTGAGGTGCTTCTGGAAAGTTGGCATACGTCTTGAGCCTAAGCCAGGGAATCAGCTCTCATCTCGAGATGATTTGGGGTACACAGAGCATTCCTCGAGTTGCTGTGCTGAAGTTGGTGTTCCTCTAGACTTGTGACAGTGTTCTCGGGGCATCTCTGGAGTTGCCTGAAGGAAGGCGATCCTCCGTTCGTGTTGAACGGGGAACGGGGAATGGCTCTGGAGTCAATGCAGGGGAATCGGGCCTCATCTCGAGTTGATTTGGGGCACATGGAGCTGCTTTGCGTTGCTGGGGTGACCTCAGGGTCCGTCTAGACTGGTGACAGTGTTCTTGGGGACTGTCTTGAGATCCATTAAGCAAGTCGAAGCTCCTGACTTGTTTGAATGGGATCACGGAATAGATCTGCATGCACTGCAGGGGAATGGGGCCTCATCTCGCCTCTAGGGGGAAGTCTCATGGTTTTTCTCGAGTTGCGGCGGGGACCTGGGGTATGTTCTCGACTTACGGCGGCGATGGCCCTTCAAAACACGAGTTTCTTCAGTGACGTCAGGACTCCTGTCTAGTAACGAGGGACACCTCAGCAATCTCTTCGAGGCTTGGCAGGGCAAAGGGGACGCTTCTCGAGGTGAGCCAGGGCACCCAAGGACCCTTTCCAGTAGCAACAGGGATTTTGGGATTCCTATAAGTATTCAAGAGGAGTCAGGCATCGTCACCTTTTGAAGCAATAAACTCCGCGTGCCTCTCGAGGTGTCAGGGGGATGTGAGGTATTCCGTCAAAATGAGGCAGGGACCTAGGGCTTCCTCTAAGGTCTCCACAGGGTATTCAGACATCCCTTAATGTTGTCAGATAAAAGACGAGCCTGTATTCAACCATCTGCAAGGAAATCTGGACTCCGTTCACATTAGGGCTTCCCCCTGTGTATTCCCCTTGAGGCAGCAAACACGGGGTCCCTCCCACATACCTATTGCTGAGAGAAGCCTCCTCCTGAGATGCTTCTGGAAAGTTGGCATACGTCTTGAGCCTAAGCCAGGGAATCAGCTCTCATCTCGAGATGATTTGGGGTACACGGAGCATTCCTCGAGTTGCTGTGCTGAAGTTGGTGTTCCTCTAGCCTTGGGACAGTGTTCTCGGGGAATCTCTGCAGTTGCCTGAAGGAAGTCGAGCCACCGGTCATCTTGAATGGGGAACGGGGAATGGCTCTGGAGTCAATGCAGGGGAATCGGGCCTCATCTCGAGTTGATTTGGGGCACATGGAGCAGCTTTGCGTTGCTGGGGTGACCTCAGGGTCCGTCTAGACTGGTGACAGTGTTCTTGGGGACTGTCTCGAGATCCATTAAGCAAGTCGAAGCTCCTGACTTGTTTGAATGGGATCACGGAATAGCTCTGCATGCACTGCAGGGGAATGGGGCTTCATCTCGCCTCCAGGGGGAAGTCTCACGGTTTTTCTCGAGTTGCGGCGGGGACCTGGGGTATGTTCTCGACTTACGGCGGGGATGGCCCTTCAAAACACGAGTTTCTCCAGTGACGTCAGGACTCCTGCCTAGTAACGAGGGACACCTCAGGAATCTCTTCGAGGCTTGGCAGGGCAAAAGGGACGCTTCTCGAGATGAGGCAGGGCACCCAAGGACCCTTTCCTGTAGCCACAGGTGATTTTGGGATTCCTATCAGTATTCAAGAGGAGTCAGGCATCGTCACCTTTTGAAGCAATGAACTCCGCGTGCCTCTCGAGGTGTCAGCGGGATGTGAGGCATTCCGTCAAAATGAGGCAGGGACCTAGGGCTTTCTCTAAGGTCTCCACAGGGGATTCAGACATCCCTTCATGTTGTGAGATGAAAGACAAGCCTGTATTCAAGCTACTGCAAGGAAATCCGGCCTCCTTTCAAGTTAGGGCTTCTCGATGTATATTCCCCTTGAGGCAGCAAACTCGGAGTCCCTCCCACATACCTATTGCTGAGAAGCCTCCTCCTGAGGTGCTTCTGGAAAGTTGGCATACGTCTTGAGCCTAAGCCAGGGAATCAGCTCTCATCTCGAGACGATTTGCGGTACACAGAGCATTCCTCGAGTTGCTGTGCTGAAGTTGGTGTTCCTCTAGACTTGGGACAGTGTTCTCGGGGCATCTCTGGAGTTGCCTGAAGGAAGGCGAGCCTCCGTTCGTGTTGAAGGGGGAACGGGAATGGCTCTGGAGTCAATGCAGGGGAATCGGGCCTCATCTCGAGTTGATTTGGGGCACATGGAGCTGCTTTGCGTTGCTGGGGTGACCTCAGGGTCCGTCTAGACTGGTGACAGTGTTCTTGGGGACTGTCTCGAGATCCATTAAGCAAGTCGAAGCTCCTGACTTGTTTGAATGGGATCACGGAATAGCTCTGCATGCACTGCAGGGGAATGGGGCTTCATCTCGCCTCCAGGGGGAAGTCTCACGGTTTTTCTCGAGTTGCGGCGGGGACCTGGGGTATGTTCTCGACTTACGGCGGGGATGGCCCTTCAAAACACGAGTTTCTCCAGTGACGTCAGGACTCCTGCCTAGTAACGAGGGACACCTCAGGAATCTCTTCGAGGCTTGGCAGGGCAAAAGGGACGCTTCTCGAGATGAGGCAGGGCACCCAAGGACCCTTTCCTGTAGCCACAGGTGATTTTGGGATTCCTATCAGTATTCAAGAGGAGTCAGGCATCGTCACCTTTTGAAGCAATGAACTCCGCGTGCCTCTCGAGGTGTCAGCGGGATGTGAGGCATTCCGTCAAAATGAGGCAGGGACCTAGGGCTTTCTCTAAGGTCTCCACAGGGGATTCAGACATCCCTTCATGTTGTGAGATGAAAGACAAGCCTGTATTCAAGCTACTGCAAGGAAATCCGGCCTCCTTTCAAGTTAGGGCTTCTCGATGTATATTCCCCTTGAGGCAGCAAACTCGGAGTCCCTCCCACATACCTATTGCTGAGAGAAGCCTCCTCCTGAGATGTTTCTGGAAAGTTGGCATACGTCTTGAGCCTAAGCCAGGGAATCAGCTCTCATCTCGAGACGATTTGCGGTACACAGAGCATTTCTCGAGTTGCTGTGCTGAAGTTGGTGTTCCTCTAGACTTGGGACAGTGTTCTCGGGGCATCTCTGGAGTTGCCTGAAAGAAGGCGAGCCTCCGTTCGTGTTGAACGGGGAACGGGGAATGGCTCTGGAGTCAATGCAGGGGAATCGGGCCTCATCTCGAGTTGATTTGGGGCACATGGAGCTGCTTTGCGTTGCTGGGGTGACCTCAGGGTCCGTCTAGACTGGTGACAGTGTTCTTGGGGACTGTCTCGAGATCCATTAAGCAAGTCGAAGCTCCTGACTTGTTTGAATGGGATCACGGAATAGCTCTGCATGCACTGCAGGGGAATGGGGCCTCATCTCGCCTATAGGGGGAAGTCTCATGGTTTTTCTCGAGTTGCGGCGGGGCCCTGGGGTATGTTCTCGACTTACGGCGGGGATGGCCCTTCAAAACACGAGTTTCTTCAGTGACGTCAGTACTCCTGTCTAGTAACGAGGGACACCTCAGGAATCTCTTCGAGGCTTGGCAGGGCAAAGGGGACGCTTCTCGAGGTGAGCCAGGGCACCCAAGGACCCTTTCCAGTAGCAACAGGGATTTTGGGATTCCTATCAGTATTCAAGAGGAGTCAGGCATCGTCACCTTTTGAAGCAATGAACTCTGCGTGCCTCTCGAGGTTTCAGGGGGATGTGAGGTATTCCGTCAAAATGAGGCAGGGAAATAGGGCTTCCTCTAAGGTCTCCACAGGGGATTCAGACATCCCTTAATGTTGTCAGATCAAAGACGAGCCTGTATTCAACCATCTGCAAGGAAATCTGGCCTCCGTTCACATCAGGGCTTCTCCCTGTGTATTCCCCTTGAGGCAGCAAACTCGGGGTCCCTCCCACATACCTATTGCTGAGAGAAGCCTCCTCCTGAGGTGCTTCTGGAAAGTTGGCATACGTCTTGTGCCTAAGCCAGGGAATCAGCTCTCATCTCGAGATGATTTGGGGTACACGGAGCATTCCTCGAGTTGCTGTGCTGAAGTTGGTGTTCCTCTAGCCTTGGGACAGTGTTCTCGGGGAATCTCTGGAGTTGCCTGAATGAAGTCGAGCCACCGGTCGTGTTGAATGGGGAACGGGGAATGGCTCTGGAGTCAATGCAGGGGAATCGGGCCTCATCTCGAGTTGATTTGGGGCACATGGAGCAGCTTTGCGTTGCTGGGGTGACCTCAGGGTCCGTCTAGACTGGTGACAGTGTTCTTGGGGACTGTCTCGAGATCCATTAAGCAAGTCGAAGCTCCTGACTTGTTTGAATGGGATCACGGAATAGCTCTGCATGCACTGCAGGGGAATGGGGCCTCATCTCGCCTATAGGGGGATGTCTCATGGTTTTTCTCGAGTTGCGGCGGGGACCTTGGGTATGTTCTCGACTTACGGCGGGGATGGCCCTTCAAAACACGAGTTTCTTCAGTGACGTCAGGACTCCTGTCTAGTAACGAGGGACACCTCAGCAATCTCTTCGAGGCTTGGCAGGGCAAAGGGGACGCTTCTCGAGGTGAGCCAGGGCACCCAAGGACCCTTTCCAGTAGCCACAGGGATTTTGGGATTCCTATCAGTATTCAAGAGGAGTCAGGCATCGTCACCTTTTGAAGCAATGAACTCCGCGTGCCTCTCGAGGTGTCAGCGGGATGTGAGGCATTCCGTCAAAATGAGGCAGGGATCTAGGGCTTTCTCTAAGGTCTCCACAGGGGATTCAGACATCCCTTCATGTTGTCAGATCAAAGACGAGCCTGTATTCAAGCCACTGCAAGGAAATCCGGCCTCCTTTCAATTTAGGGCTTCTCGCTGTATATTCCCCTTGAGGCAGCAAACCCGGGGTCCCTCCCACATAACTATTTCTGAGAGAAGCCTCCTCCTGAGGTGCTTCTGGAAAGTTGGCATATGTCTTGAGCCTAAGCCAGGGAATCAGCTCTCATCTCAAGATGATTTGGGGTACTCGGAGCACTCCTCGAGTTGCTGTGCTGAAGCTGGTGTTCCTCTAGACTTGGGAAATTGTTCTCTGGGCATCTCTGGAGTTGCCTGAAGGAAGTCGAGCCACCGGTCGTGTTGAATGGGGAACGGGGAATGGCTCTGGAGTCAATGCAGGGGAATCGGGCCTCATCTCGAGTTGATTTGGGTCACATGGAGCAGCTTTGCGTGCTGGGGTGACTTCAGGCTCAGTCTAGACTGGTGACAGTGTTCTTGGGGACTGTCTCGAGATCCATTAAGCAAGTCGAAGCTCCTGACTTGTTTGAATGGGATCACGGAATAGCTCTGCATGCACTGCAGGGGAATGGGGCCTCATCTCGCCTCTAGGGGGAAGTCTCATGGTTTTTCTCGAGTTGCGGCGGGGACCTGGGGTATGTTCTCGACTTAAGCGGGGATGGCCCTTCAAAACACGAGTTTCTGCAGTGACGTCAGGACTCCTGCCTAGTAACGAGGGACACCTCAGGAATCTCTTCGAGGCTTGGCAGGGCAAAAGGGACGCTTCTCGAGTTGAGGCAGGACACCCAAGGACCCTTTCCAGTAGCCACAGGGATTTTGGGATTCCTATCAGTATTCAAGAGGAGTCAGGCATCGTCACCTTTTAAAGCAATGAACTCTGCGTGCCTCTCGAGGTGTCAGGGGGATGTGAGGTATTCCGTCAAAATGAGGCAGGGACCTAGGGCTTTCTTTAAGGTCTCCACAGGGGATTCAGACATCCCTACATGTTGTCAGATCAAAGACGAGCCTGTATTCCAGCCACTGCAAGGAAATCTGGCCTCCGTTCACATTAGGGCTTCTCCCTGTGTATTCCCCTTGAGGCAGCAAACTCGGGGTCCCTCCCACATACCTATTGCTGAGAGAAGCCTCCTCCTGAGATGCTTCTGGAAAGTTGGCATACGTCTTGAGCCTAAGCCAGGGAATCAGCTCTCATCTCGAGATGATTTGGGGTACACGGAGCATTCCTCGAGTTGCTGTGCTGAAGTTGGTGTTCCTCTAGCCTTGGGACAGTGTTCTCGGGGAATCTCTGGAGTTGCCTGAAGGAAGTCGAGCCACCGGTCGTGTTGAATGGGGAACGGGGAATGGCTCTGGAGTCAATGCAGGGGAATCGGGCCTCATCTCGAGTTGATTTGGGGCACATGGAGCAGCTTTGCGTTGCTGGGGTGACCTCAGGGTCCGTCTAGACTGGTGACAGTGTTCTTGGGGACTGTCTCGAGATCCGTTAAGCAAGTCGAAGCTCCTGACTTGTTTGAATGGGATCACGGAATAGCTCTGCATGCACTGCAGGGGAATGGGGCCTCATCTCGCCTCTAGGGGGAAGTCTCATGGTTTTTCTCGAGTTGCGGCGGGGACCTGGGGTATGTTCTCGACTTCCGGCGGGGATGGCCCTTCAAAACACGAGTTTCTTCAGTGACGTCAGGACTCCTGTCTAGTAACGAGGGACACCTCAGCAATCTCTTCGAGGCTTGGCAGGGCAAAAGGGACGCTTCTCGAGGTGAGCCAGGGCACCCAAGGACCCTTTCCAGTAGCAACAGGGATTTTGGGATTCCTATAAGTATTCAAGAGGAGTCAGGCATCGTCACCTTTTGAAGCAATGAACTCCGCGTGCCTCTCGAGGTGTCAGCGGGATGTGAGGCATTCCGTCAAAATGAGGCAGGGACCTAGGGCTTTCTCTAAGGTCTCCACAGGGGATTCAGACATCCCTTCATGTTGTGAGATGAAAGACAAGCCTGTATTCAAGCTACTGCAAGGAAATCCGGCCTCCTTTCAAGTTAGGGCTTCTCGATGTATATTCCCCTTGAGGCAGCAAACTCGGAGTCCCTCCCACATACCTATTGCTGAGAAGCCTCCTCCTGAGGTGCTTCTGGAAACTTAGCATAGGTCTTGAGCCTAAGCCAGGGAATCAGCTCTCATCTCGAGACGATTTGGGGTACACAGAGCATTTCTCGAGTTGCTGTGCTGAAGTTGGTGTTCCTCTAGACTTGGGAAAGTGTTCTCGGGGCATCTCTGGAGTTGCCTGAAGGAAGGCGAGCCTCCCTTCGTGTTGAACGGGGAATGGGGAATGGCTCTGGAGTCAATGCAGGGGAATCGGGCCTCATATCGAGTTGATTTGGGGCACATGGAGCTGCTTTGCGTTGCTGGGGTGACCTCAGGGTCCGTCTAGACTGGTGACAGTGTTCTTGGGGACTGTCTCGAGATCCGTTAAGCAAGTCGAAGCTCCTGACTTGTTTGAATGGGATCACGGAATAGCTCTGCATGCACTGCAGGGGAATGGGGCCTCATCTCGCCTCTAGGGGGAAGTCTCATGGTTTTTCTCGAGTTGCGGCGGGGACCTGGGTTATGTTCTCGACTTACGGCGGGGATGGCCCTCCAAAACACGAGTTTCTTCAGTAACGTCAGGACTCCTGCCTAGTAACGAGGGACACCTCAGGAATCTCTTCGAGGCTTGGCAGGGCAAAAGGGATGCTTCTCGAGGTGAGGCAGGGCACCCAAGGACCCTTTCCAGTAGCCACAGGGATTTTGGGATTCCTATCAGTATTCAAGAGGAGTCAGGCATCGTCACCTTTTGAAGTAATGAACTCCGCGTGCCTCTCGAGGTGTCAGCGGGATGTGAGGCATTCCGTCAAAATGAGGCAGGGACCTAGGGCTTTCTCTAAGGTCTCCACAGGGGATTCAGAAATCCCTTCATGTTGTGAGATGAAAGACAAGCCTGTATTCAAGCTACTGCAAGGAAATCCGGCCTCCTTTCAAGTTAGGGCTTCTCGATGTATATTCCCCTTGAGGCAGCAATCTTGGAGTCCCTCCCACATACCTATTGCTGAGAAGCCTCCTCCTGAGGTGCTTCTGGAAATTTGGCATCCGTCTTGAGCCTAAGCCAGGGAATCAGCTCTCATCTCGAGACGATTTGGGGTACACAGATCATTCCTCGAGTTGCTGTGCTGAAGTTGGTGTTCCTCTAGACTTGGGACAGTGTTCTCGGGGCATCTCTGGAGTTGCCTGAAGGAAGGCGAGCCTCCGTTCGTGTTGAACGGGGAACGGGGAATGGCTCTGGAGTCAATGCAGGGGAATCGGGCCTCATCTCGAGTTGATTTGGGGCACATGGAGCTGCTTTGCGTTGCTGAGGTGACCTCAGGGTCCGTCTAGACTGGTGACAGTGTTCTTGGGGACTGTCTCGAGATCCATTAAGCAAGTCGAAGCTCCTGACTTGTTTGAATGGGATCACGGAATAGCTCTGCATGCACTGCAGGGGAATGGGGCCTCATCTCGCCTATAGGGGGTTGTCTCATGGTTTTTCTCGAGTTGCGGCGGGGACCTTGGGTATGTTCTCGACTTACGGCGGGGATGGCCCTTCAAAACACGAGTTTCTTCAGTGACGTCAGGACTCCTGTCTAGTAACGAGGGACACCTCAGCAATCTCTTCGAGGCTTGGCAGGGCAAAGGGGACGCTTCTCGAGGTGAGCCAGGGCACCCAAGGACCCTTTCCAGTAGCAACAGGGATTTTGGGATTCCTATAAGTATTCAAGAGGAGTCAGGCATCGTCACCTTTTGAAGCAGTGAACTCTGCGTGCCTCTCGAGGTGTCAGGGGGATGTGAGGTATTCCGTCAAAATGAGGCAGGGAAATAGGGCTTCCTCTAAGGTCTCCACAGGGGATTCAGACATCCCTTCATGTTGTCAGATCAAAGACGAGCCTGTATTCAACCCTCTGCAAGGAAATCTGGCCTCCGTTCACATTAGGGCTTCTCCCTGTGTATTCCCCTTGAGGCAGCAAACACGGGGTCCCTCCAACATACCTATTGCTGAGAGAAGCCTCCTCCTGAGATGCTTCTGGAAAGTTGGCATACGTCTTGAGCCTAAGCCAGGGAATCAGCTCTCATCTCGAGATGATTTGGGGTACACGGAGCATTCCTCGAGTTGCTGTGCTGAAGTTGGTGTTCCTCTAGCCTTGGGACAGTGTTCTCGGGGAATCTCTGGAGTTGCCTGAATGAAGTCGAGCCACCGGTCGTCTTGAATGGGGAACGGGGAATGGCTCTGGAGTCAATGCAGGGGAATCGGGCCTCATCTCGAGTTGATTTGGGGCACATGGAGCAGCTTTGCGTGGTGGGGTGACTTCAGGCTCAGTCTAGACTGGTGACAGTGTTCTTGGGGACTGTCTCGAGATCCATTAAGCAAGTCGAAGCTCCTGACTTGTTTGAATGTGATCACGGAATAGCTCTGCATGCACTGCAGGGGAATGGGGCCTCATCTCGCCTCTAGGGGGAAGTCTCATGGTTTTTCTCGAGTTGCAGCGGGGACCTGGGGTATGTTCTCGACTTACGGCGGGGATGGCCCTTCAAAACACGAGTTTCTCCAGTGACGTCAGGACTCCTGCCTAGTAACGAGGGACACCTCAGGAATCTCTTCGAGGCTTGGCAGGGCAAAAGGGACGCTTCTCGAGGTGAGGCAGGACACCCAAGGACCCTTTCCAGTAGCCACAGGGATTTTGGGATTCCTATCAGTATTCAAGAGGAGTCAGGTATCGTCACCTTTTGAAGCAATGAACTCCGCGTGCCTCTCGAGGTGTCAGCGGGATGTGAGGCATTCCGTCAAAATGAGGCAGGGACCTAGGGCTTTCTCTAAGGTCTCCACAGGGGATTCAGACATCCCTTCATGTTGTGAGATGAAAGACAAGCCTGTATTCAAGCTACTGCAAGGAAATCCGGCCTCCTTTCAAGTTAGGGCTTCTCGATGTATATTCCCCTTGAGGCAGCAAACTCGGAGTCCCTCCCACATACCTATTGCTGAGAAGCCTCCTCCTGAGGTGCTTCTGGAAAGTTGGCATACGTCTTGAGCCTAAGCCAGGGAATCAGCTCTCATCTCGAGATGATTTGGGGTACACAGAGCATTCCTCGAGTTGCTGTGCTGAAGTTGGTGTTCCTCTAGACTTGTGACAGTGTTCTCGGGGCATCTCTGGAGTTGCCTGAAGGAAGGCGATCCTCCGTTCGTGTTGAACGGGGAACGGGGAATGGCTCTGGAGTCAATGCAGGGGAATCGGGCCTCATCTCGAGTTGATTTGGGGCACATGGAGCTGCTTTGCGTTGCTGGGGTGACCTCAGGGTCCGTCTAGACTGGTGACAGTGTTCTTGGGGACTGTCTTGAGATCCATTAAGCAAGTCGAAGCTCCTGACTTGTTTGAATGGGATCACGGAATAGATCTGCATGCACTGCAGGGGAATGGGGCCTCATCTCGCCTCTAGGGGGAAGTCTCATGGTTTTTCTCGAGTTGCGGCGGGGACCTGGGGTATGTTCTCGACTTACGGCGGCGATGGCCCTTCAAAACACGAGTTTCTTCAGTGACGTCAGGACTCCTGTCTAGTAACGAGGGACACCTCAGCAATCTCTTCGAGGCTTGGCAGGGCAAAGGGGACGCTTCTCGAGGTGAGCCAGGGCACCCAAGGACCCTTTCCAGTAGCAACAGGGATTTTGGGATTCCTATAAGTATTCAAGAGGAGTCAGGCATCGTCACCTTTTGAAGCAATAAACTCTGCGTGCCTCTCGAGGTGTCAGGGGGATGTGAGGTATTCCGTCAAAATGAGGCAGGGACCTAGGGCTTCCTCTAAGGTCTCCACAGGGTATTCAGACATCCCTTAATGTTGTCAGATAAAAGACGAGCCTGTATTCAACCATCTGCAAGGAAAACTGGACTCCGTTCACATTAGGGCTTCCCCCTGTGTATTCCCCTTGAGGCAGCAAACACGGGGTCCCTCCCACATACCTATTGCTGAGAGAAGCCTCCTCCTGAGATGCTTCTGGAAAGTTGGCATACGTCTTGAGCCTAAGCCAGGGAATCAGCTCTCATCTCGAGATGATTTGGGGTACACGGAGCATTCCTCGAGTTGCTGTGCTGAAGTTGGTGTTCCTCTAGCCTTGGGACAGTGTTCTCGGGGAATCTCTGCAGTTGCCTGAAGGAAGTCGAGCCACCGGTCATCTTGAATGGGGAACGGGGAATGGCTCTGGAGTCAATGCAGGGGAATCGGGCCTCATCTCGAGTTGATTTGGGGCACATGGAGCAGCTTTGCGTTGCTGGGGTGACCTCAGGGTCCGTCTAGACTGGTGACAGTGTTCTTGGGGACTGTCTCGAGATCCATTAAGCAAGTCGAAGCTCCTGACTTGTTTGAATGGGATCACGGAATAGCTCTGCATGCACTGCAGGGGAATGGGGCTTCATCTCGCCTCCAGGGGGAAGTCTCACGGTTTTTCTCGAGTTGCGGCGGGGACCTGGGGTATGTTCTCGACTTACGGCGGGGATGGCCCTTCAAAACACGAGTTTCTCCAGTGACGTCAGGACTCCTGCCTAGTAACGAGGGACACCTCAGGAATCTCTTCGAGGCTTGGCAGGGCAAAAGGGACGCTTCTCGAGATGAGGCAGGGCACCCAAGGACCCTTTCCTGTAGCCACAGGTGATTTTGGGATTCCTATCAGTATTCAAGAGGAGTCAGGCATCGTCACCTTTTGAAGCAATGAACTCCGCGTGCCTCTCGAGGTGTCAGCGGGATGTGAGGCATTCCGTCAAAATGAGGCAGGGACCTAGGGCTTTCTCTAAGGTCTCCACAGGGGATTCAGACATCCCTTCATGTTGTGAGATGAAAGACAAGCCTGTATTCAGGCTACTGCAAGGAAATCCGGCCTCCTTTCAAGTTAGGGCTTCTCGATGTATATTCCCCTTGAGGCAGCAAACTCGGAGTCCCTCCCACATACCTATTGCTGAGAGAAGCCTCCTCCTGAGATGTTTCTGGAAAGTTGGCATACGTCTTGAGCCTAAGCCAGGGAATCAGCTCTCATCTCGAGACGATTTGGGGTACACAGAGCATTTCTCGAGTTGCTGTGCTGAAGTTGGTGTTCCTCTAGACTTGGGACAGTGTTCTCGGGGCATCTCTGGAGTTGCCTGAAGGAAGGCGAGCCTCCGTTCGTGTTGAACGGGGAACGGGGAATGGCTCTGGAGTCAATGCAGGGGAATCGGGCCTCATCTCGAGTTGATTTGGGGCACATGGAGCTGCTTTGCGTTGCTGGGGTGACCTCAGGGTCCGTCTAGACTGGTGACAGTGTTCTTGGGGACTGTCTCGAGATCCATTAAGCAAGTCGAAGCTCCTGACTTGTTTGAATGGGATCACGGAATAGCTCTGCATGCACTGCAGGGGAATGGGGCCTCATCTCGCCTATAGGGGGAAGTCTCATGGTTTTTCTCGAGTTGCGGCGGGGCCCTGGGGTATGTTCTCGACTTACGGCGGGGATGGCCCTTCAAAACACGAGTTTCTTCAGTGACGTCAGTACTCCTGTCTAGTAACGAGGGACACCTCAGGAATCTCTTCGAGGCTTGGCAGGGCAAAGGGGACACTTCTCGAGGTGAGCCAGGGCACCCAAGGACCCTTTCCAGTAGCAACAGGGATTTTGGGATTCCTATAAGTATTCAAGAGGAGTCAGGCATCGTCACCTTTTGAAGCAATGAACTCTGCGTGCCTCTCGAGGTTTCAGTGGGATGTGAGGTATTCCGTCAAAATGAGGCAGGGAAATAGGGCTTCCTCTAAGGTCTCCACAGGGGATTCAGACATCCCTTAATGTTGTCAGATCAAAGACGAGCCTGTATTCAACCCTCTGCAAGGAAATCTGGCCTCCGTTCACATCAGGGCTTCTCCCTGTGTATTCCCCTTGAGGCAGCAAACTCGGGGTCCCTCCCACATACCTATTGCTGAGAGAAGCCTCCTCCTGAGGTGCTTCTGGAAAGTTGGCATACGTCTTGAGCCTAAGCCAGGGAATCAGCTCTCATCTCGAGATGATTTGGGGTACACGGAGCATTCCTCGAGTTGCTGTGCTGAAGTTGGTGTTCCTCTAGCCTTGGGACAGTGTTCTCGGGGAATCTCTGGAGTTGCCTGAATGAAGTCGAGCCACCGGTCGTGTTGAATGGGGAACGGGGAATGGCTCTGGAGTCAATGCAGGGGAATCGGGCCTCATCTCGAGTTGATTTGGGGCACATGGAGCAGCTTTGCGTTGCTGGGGTGACCTCAGGGTCCGTCTAGACTGGTGACAGTGTTCTTGGGGACTGTCTCGAGATCCATTAAGCAAGTCGAAGCTCCTGACTTGTTTGAATGGGATCACGGAATAGCTCTGCATGCACTGCAGGGGAATGGGGCCTCATCTCGCCTATAGGGGGATGTCTCATGGTTTTTCTCGAGTTGCGGCGGGGACCTTGGGTATGTTCTCGACTTACGGCGGGGATGGCCCTTCAAAACACGAGTTTCTTCAGTGACGTCAGGACTCCTGTCTAGTAACGAGGGACACCTCAGCAATCTCTTCGAGGCTTGGCAGGGCAAAGGGGACGCTTCTCGAGGTGAGCCAGGGCACCCAAGGACCCTTTCCAGTAGCAACAGGGATTTTGGGATTCCTATAAGTATTCAAGAGGAGTCAGGCATCGTCACCTTTTGAAGCAGTGAACTCTGCGTGCCTCTCGAGGTGTCAGGGGGATGTGAGGTATTCCGTCAAAATGAGGCAGGGAAATAGGGCTTCCTCTAAGGTCTCCACAGGGGATTCAGACATCCCTTCATGTTGTCAGATCAAAGACGAGCCTGTATTCAACCCTCTGCAAGGAAATCTGGCCTCCGTTCACATTAGGGCTTCTCCCTGTGTATTCCCCTTGAGGCAGCAAACACGGGGTCCCTCCAACATACCTATTGCTGAGAGAAGCCTCCTCCTGAGATGCTTCTGGAAAGTTGGCATACGTCTTGAGCCTAAGCCAGGGAATCAGCTCTCATCTCGAGATGATTTGGGGTACACGGAGCATTCCTCGAGTTGCTGTGCTGAAGTTGGTGTTCCTCTAGCCTTGGGACATTGTTCTCGGGGAATCTCTGGAGTTGCCTGAATGAAGTCGAGCCACCGGTCGTCTTGAATGGGGAACGGGGAATGGCTCTGGAGTCAATGCAAGGGAATCGGGCCTCATCTCGAGTTGATTTGGGGCACATGGAGCAGCTTTGCGTGCTGGGGTGACTTCAGGCTCAGTCTAGACTGGTGACAGTGTTCTTGGGGACTGTCTCGAGATCCATTAAGCAAGTCGAAGCTCCTGACTTGTTTGAATGTGATCACGGAATAGCTCTGCATGCACTGCAGGGGAATGGGGCCTCATCTCGCCTCTAGGGGGAAGTCTCACGGTTTTTCTCGAGTTGCAGCGGGGACCTGGGGTATGTTCTCGACTTACGGCGGGGATGGCCCTTCAAAACACGAGTTTCTCCAGTGACGTCAGGACTCCTGCCTAGTAACGAGGGACACCTCAGGAATCTCTTCGAGGCTTGGCAGGGCAAAAGGGACGCTTCTCGAGGTGAGGCAGGACACCCAAGGACCCTTTCCAGTAGCCACAGGGATTTTGGGATTCCTATCAGTATTCAAGAGGAGTCAGGTATCGTCACCTTTTGAAGCAATGAACTCCGCGTGCCTCTCGAGGTGTCAGCGGGATGTGAGGCATTCCGTCAAAATGAGGCAGGGACCTAGGGCTTTCTCTAAGGTCTCCACAGGGGATTCAGACATCCCTTCATGTTGTGAGATGAAAGACAAGCCTGTATTCAAGCTACTGCAAGGAAATCCGGCCTCCTTTCAAGTTAGGGCTTCTCGATGTATATTCCCCTTGAGGCAGCAAACTCGGAGTCCCTCCCACATACCTATTGCTGAGAAGCCTCCTCCTGAGGTGCTTCTGGAAAGTTGGCATACGTCTTGAGCCTAAGCCAGGGAATCAGCTCTCATCTCGAGATGATTTGGGGTACACAGAGCATTCCTCGAGTTGCTGTGCTGAAGTTGGTGTTCCTCTAGACTTGTGACAGTGTTCTCGGGGCATCTCTGGAGTTGCCTGAAGGAAGGCGATCCTCCGTTCGTGTTGAACGGGGAACGGGGAATGGCTCTGGAGTCAATGCAAGGGAATCGGGCCTCATCTCGAGTTGATTTGGGGCACATGGAGCTGCTTTGCGTTGCTGGGGTGACCTCAGGGTCCGTCTAGACTGGTGACAGTGTTCTTGGGGACTGTCTCGAGATCCATTAAGCAAGTCGAAGCTCCTGACTTGTTTGAATGGGATCACGGAATAGCTCTGCATGCACTGCAGGGGAATGGGGCCTCATCTCGCCTATAGGGGGAAGTCTCATGGTTTTTCTCGAGTTGAGGCGGGGCCCTGGGGTATCTTCTCGACTTACGGCGGGGATGGCCCTTCAAAACACGAGTTTCTTCAGTGACGTCAGTACTCCTGTCTAGTAACGAGGGACACCTCAGGAATCTCTTCGAGGCTTGGCAGGGCAAAGGGGACACTTCTCGAGGTGAGCCAGGGCACCCAAGGACCCTTTCCAGTAGCAACAGGGATTTTGGGATTCCTATAAGTATTCAAGAGGAGTCAGGCATCGTCACCTTTTGAAGCAATGAACTCTGCTTGCCTCTCGAGGTTTCAGGGGGATGTGAGGTATTCCGTCAAAATGAGGCAGGGAAATAGGGCTTCCTCTAAGGTCTCCACAGGGGATTCAGACATCCCTTAATGTTGTCAGATCAAAGACGAGCCTGTATTCAACCCTCTGCAAGGAAATCTGGCCTCCGTTCACATCAGGGCTTCTCCCTGTGTATTCCCCTTGAGGCAGCAAACTCGGGGTCCCTCCCACATACCTATTGCTGAGAGAAGCCTCCTCCTGAGGTGCTTCTGGAAAGTTGGCATACGTCTTGAGCCTAAGCCAGGGAATCAGCTCTCATCTCGAGATGATTTGGGGTACACGGAGCATTCCTCGAGTTGCTGTGCTGAAGTTGGTGTTCCTCTAGCCTTGGGACAGTGTTCTCGGGGAATCTCTGGAGTTGCCTGAATGAAGTCGAGCCACCGGTCGTGTTGAATGGGGAACGGGGAATGGCTCTGGAGTCAATGCAGGGGAATCGGGCCTCATCTCGAGTTGATTTGGGGCACATGGAGCAGCTTTGCGTTGCTGGGGTGACCTCAGGGTCCGTCTAGACTGGTGACAGTGTTCTTGGGGACTGTCTCGAGATCCATTAAGCAAGTCGAAGCTCCTGACTTGTTTGAATGGGATCACGGAATAGCTCTGCATGCACTGCAGGGGAATGGGGCCTCATCTCGCCTATAGGGGGATGTCTCATGGTTTTTCTCGAGTTGCGGCGGGGACCTTGGGTATGTTCTCGACTTACGGCGGGGATGGCCCTTCAAAACACGAGTTTCTTCAGTGACGTCAGGACTCCTGTCTAGTAACGAGGGACACCTCAGCAATCTCTTCGAGGCTTGGCAGGGCAAAGGGGACGCTTCTCGAGGTGAGCCAGGGCACCCAAGGACCCTTTCCAGTAGCAACAGGGATTTTGGGATTCCTATAAGTATTCAAGAGGAGTCAGGCATCGTCACCTTTTGAAGCAGTGAACTCTGCGTGCCTCTCGAGGTGTCAGGGGGATGTGAGGTATTCCGTCAAAATGAGGCAGGGAAATAGGGCTTCCTCTAAGGTCTCCACAGGGGATTCAGACATCCCTTCATGTTGTCAGATCAAAGACGAGCCTGTATTCAACCCTCTGCAAGGAAATCTGGCCTCCGTTCACATTAGGGCTTCTCCCTGTGTATTCCCCTTGAGGCAGCAAACACGGGGTCCCTCCAACATACCTATTGCTGAGAGAAGCCTCCTCCTGAGATGCTTCTGGAAAGTTGGCATACGTCTTGAGCCTAAGCCAGGGAATCAGCTCTCATCTCGAGATGATTTGGGGTACACGGAGCATTCCTCGAGTTGCTGTGCTGAAGTTGGTGTTCCTCTAGCCTTGGGACATTGTTCTCGGGGAATCTCTGGAGTTGCCTGAATGAAGTCGAGCCACCGGTCGTCTTGAATGGGGAACGGGGAATGGCTCTGGAGTCAATGCAGGGGAATCGGGCCTCATCTCGAGTTGATTTGGGGCACATGGAGCAGCTTTGCGTGCTGGGGTGACTTCAGGCTCAGTCTAGACTGGTGACAGTGTTCTTGGGGACTGTCTCGAGATCCATTAAGCAAGTCGAAGCTCCTGACTTGTTTGAATGTGATCACGGAATAGCTCTGCATGCACTGCAGGGGAATGGGGCCTCATCTCGCCTCTAGGGGGAAGTCTCACGGTTTTTCTCGAGTTGCAGCGGGGACCTGGGGTATGTTCTCGACTTACGGCGGGGATGGCCCTTCAAAACACGAGTTTCTCCAGTGACGTCAGGACTCCTGCCTAGTAACGAGGGACACCTCAGGAATCTCTTCGAGGCTTGGCAGGGCAAAAGGGACGCTTCTCGAGGTGAGGCAGGACACCCAAGGACCCTTTCCAGTAGCCACAGGGATTTTGGGATTCCTATCAGTATTCAAGAGGAGTCAGGTATCGTCACCTTTTGAAGCAATGAACTCCGCGTGCCTCTCGAGGTGTCAGCGGGATGTGAGGCATTCCGTCAAAATGAGGCAGGGACCTAGGGCTTTCTCTAAGGTCTCCACAGGGGATTCAGACATCCCTTCATGTTGTGAGATGAAAGACAAGCCTGTATTCAAGCTACTGCAAGGAAATCCGGCCTCCTTTCAAGTTAGGGCTTCTCGATGTATATTCCCCTTGAGGCAGCAAACTCGGAGTCCCTCCCACATACCTATTGCTGAGAAGCCTCCTCCTGAGGTGCTTCTGGAAAGTTGGCATACGTCTTGAGCCTAAGCCAGGGAATCAGCTCTCATCTCGAGATGATTTGGGGTACACAGAGCATTCCTCGAGTTGCTGTGCTGAAGTTGGTGTTCCTCTAGACTTGTGACAGTGTTCTCGGGGCATCTCTGGAGTTGCCTGAAGGAAGGCGATCCTCCGTTCGTGTTGAACGGGGAACGGGGAATGGCTCTGGAGTCAATGCAAGGGAATCGGGCCTCATCTCGAGTTGATTTGGGGCACATGGAGCTGCTTTGCGTTGCTGGGGTGACCTCAGGGTCCGTCTAGACTGGTGACAGTGTTCTTGGGGACTGTCTTGAGATCCATTAAGCAAGTCGAAGCTCCTGACTTGTTTGAATGGGATCACGGAATAGATCTGCATGCACTGCAGGGGAATGGGGCCTCATCTCGCCTCTAGGGGGAAGTCTCATGGTTTTTCTCGAGTTGCGGCGGGGACCTGGGGTATGTTCTCGACTTACGGCGGCGATGGCCCTTCAAAACACGAGTTTCTTCAGTGACGTCAGGACTCCTGTCTAGTAACGAGGGACACCTCAGCAATCTCTTCGAGGCTTGGCAGGGCAAAGGGGACGCTTCTCGAGGTGAGCCAGGGCACCCAAGGACCCTTTCCAGTAGCAACAGGGATTTTGGGATTCCTATAAGTATTCAAGAGGAGTCAGGCATCGTCACCTTTTGAAGCAATAAACTCTGCGTGCCTCTCGAGGTGTCAGGGGGATGTGAGGTATTCCGTCAAAATGAGGCAGGGACCTAGGGCTTCCTCTAAGGTCTCCACAGGGTATTCAGACATCCCTTAATGTTGTCAGATAAAAGACGAGCCTGTATTCAACCATCTGCAAGGAAATCTGGACTCCGTTCACATTAGGGCTTCCCCCTGTGTATTCCCCTTGAGGCAGCAAACACGGGGTCCCTCCCACATACCTATTGCTGAGAGAAGCCTCCTCCTGAGATGCTTCTGGAAAGTTGGCATACGTCTTGAGCCTAAGCCAGGGAATCAGCTCTCATCTCGAGATGATTTGGGGTACACGGAGCATTCCTCGAGTTGCTGTGCTGAAGTTGGTGTTCCTCTAGCCTTGGGACAGTGTTCTCGGGGAATCTCTGCAGTTGCCTGAAGGAAGTCGAGCCACCGGTCATCTTGAATGGGGAACGGGGAATGGCTCTGGAGTCAAGGCAGGGGAATCGGGCCTCATCTCGAGTTGATTTGGGGCACATGGAGCAGCTTTGCGTTGCTGGGGTGACCTCAGGGTCCGTCTAGACTGGTGACAGTGTTCTTGGGGACTGTCTCGAGATCCATTAAGCAAGTCGAAGCTCCTGACTTGTTTGAATGGGATCACGGAATAGCTCTGCATGCACTGCAGGGGAATGGGGCTTCATCTCGCCTCCAGGGGGAAGTCTCACGGTTTTTCTCGAGTTGCGGCGGGGACCTGGGGTATGTTCTCGACTTACGGCGGGGATGGCCCTTCAAAACACGAGTTTCTCCAGTGACGTCAGGACTCCTGCCTAGTAACGAGGGACACCTCAGGAATCTCTTCGAGGCTTGGCAGGGCAAAAGGGACGCTTCTCGAGATGAGGCAGGGCACCCAAGGACCCTTTCCTGTAGCCACAGGTGATTTTGGGATTCCTATCAGTATTCAAGAGGAGTCAGGCATCGTCACCTTTTGAAGCAATGAACTCCGCGTGCCTCTCGAGGTGTCAGCGGGATGTGAGGCATTCCGTCAAAATGAGGCAGGGACCTAGGGCTTTCTCTAAGGTCTCCACAGGGGATTCAGACATCCCTTCATGTTGTGAGATGAAAGACAAGCCTGTATTCAAGCTACTGCAAGGAAATCCGGCCTCCTTTCAAGTTAGGGCTTCTCGATGTATATTCCCCTTGAGGCAGCAAACTCGGAGTCCCTCCCACATACCTATTGCTGAGAGAAGCCTCCTCCTGAGATGTTTCTGGAAAGTTGGCATACGTCTTGAGCCTAAGCCAGGGAATCAGCTCTCATCTCGAGACGATTTGGGGTACACAGAGCATTTCTCGAGTTGCTGTGCTGAAGTTGGTGTTCCTCTAGACTTGGGACAGTGTTCTCGGGGCATCTCTGGAGTTGCCTGAAAGAAGGCGAGCCTCCGTTCGTGTTGAACGGGGAACGGGGAATGGCTCTGGAGTCAATGCAGGGGAATCGGGCCTCATCTCGAGTTGATTTGGGGCACATGGAGCTGCTTTGCGTTGCTGGGGTGACCTCAGGGTCCGTCTAGACTGGTGACAGTGTTCTTGGGGACTGTCTCGAGATCCATTAAGCAAGTCGAAGCTCCTGACTTGTTTGAATGGGATCACGGAATAGCTCTGCATGCACTGCAGGGGAATGGGGCCTCATCTCGCCTATAGGGGGAAGTCTCATGGTTTTTCTCGAGTTGCGGCGGGGCCCTGGGGTATGTTCTCGACTTACGGCGGGGATGGCCCTTCAAAACACGAGTTTCTTCAGTGACGTCAGTACTCCTGTCTAGTAACGAGGGACACCTCAGGAATCTCTTCGAGGCTTGGCAGGGCAAAGGGGACGCTTCTCGAGGTGAGCCAGGGCACCCAAGGACCCTTTCCAGTAGCAACAGGGATTTTGGGATTCCTATAAGTATTCAAGAGGAGTCAGGCATCGTCACCTTTTGAAGCAATGAACTCTGCGTGCCTCTCGAGGTTTCAGGGGGATGTGAGGTATTCCGTCAAAATGAGGCAGGGAAATAGGGCTTCCTCTAAGGTCTCCACAGGGGATTCAGACATCCCTTAATGTTGTCAGATCAAAGACGAGCCTGTATTCAACCCTCTGCAAGGAAATCTGGCCTCCGTTCACATCAGGGCTTCTCCCTGTGTATTCCCCTTGAGGCAGCAAACTCGGGGTCCCTCCCACATACCTATTGCTGAGAGAAGCCTCCTCCTGAGGTGCTTCTGGAAAGTTGGCATACGTCTTGAGCCTAAGCCAGGGAATCAGCTCTCATCTCGAGATGATTTGGGGTACACGGAGCATTCCTCGAGTTGCTGTGCTGAAGTTGGTGTTCCTCTAGCCTTGGGACAGTGTTCTCGGGGAATCTCTGGAGTTGCCTGAATGAAGTCGAGCCACCGGTCGTGTTGAATGGGGAACGGGGAATGGCTCTGGAGTCAATGCAGGGGAATCGGGCCTCATCTCGAGTTGATTTGGGGCACATGGAGCAGCTTTGCGTTGCTGGGGTGACCTCAGGGTCCGTCTAGACTGGTGACAGTGTTCTTGGGGACTGTCTCGAGATCCATTAAGCAAGTCGAAGCTCCTGACTTGTTTGAATGGGATCACGGAATAGCTCTGCATGCACTGCAGGGGAATGGGGCCTCATCTCGCCTATAGGGGGATGTCTCATGGTTTTTCTCGAGTTGCGGCGGGGACCTTGGGTATGTTCTCGACTTACGGCGGGGATGGCCCTTCAAAACACGAGTTTCTTCAGTGACGTCAGGACTCCTGTCTAGTAACGAGGGACACCTCAGCAATCTCTTCGAGGCTTGGCAGGGCAAAGGGGACGCTTCTCGAGGTGAGCCAGGGCACCCAAGGACCCTTTCCAGTAGCAACAGGGATTTTGGGATTCCTATAAGTATTCAAGAGGAGTCAGGCATCGTCACCTTTTGAAGCAGTGAACTCTGCGTGCCTCTCGAGGTGTCAGGGGGATGTGAGGTATTCCGTCAAAATGAGGCAGGGAAATAGGGCTTCCTCTAAGGTCTCCACAGGGGATTCAGACATCCCTTCATGTTGTCAGATCAAAGACGAGCCTGTATTCAACCCTCTGCAAGGAAATCTGGCCTCCGTTCACATTAGGGCTTCTCCCTGTGTATTCCCCTTGAGGCAGCAAACACGGGGTCCCTCCAACATACCTATTGCTGAGAGAAGCCTCCTCCTGAGATGCTTCTGGAAAGTTAGCATACGTCTTGAGCCTAAGCCAGGGAATCAGCTCTCATCTCGAGATGATTTGGGGTACACGGAGCATTCCTCGAGTTGCTGTGCTGAAGTTGGTGTTCCTCTAGCCTTGGGACATTGTTCTCGGGGAATCTCTGGAGTTGCCTGAATGAAGTCGAGCCACCGGTCGTGTTGAATGGGGAACGGGGAATGGCTCTGGAGTCAATGCAGGGGAATCGGGCCTCATCTCGAGTTGATTTGGGGCACATGGAGCAGCTTTGCGTGCTGGGGTGACTTCAGGCTCAGTCTAGACTGGTGACAGTGTTCTTGGGGACTGTCTCGAGATCCATTAAGCAAGTCGAAGCTCCTGACTTGTTTGAATGTGATCACGGAATAGCTCTGCATGCACTGCAGGGGAATGGGGCCTCATCTCGCCTCTAGGGGGAAGTCTCACGGTTTTTCTCGAGTTGCAGCGGGGACCTGGGGTATGTTCTCGACTTACGGCGGGGATGGCCCTTCAAAACACGAGTTTCTCCAGTGACGTCAGGACTCCTGCCTAGTAACGAGGGACACCTCAGGAATCTCTTCGAGGCTTGGCAGGGCAAAAGGGACGCTTCTCGAGGTGAGGCAGGACACCCAAGGACCCTTTCCAGTAGCCACAGGGATTTTGGGATTCCTATCAGTATTCAAGAGGAGTCAGGTATCGTCACCTTTTGAAGCAATGAACTCCGCGTGCCTCTCGAGGTGTCAGCGGGATGTGAGGCATTCCGTCAAAATGAGGCAGGGACCTAGGGCTTTCTCTAAGGTCTCCACAGGGGATTCAGACATCTCTTCATGTTGTGAGATGAAAGACAAGCCTGTATTCAAGCTACTGCAAGGAAATCCGGCCTCCTTTCAAGTTAGGGCTTCTCGATGTATATTCCCCTTGAGGCAGCAAACTCGGAGTCCCTCCCACATACCTATTGCTGAGAAGCCTCCTCCTGAGGTGCTTCTGGAAAATTGGCATACGTCTTGAGCCTAAGCCAGGGAATCAGCTCTCATCTCGAGATGATTTGGGGTACACAGAGCATTCCTCGAGTTGCTGTGCTGAAGTTGGTGTTCCTCTAGACTTGTGACAGTGTTCTCGGGGCATCTCTGGAGTTGCCTGAAGGAAGGCGATCCTCCGTTCGTGTTGAACGGGGAACGGGGAATGGCTCTGGAGTCAATGCAGGGGAATCGGGCCTCATCTCGAGTTGATTTGGGGCACATGGAGCTGCTTTGCGTTGCTGGGGTGACCTCAGGGTCCGTCTAGACTGGTGACAGTGTTCTTGGGGACTGTCTTGAGATCCATTAAGCAAGTCGAAGCTCCTGACTTGTTTGAATGGGATCACGGAATAGATCTGCATGCACTGCAGGGGAATGGGGCCTCATCTCGCCTCTAGGGGGAAGTCTCATGGTTTTTCTCGAGTTGCGGCGGGGACCTGGGGTATGTTCTCGACTTACGGCGGCGATGGCCCTTCAAAACACGAGTTTCTTCAGTGACGTCAGGACTCCTGTCTAGTAACGAGGGACACCTCAGCAATCTCTTCGAGGCTTGGCAGGGCAAAGGGGACGCTTCTCGAGGTGAGCCAGGGCACCCAAGGACCCTTTCCAGTAGCAACAGGGATTTTGGGATTCCTATAAGTATTCAAGAGGAGTCAGGCATCGTCACCTTTTGAAGCAATAAACTCTGCGTGCCTCTCGAGGTGTCAGGGGGATGTGAGGTATTCCGTCAAAATGAGGCAGGGACCTAGGGCTTCCTCTAAGGTCTCCACAGGGTATTCAGACATCCCTTAATGTTGTCAGATAAAAGACGAGCCTGTATTCAACCATCTGCAAGGAAATCTGGACTCCGTTCACATTAGGGCTTCCCCCTGTGTATTCCCCTTGAGGCAGCAAACACGGGGTCCCTCCCACATACCTATTGCTGAGAGAAGCCTCCTCCTGAGATGCTTCTGGAAAGTTGGCATACGTCTTGAGCCTAAGCCAGGGAATCAGCTCTCATCTCGAGATGATTTGGGGTACACGGAGCATTCCTCGAGTTGCTGTGCTGAAGTTGGTGTTCCTCTAGCCTTGGGACAGTGTTCTCGGGGAATCTCTGCAGTTGCCTGAAGGAAGTCGAGCCACCGGTCATCTTGAATGGGGAACGGGGAATGGCTCTGGAGTCAATGCAGGGGAATCGGGCCTCATCTCGAGTTGATTTGGGGCACATGGAGCAGCTTTGCGTTGCTGGGGTGACCTCAGGGTCCGTCTAGACTGGTGACAGTGTTCTTGGGGACTGTCTCGAGATCCATTAAGCAAGTCGAAGCTCCTGACTTGTTTGAATGGGATCACGGAATAGCTCTGCATGCACTGCAGGGGAATGGGGCTTCATCTCGCCTCCAGGGGGAAGTCTCACGGTTTTTCTCGAGTTGCGGCGGGGACCTGGGGTATGTTCTCGACTTACGGCGGGGATGGCCCTTCAAAACACGAGTTTCTCCAGTGACGTCAGGACTCCTGCCTAGTAACGAGGGACACCTCAGGAATCTCTTCGAGGCTTGGCAGGGCAAAAGGGACGCTTCTCGAGATGAGGCAGGGCACCCAAGGACCCTTTCCTGTAGCCACAGGTGATTTTGGGATTCCTATCAGTATTCAAGAGGAGTCAGGCATCGTCACCTTTTGAAGCAATGAACTCCGCGTGCCTCTCGAGGTGTCAGCGGGATGTGAGGCATTCCGTCAAAATGAGGCAGGGACCTAGGGCTTTCTCTAAGGTCTCCACAGGGGATTCAGACATCCCTTCATGTTGTGAGATGAAAGACAAGCCTGTATTCAAGCTACTGCAAGGAAATCCGGCCTCCTTTCAAGTTAGGGCTTCTCGATGTATATTCCCCTTGAGGCAGCAAACTCGGAGTCCCTCCCACATACCTATTGCTGAGAAGCCTCCTCCTGAGGTGCTTCTGGAAAGTTGGCATACGTCTTGAGCCTAAGCCAGGGAATCAGCTCTCATCTCGAGACGATTTGCGGTACACAGAGCATTCCTCGAGTTGCTGTGCTGAAGTTGGTGTTCCTCTAGACTTGGGACAGTGTTCTCGGGGCATCTCTGGAGTTGCCTGAAGGAAGGCGAGCCTCCGTTCGTGTTGAAGGGGGAACGGGAATGGCTCTGGAGTCAATGCAGGGGAATCGGGCCTCATCTCGAGTTGATTTGGGGCACATGGAGCTGCTTTGCGTTGCTGGGGTGACCTCAGGGTCCGTCTAGACTGGTGACAGTGTTCTTGGGGACTGTCTCGAGATCCATTAAGCAAGTCGAAGCTCCTGACTTGTTTGAATGGGATCACGGAATAGCTCTGCATGCACTGCAGGGGAATGGGGCTTCATCTCGCCTCCAGGGGGAAGTCTCACGGTTTTTCTCGAGTTGCGGCGGGGACCTGGGGTATGTTCTCGACTTACGGCGGGGATGGCCCTTCAAAACACGAGTTTCTCCAGTGACGTCAGGACTCCTGCCTAGTAACGAGGGACACCTCAGGAATCTCTTCGAGGCTTGGCAGGGCAAAAGGGACGCTTCTCGAGATGAGGCAGGGCACCCAAGGACCCTTTCCTGTAGCCACAGGTGATTTTGGGATTCCTATCAGTATTCAAGAGGAGTCAGGCATCGTCACCTTTTGAAGCAATGAACTCCGCGTGCCTCTCGAGGTGTCAGCGGGATGTGAGGCATTCCGTCAAAATGAGGCAGGGACCTAGGGCTTTCTCTAAGGTCTCCACAGGGGATTCAGACATCCCTTCATGTTGTGAGATGAAAGACAAGCCTGTATTCAAGCTACTGCAAGGAAATCCGGCCTCCTTTCAAGTTAGGGCTTCTCGATGTATATTCCCCTTGAGGCAGCAAACTCGGAGTCCCTCCCACATACCTATTGCTGAGAGAAGCCTCCTCCTGAGATGTTTCTGGAAAGTTGGCATACGTCTTGAGCCTAAGCCAGGGAATCAGCTCTCATCTCGAGACGATTTGGGGTACACAGAGCATTTCTCGAGTTGCTGTGCTGAAGTTGGTGTTCCTCTAGACTTGGGACAGTGTTCTCGGGGCATCTCTGGAGTTGCCTGAAAGAAGGCGAGCCTCCGTTCGTGTTGAACGGGGAACGGGGAATGGCTCTGGAGTCAATGCAGGGGAATCGGGCCTCATCTCGAGTTGATTTGGGGCACATGGAGCTGCTTTGCGTTGCTGGGGTGACCTCAGGGTCCGTCTAGACTGGTGACAGTGTTCTTGGGGACTGTCTCGAGATCCATTAAGCAAGTCGAAGCTCCTGACTTGTTTGAATGGGATCACGGAATAGCTCTGCATGCACTGCAGGGGAATGGGGCCTCATCTCGCCTATAGGGGGAAGTCTCATGGTTTTTCTCGAGTTGCGGCGGGGACCTGGGGTATGTTCTCGACTTACGGCGGGGAGGGCCCTCCGAAACACGAGTTTCTTCAGTGACGTCAGGACTCCTGCCTAGTAACGAGGGACAACTCAGGAATCTCTTCGAGGCTTGGCAGGGCAAAGGGGACGCTTCTCGAGGTGAGCCAGGGCACCCAAGGACCCTTTCCAGTAGCAACAGGGATTTTGGGATTCCTATAAGTATTCAAGAGGAGTCAGGCATCGTCACCTTTTGAAGCAATGAACTCTGCGTGCCTCTCGAGGTTTCAGGGGGATGTGAGGTATTCCGTCAAAATGAGGCAGGGAAATAGGGCTTCCTCTAAGGTCTCCACAGGGGATTCAGACATCCCTTAATGTTGTCAGATCAAAGACGAGCCTGTATTCAACCCTCTGCAAGGAAATCTGGCCTCCGTTCACATCAGGGCTTCTCCCTGTGTATTCCCCTTGAGGCAGCAAACTCGGGGTCCCTCCCACATACCTATTGCTGAGAGAAGCCTCCTCCTGAGGTGCTTCTGGAAAGTTGGCATACGTCTTGAGCCTAAGCCAGGGAATCAGCTCTCATCTCGAGATGATTTGGGGTACACGGAGCATTCCTCGAGTTGCTGTGCTGAAGTTGGTGTTCCTCTAGCCTTGGGACAGTGTTCTCGGGGAATCTCTGGAGTTGCCTGAATGAAGTCGAGCCACCGGTCGTGTTGAATGGGGAACGGGGAATGGCTCTGGAGTCAATGCAGGGGAATCGGGCCTCATCTCGAGTTGATTTGGGGCACATGGAGCAGCTTTGCGTTGCTGGGGTGACCTCAGGGTCCGTCTAGACTGGTGACAGTGTTCTTGGGGACTGTCTCGAGATCCATTAAGCAAGTCGAAGCTCCTGACTTGTTTGAATGGGATCACGGAATAGCTCTGCATGCACTGCAGGGGAATGGGGCCTCATCTCGCCTATAGGGGGATGTCTCATGGTTTTTCTCGAGTTGCGGCGGGGACCTTGGGTATGTTCTCGACTTACGGCGGGGATGGCCCTTCAAAACACGAGTTTCTTCAGTGACGTCAGGACTCCTGTCTAGTAACGAGGGACACCTCAGCAATCTCTTCGAGGCTTGGCAGGGCAAAGGGGACGCTTCTCGAGGTGAGCCAGGGCACCCAAGGACCCTTTCCAGTAGCAACAGGGATTTTGGGATTCCTATAAGTATTCAAGAGGAGTCAGGCATCGTCACCTTTTGAAGCAGTGAACTCTGCGTGCCTCTCGAGGTGTCAGGGGGATGTGAGGTATTCCGTCAAAATGAGGCAGGGAAATAGGGCTTCCTCTAAGGTCTCCACAGGGGATTCAGACATCCCTTCATGTTGTCAGATCAAAGACGAGCCTGTATTCAACCCTCTGCAAGGAAATCTGGCCTCCGTTCACATTAGGGCTTCTCCCTGTGTATTCCCCTTGAGGCAGCAAACACGGGGTCCCTCCAACATACCTATTGCTGAGAGAAGCCTCCTCCTGAGATGCTTCTGGAAAGTTAGCATACGTCTTGAGCCTAAGCCAGGGAATCAGCTCTCATCTCGAGATGATTTGGGGTACACGGAGCATTCCTCGAGTTGCTGTGCTGAAGTTGGTGTTCCTCTAGCCTTGGGACATTGTTCTCGGGGAATCTCTGGAGTTGCCTGAATGAAGTCGAGCCACCGGTCGTGTTGAATGGGGAACGGGGAATGGCTCTGGAGTCAATGCAGGGGAATCGGGCCTCATCTCGAGTTGATTTGGGGCACATGGAGCAGCTTTGCGTGCTGGGGTGACTTCAGGCTCAGTCTAGACTGGTGACAGTGTTCTTGGGGACTGTCTCGAGATCCATTAAGCAAGTCGAAGCTCCTGACTTGTTTGAATGTGATCACGGAATAGCTCTGCATGCACTGCAGGGGAATGGGGCCTCATCTCGCCTCTAGGGGGAAGTCTCACGGTTTTTCTCGAGTTGCAGCGGGGACCTGGGGTATGTTCTCGACTTACGGCGGGGATGGCCCTTCAAAACACGAGTTTCTCCAGTGACGTCAGGACTCCTGCCTAGTAACGAGGGACACCTCAGGAATCTCTTCGAGGCTTGGCAGGGCAAAAGGGACGCTTCTCGAGGTGAGGCAGGACACCCAAGGACCCTTTCCAGTAGCCACAGGGATTTTGGGATTCCTATCAGTATTCAAGAGGAGTCAGGTATCGTCACCTTTTGAAGCAATGAACTCCGCGTGCCTCTCGAGGTGTCAGCGGGATGTGAGGCATTCCGTCAAAATGAGGCAGGGACCTAGGGCTTTCTCTAAGGTCTCCACAGGGGATTCAGACATCTCTTCATGTTGTGAGATGAAAGACAAGCCTGTATTCAAGCTACTGCAAGGAAATCCGGCCTCCTTTCAAGTTAGGGCTTCTCGATGTATATTCCCCTTGAGGCAGCAAACTCGGAGTCCCTCCCACATACCTATTGCTGAGAAGCCTCCTCCTGAGGTGCTTCTGGAAAGTTGGCATACGTCTTGAGCCTAAGCCAGGGAATCAGCTCTCATCTCGAGATGATTTGGGGTACACAGAGCATTCCTCGAGTTGCTGTGCTGAAGTTGGTGTTCCTCTAGACTTGTGACAGTGTTCTCGGGGCATCTCTGGAGTTGCCTGAAGGAAGGCGATCCTCCGTTCGTGTTGAACGGGGAACGGGGAATGGCTCTGGAGTCAATGCAGGGGAATCGGGCCTCATCTCGAGTTGATTTGGGGCACATGGAGCTGCTTTGCGTTGCTGGGGTGACCTCAGGGTCCGTCTAGACTGGTGACAGTGTTCTTGGGGACTGTCTTGAGATCCATTAAGCAAGTCGAAGCTCCTGACTTGTTTGAATGGGATCACGGAATAGATCTGCATGCACTGCAGGGGAATGGGGCCTCATCTCGCCTCTAGGGGGAAGTCTCATGGTTTTTCTCGAGTTGCGGCGGGGACCTGGGGTATGTTCTCGACTTACGGCGGCGATGGCCCTTCAAAACACGAGTTTCTTCAGTGACGTCAGGACTCCTGTCTAGTAACGAGGGACACCTCAGCAATCTCTTCGAGGCTTGGCAGGGCAAAGGGGACGCTTCTCGAGGTGAGCCAGGGCACCCAAGGACCCTTTCCAGTAGCAACAGGGATTTTGGGATTCCTATAAGTATTCAAGAGGAGTCAGGCATCGTCACCTTTTGAAGCAATAAACTCTGCGTGCCTCTCGAGGTGTCAGGGGGATGTGAGGTATTCCGTCAAAATGAGGCAGGGACCTAGGGCTTCCTCTAAGGTCTCCACAGGGTATTCAGACATCCCTTAATGTTGTCAGATAAAAGACGAGCCTGTATTCAACCATCTGCAAGGAAATCTGGACTCCGTTCACATTAGGGCTTCCCCCTGTGTATTCCCCTTGAGGCAGCAAACACGGGGTCCCTCCCACATACCTATTGCTGAGAGAAGCCTCCTCCTGAGATGCTTCTGGAAAGTTGGCATACGTCTTGAGCCTAAGCCAGGGAATCAGCTCTCATCTCGAGATGATTTGGGGTACACGGAGCATTCCTCGAGTTGCTGTGCTGAAGTTGGTGTTCCTCTAGCCTTGGGACAGTGTTCTCGGGGAATCTCTGCAGTTGCCTGAAGGAAGTCGAGCCACCGGTCATCTTGAATGGGGAACGGGGAATGGCTCTGGAGTCAATGCAGGGGAATCGGGCCTCATCTCGAGTTGATTTGGGGCACATGGAGCAGCTTTGCGTTGCTGGGGTGACCTCAGGGTCCGTCTAGACTGGTGACAGTGTTCTTGGGGACTGTCTCGAGATCCATTAAGCAAGTCGAAGCTCCTGACTTGTTTGAATGGGATCACGGAATAGCTCTGCATGCACTGCAGGGGAATGGGGCTTCATCTCGCCTCCAGGGGGAAGTCTCACGGTTTTTCTCGAGTTGCGGCGGGGACCTGGGGTATGTTCTCGACTTACGGCGGGGATGGCCCTTCAAAACACGAGTTTCTCCAGTGACGTCAGGACTCCTGCCTAGTAACGAGGGACACCTCAGGAATCTCTTCGAGGCTTGGCAGGGCAAAAGGGACGCTTCTCGAGATGAGGCAGGGCACCCAAGGACCCTTTCCTGTAGCCACAGGTGATTTTGGGATTCCTATCAGTATTCAAGAGGAGTCAGGCATCGTCACCTTTTGAAGCAATAAACTCTGCGTGCCTCTCGAGGTGTCAGGGGGATGTGAGGTATTCCGTCAAAATGAGGCAGGGACCTAGGGCTTCCTCTAAGGTCTCCACAGGGTATTCAGACATCCCTTAATGTTGTCAGATAAAAGACGAGCCTGTATTCAACCATCTGCAAGGAAATCTGGACTCCGTTCACATTAGGGCTTCCCCCTGTGTATTCCCCTTGAGGCAGCAAACACGGGGTCCCTCCCACATACCTATTGCTGAGAGAAGCCTCCTCCTGAGATGCTTCTGGAAAGTTGGCATACGTCTTGAGCCTAAGCCAGGGAATCAGCTCTCATCTCGAGATGATTTGGGGTACACGGAGCATTCCTCGAGTTGCTGTGCTGAAGTTGGTGTTCCTCTAGCCTTGGGACAGTGTTCTCGGGGAATCTCTGCAGTTGCCTGAAGGAAGTCGAGCCACCGGTCATCTTGAATGGGGAACGGGGAATGGCTCTGGAGTCAATGCAGGGGAATCGGGCCTCATCTCGAGTTGATTTGGGGCACATGGAGCAGCTTTGCGTTGCTGGGGTGACCTCAGGGTCCGTCTAGACTGGTGACAGTGTTCTTGGGGACTGTCTCGAGATCCATTAAGCAAGTCGAAGCTCCTGACTTGTTTGAATGGGATCACGGAATAGCTCTGCATGCACTGCAGGGGAATGGGGCTTCATCTCGCCTCCAGGGGGAAGTCTCACGGTTTTTCTCGAGTTGCGGCGGGGACCTGGGGTATGTTCTCGACTTACGGCGGGGATGGCCCTTCAAAACACGAGTTTCTCCAGTGACGTCAGGACTCCTGCCTAGTAACGAGGGACACCTCAGGAATCTCTTCGAGGCTTGGCAGGGCAAAAGGGACGCTTCTCGAGATGAGGCAGGGCACCCAAGGACCCTTTCCTGTAGCCACAGGTGATTTTGGGATTCCTATCAGTATTCAAGAGGAGTCAGGCATCGTCACCTTTTGAAGCAATGAACTCCGCGTGCCTCTCGAGGTGTCAGCGGGATGTGAGGCATTCCGTCAAAATGAGGCAGGGACCTAGGGCTTTCTCTAAGGTCTCCACAGGGGATTCAGACATCCCTTCATGTTGTGAGATGAAAGACAAGCCTGTATTCAAGCTACTGCAAGGAAATCCGGCCTCCTTTCAAGTTAGGGCTTCTCGATGTATATTCCCCTTGAGGCAGCAAACTCGGAGTCCCTCCCACATACCTATTGCTGAGAAGCCTCCTCCTGAGGTGCTTCTGGAAAGTTGGCATACGTCTTGAGCCTAAGCCAGGGAATCAGCTCTCATCTCGAGACGATTTGCGGTACACAGAGCATTCCTCGAGTTGCTGTGCTGAAGTTGGTGTTCCTCTAGACTTGGGACAGTGTTCTCGGGGCATCTCTGGAGTTGCCTGAAGGAAGGCGAGCCTCCGTTCGTGTTGAAGGGGGAACGGGAATGGCTCTGGAGTCAATGCAGGGGAATCGGGCCTCATCTCGAGTTGATTTGGGGCACATGGAGCTGCTTTGCGTTGCTGGGGTGACCTCAGGGTCCGTCTAGACTGGTGACAGTGTTCTTGGGGACTGTCTCGAGATCCATTAAGCAAGTCGAAGCTCCTGACTTGTTTGAATGGGATCACGGAATAGCTCTGCATGCACTGCAGGGGAATGGGGCTTCATCTCGCCTCCAGGGGGAAGTCTCACGGTTTTTCTCGAGTTGCGGCGGGGACCTGGGGTATGTTCTCGACTTACGGCGGGGATGGCCCTTCAAAACACGAGTTTCTCCAGTGACGTCAGGACTCCTGCCTAGTAACGAGGGACACCTCAGGAATCTCTTCGAGGCTTGGCAGGGCAAAAGGGACGCTTCTCGAGATGAGGCAGGGCACCCAAGGACCCTTTCCTGTAGCCACAGGTGATTTTGGGATTCCTATCAGTATTCAAGAGGAGTCAGGCATCGTCACCTTTTGAAGCAATGAACTCCGCGTGCCTCTCGAGGTGTCAGCGGGATGTGAGGCATTCCGTCAAAATGAGGCAGGGACCTAGGGCTTTCTCTAAGGTCTCCACAGGGGATTCAGACATCCCTTCATGTTGTGAGATGAAAGACAAGCCTGTATTCAAGCTACTGCAAGGAAATCCGGCCTCCTTTCAAGTTAGGGCTTCTCGATGTATATTCCCCTTGAGGCAGCAAACTCGGAGTCCCTCCCACATACCTATTGCTGAGAGAAGCCTCCTCCTGAGATGTTTCTGGAAAGTTGGCATACGTCTTGAGCCTAAGCCAGGGAATCAGCTCTCATCTCGAGACGATTTGGGGTACACAGAGCATTTCTCGAGTTGCTGTGCTGAAGTTGGTGTTCCTCTAGACTTGGGACAGTGTTCTCGGGGCATCTCTGGAGTTGCCTGAAAGAAGGCGAGCCTCCGTTCGTGTTGAACGGGGAACGGGGAATGGCTCTGGAGTCAATGCAGGGGAATCGGGCCTCATCTCGAGTTGATTTGGGGCACATGGAGCTGCTTTGCGTTGCTGGGGTGACCTCAGGGTCCGTCTAGACTGGTGACAGTGTTCTTGGGGACTGTCTCGAGATCCATTAAGCAAGTCGAAGCTCCTGACTTGTTTGAATGGGATCACGGAATAGCTCTGCATGCACTGCAGGGGAATGGGGCCTCATCTCGCCTATAGGGGGAAGTCTCATGGTTTTTCTCGAGTTGCGGCGGGGCCCTGGGGTATGTTCTCGACTTACGGCGGGGATGGCCCTTCAAAACACGAGTTTCTTCAGTGACGTCAGTACTCCTGTCTAGTAACGAGGGACACCTCAGGAATCTCTTCGAGGCTTGGCAGGGCAAAGGGGACGCTTCTCGAGGTGAGCCAGGGCACCCAAGGACCCTTTCCAGTAGCAACAGGGATTTTGGGATTCCTATAAGTATTCAAGAGGAGTCAGGCATCGTCACCTTTTGAAGCAATGAACTCTGCGTGCCTCTCGAGGTTTCAGGGGGATGTGAGGTATTCCGTCAAAATGAGGCAGGGAAATAGGGCTTCCTCTAAGGTCTCCACAGGGGATTCAGACATACCTTAATGTTGTCAGATCAAAGACGAGCCTGTATTCAACCCTCTGCAAGGAAATCTGGCCTCCGTTCACATCAGGGCTTCTCCCTGTGTATTCCCCTTGAGGCAGCAAACTCGGGGTCCCTCCCACATACCTATTGCTGAGAGAAGCCTCCTCCTGAGGTGCTTCTGGAAAGTTGGCATACGTCTTGAGCCTAAGCCAGGGAATCAGCTCTCATCTCGAGATGATTTGGGGTACACGGAGCATTCCTCGAGTTGCTGTGCTGAAGTTGGTGTTCCTCTAGCCTTGGGACAGTGTTCTCGGGGAATCTCTGGAGTTGCCTGAATGAAGTCGAGCCACCGGTCGTGTTGAATGGGGAACGGGGAATGGCTCTGGAGTCAATGCAGGGGAATCGGGCCTCATCTCGAGTTGATTTGGGGCACATGGAGCAGCTTTGCGTTGCTGGGGTGACCTCAGGGTCCGTCTAGACTGGTGACGGTGTTCTTGGGGACTGTCTCGAGATCCATTAAGCAAGTCGAAGCTCCTGACTTGTTTGAATGGGATCACGGAATAGCTCTGCATGCACTGCAGGGGAATGGGGCCTCATCTCGCCTATAGGGGGATGTCTCATGGTTTTTCTCGAGTTGCGGCGGGGACCTTGGGTATGTTCTCGACTTACGGCGGGGATGGCCCTTCAAAACACGAGTTTCTTCAGTGACGTCAGGACTCCTGTCTAGTAACGAGGGACACCTCAGCAATCTCTTCGAGGCTTGGCAGGGCAAAGGGGACGCTTCTCGAGGTGAGCCAGGGCACCCAAGGACCCTTTCCAGTAGCAACAGGGATTTTGGGATTCCTATAAGTATTCAAGAGGAGTCAGGCATCGTCACCTTTTGAAGCAGTGAACTCTGCGTGCCTCTCGAGGTGTCAGGGGGATGTGAGGTATTCCGTCAAAATGAGGCAGGGAAATAGGGCTTCCTCTAAGGTCTCCACAGGGGATTCAGACATCCCTTCATGTTGTCAGATCAAAGACGAGCCTGTATTCAACCCTCTGCAAGGAAATCTGGCCTCCGTTCACATTAGGGCTTCTCCCTGTGTATTCCCCTTGAGGCAGCAAACACGGGGTCCCTCCAACATACCTATTGCTGAGAGAAGCCTCCTCCTGAGATGCTTCTGGAAAGTTAGCATACGTCTTGAGCCTAAGCCAGGGAATCAGCTCTCATCTCGAGATGATTTGGGGTACACGGAGCATTCCTCGAGTTGCTGTGCTGAAGTTGGTGTTCCTCTAGCCTTGGGACATTGTTCTCGGGGAATCTCTGGAGTTGCCTGAATGAAGTCGAGCCACCGGTCGTGTTGAATGGGGAACGGGGAATGGCTCTGGAGTCAATGCAGGGGAATCGGGCCTCATCTCGAGTTGATTTGGGGCACATGGAGCAGCTTTGCGTGCTGGGGTGACTTCAGGCTCAGTCTAGACTGGTGACAGTGTTCTTGGGGACTGTCTCGAGATCCATTAAGCAAGTCGAAGCTCCTGACTTGTTTGAATGTGATCACGGAATAGCTCTGCATGCACTGCAGGGGAATGGGGCCTCATCTCGCCTCTAGGGGGAAGTCTCACGGTTTTTCTCGAGTTGCAGCGGGGACCTGGGGTATGTTCTCGACTTACGGCGGGGATGGCCCTTCAAAACACGAGTTTCTCCAGTGACGTCAGGACTCCTGCCTAGTAACGAGGGACACCTCAGGAATCTCTTCGAGGCTTGGCAGGGCAAAAGGGACGCTTCTCGAGGTGAGGCAGGACACCCAAGGACCCTTTCCAGTAGCCACAGGGATTTTGGGATTCCTATCAGTATTCAAGAGGAGTCAGGTATCGTCACCTTTTGAAGCAATGAACTCCGCGTGCCTCTCGAGGTGTCAGCGGGATGTGAGGCATTCCGTCAAAATGAGGCAGGGACCTAGGGCTTTCTCTAAGGTCTCCACAGGGGATTCAGACATCTCTTCATGTTGTGAGATGAAAGACAAGCCTGTATTCAAGCTACTGCAAGGAAATCCGGCCTCCTTTCAAGTTAGGGCTTCTCGATGTATATTCCCCTTGAGGCAGCAAACTCGGAGTCCCTCCCACATACCTATTGCTGAGAAGCCTCCTCCTGAGGTGCTTCTGGAAAGTTGGCATACGTCTTGAGCCTAAGCCAGGGAATCAGCTCTCATCTCGAGATGATTTGGGGTACACAGAGCATTCCTCGAGTTGCTGTGCTGAAGTTGGTGTTCCTCTAGACTTGTGACAGTGTTCTCGGGGCATCTCTGGAGTTGCCTGAAGGAAGGCGATCCTCCGTTCCTGTTGAACGGGGAACGGGGAATGGCTCTGGAGTCAATGCAGGGGAATCGGGCCTCATCTCGAGTTGATTTGGGGCACATGGAGCTGCTTTGCGTTGCTGGGGTGACCTCAGGGTCCGTCTAGACTGGTGACAGTGTTCTTGGGGACTGTCTTGAGATCCATTAAGCAAGTCGAAGCTCCTGACTTGTTTGAATGGGATCACGGAATAGATCTGCATGCACTGCAGGGGAATGGGGCCTCATCTCGCCTCTAGGGGGAAGTCTCATGGTTTTTCTCGAGTTGCGGCGGGGACCTGGGGTATGTTCTCGACTTACGGCGGCGATGGCCCTTCAAAACACGAGTTTCTTCAGTGACGTCAGGACTCCTGTCTAGTAACGAGGGACACCTCAGCAATCTCTTCGAGGCTTGGCAGGGCAAAGGGGACGCTTCTCGAGGTGAGCCAGGGCACCCAAGGACCCTTTCCAGTAGCAACAGGGATTTTGGGATTCCTATAAGTATTCAAGAGGAGTCAGGCATCGTCACCTTTTGAAGCAATAAACTCCGCGTGCCTCTCGAGGTGTCAGGGGGATGTGAGGTATTCCGTCAAAATGAGGCAGGGACCTAGGGCTTCCTCTAAGGTCTCCACAGGGTATTCAGACATCCCTTAATGTTGTCAGATAAAAGACGAGCCTGTATTCAACCATCTGCAAGGAAATCTGGACTCCGTTCACATTAGGGCTTCCCCCTGTGTATTCCCCTTGAGGCAGCAAACACGGGGTCCCTCCCACATACCTATTGCTGAGAGAAGCCTCCTCCTGAGATGCTTCTGGAAAGTTGGCATACGTCTTGAGCCTAAGCCAGGGAATCAGCTCTCATCTCGAGATGATTTGGGGTACACGGAGCATTCCTCGAGTTGCTGTGCTGAAGTTGGTGTTCCTCTAGCCTTGGGACAGTGTTCTCGGGGAATCTCTGCAGTTGCCTGAAGGAAGTCGAGCCACCGGTCATCTTGAATGGGGAACGGGGAATGGCTCTGGAGTCAATGCAGGGGAATCGGGCCTCATCTCGAGTTGATTTGGGGCACATGGAGCAGCTTTGCGTTGCTGGGGTGACCTCAGGGTCCGTCTAGACTGGTGACAGTGTTCTTGGGGACTGTCTCGAGATCCATTAAGCAAGTCGAAGCTCCTGACTTGTTTGAATGGGATCACGGAATAGCTCTGCATGCACTGCAGGGGAATGGGGCTTCATCTCGCCTCCAGGGGGAAGTCTCACGGTTTTTCTCGAGTTGCGGCGGGGACCTGGGGTATGTTCTCGACTTACGGCGGGGATGGCCCTTCAAAACACGAGTTTCTCCAGTGACGTCAGGACTCCTGCCTAGTAACGAGGGACACCTCAGGAATCTCTTCGAGGCTTGGCAGGGCAAAAGGGACGCTTCTCGAGATGAGGCAGGGCACCCAAGGACCCTTTCCTGTAGCCACAGGTGATTTTGGGATTCCTATCAGTATTCAAGAGGAGTCAGGCATCGTCACCTTTTGAAGCAATGAACTCCGCGTGCCTCTCGAGGTGTCAGCGGGATGTGAGGCATTCCGTCAAAATGAGGCAGGGACCTAGGGCTTTCTCTAAGGTCTCCACAGGGGATTCAGACATCCCTTCATGTTGTGAGATGAAAGACAAGCCTGTATTCAAGCTACTGCAAGGAAATCCGGCCTCCTTTCAAGTTAGGGCTTCTCGATGTATATTCCCCTTGAGGCAGCAAACTCGGAGTCCCTCCCACATACCTATTGCTGAGAAGCCTCCTCCTGAGGTGCTTCTGGAAAGTTGGCATACGTCTTGAGCCTAAGCCAGGGAATCAGCTCTCATCTCGAGACGATTTGCGGTACACAGAGCATTCCTCGAGTTGCTGTGCTGAAGTTGGTGTTCCTCTAGACTTGGGACAGTGTTCTCGGGGCATCTCTGGAGTTGCCTGAAGGAAGGCGAGCCTCCGTTCGTGTTGAAGGGGGAACGGGAATGGCTCTGGAGTCAATGCAGGGGAATCGGGCCTCATCTCGAGTTGATTTGGGGCACATGGAGCTGCTTTGCGTTGCTGGGGTGACCTCAGGGTCCGTCTAGACTGGTGACAGTGTTCTTGGGGACTGTCTCGAGATCCATTAAGCAAGTCGAAGCTCCTGACTTGTTTGAATGGGATCACGGAATAGCTCTGCATGCACTGCAGGGGAATGGGGCTTCATCTCGCCTCCAGGGGGAAGTCTCACGGTTTTTCTCGAGTTGCGGCGGGGACCTGGGGTATGTTCTCGACTTACGGCGGGGATGGCCCTTCAAAACACGAGTTTCTCCAGTGACGTCAGGACTCCTGCCTAGTAACGAGGGACACCTCAGGAATCTCTTCGAGGCTTGGCAGGGCAAAAGGGACGCTTCTCGAGATGAGGCAGGGCACCCAAGGACCCTTTCCTGTAGCCACAGGTGATTTTGGGATTCCTATCAGTATTCAAGAGGAGTCAGGCATCGTCACCTTTTGAAGCAATGAACTCCGCGTGCCTCTCGAGGTGTCAGCGGGATGTGAGGCATTCCGTCAAAATGAGGCAGGGACCTAGGGCTTTCTCTAAGGTCTCCACAGGGGATTCAGACATCCCTTCATGTTGTGAGATGAAAGACAAGCCTGTATTCAAGCTACTGCAAGGAAATCCGGCCTCCTTTCAAGTTAGGGCTTCTCGATGTATATTCCCCTTGAGGCAGCAAACTCGGAGTCCCTCCCACATACCTATTGCTGAGAGAAGCCTCCTCCTGAGATGTTTCTGGAAAGTTGGCATACGTCTTGAGCCTAAGCCAGGGAATCAGCTCTCATCTCGAGACGATTTGCGGTACACAGAGCATTTCTCGAGTTGCTGTGCTGAAGTTGGTGTTCCTCTAGACTTGGGACAGTGTTCTCGGGGCATCTCTGGAGTTGCCTGAAAGAAGGCGAGCCTCCGTTCGTGTTGAACGGGGAACGGGGAATGGCTCTGGAGTCAATGCAGGGGAATCGGGCCTCATCTCGAGTTGATTTGGGGCACATGGAGCTGCTTTGCGTTGCTGGGGTGACCTCAGGGTCCGTCTAGACTGGTGACAGTGTTCTTGGGGACTGTCTCGAGATCCATTAAGCAAGTCGAAGCTCCTGACTTGTTTGAATGGGATCACGGAATAGCTCTGCATGCACTGCAGGGGAATGGGGCCTCATCTCGCCTATAGGGGGAAGTCTCATGGTTTTTCTCGAGTTGCGGCGGGGCCCTGGGGTATGTTCTCGACTTACGGCGGGGATGGCCCTTCAAAACACGAGTTTCTTCAGTGACGTCAGTACTCCTGTCTAGTAACGAGGGACACCTCAGGAATCTCTTCGAGGCTTGGCAGGGCAAAGGGGACGCTTCTCGAGGTGAGCCAGGGCACCCAAGGACCCTTTCCAGTAGCAACAGGGATTTTGGGATTCCTATAAGTATTCAAGAGGAGTCAGGCATCGTCACCTTTTGAAGCAATGAACTCTGCGTGCCTCTCGAGGTTTCAGGGGGATGTGAGGTATTCCGTCAAAATGAGGCAGGGAAATAGGGCTTCCTCTAAGGTCTCCACAGGGGATTCAGACATCCCTTAATGTTGTCAGATCAAAGACGAGCCTGTATTCAACCATCTGCAAGGAAATCTGGCCTCCGTTCACATCAGGGCTTCTCCCTGTGTATTCCCCTTGAGGCAGCAAACTCGGGGTCCCTCCCACATACCTATTGCTGAGAGAAGCCTCCTCCTGAGGTGCTTCTGGAAAGTTGGCATACGTCTTGAGCCTAAGCCAGGGAATCAGCTCTCATCTCGAGATGATTTGGGGTACACGGAGCATTCCTCGAGTTGCTGTGCTGAAGTTGGTGTTCCTCTAGCCTTGGGACAGTGTTCTCGGGGAATCTCTGGAGTTGCCTGAATGAAGTCGAGCCACCGGTCGTGTTGAATGGGGAACGGGGAATGGCTCTGGAGTCAATGCAGGGGAATCGGGCCTCATCTCGAGTTGATTTGGGGCACATGGAGCAGCTTTGCGTTGCTGGGGTGACCTCAGGGTCCGTCTAGACTGGTGACAGTGTTCTTGGGGACTGTCTCGAGATCCATTAAGCAAGTCGAAGCTCCTGACTTATTTGAATGGGATCACGGAATAGCTCTGCATGCACTGCAGGGGAATGGGGCCTCATCTCGCCTATAGGGGGATGTCTCATGGTTTTTCTCGAGTTGCGGCGGGGACCTTGGGTATGTTCTCGACTTACGGCGGGGATGGCCCTTCAAAACACGAGTTTCTTCAGTGACGTCAGGACTCCTGTCTAGTAACGAGGGACACCTCAGCAATCTCTTCGAGGCTTGGCAGGGCAAAGGGGACGCTTCTCGAGGTGAGCCAGGGCACCCAAGGACCCTTTCCAGTAGCAACAGGGATTTTGGGATTCCTATAAGTATTCAAGAGGAGTCAGGCATCGTCACCTTTTGAAGCAGTGAACTCTGCGTGCCTCTCGAGGTGTCAGGGGGATGTGAGGTATTCCGTCAAAATGAGGCAGGGAAATAGGGCTTCCTCTAAGGTCTCCACAGGGGATTCAGACATCCCTTCATGTTGTCAGATCAAAGACGAGCCTGTATTCAACCCTCTGCAAGGAAATCTGGCCTCCGTTCACATTAGGGCTTCTCCCTGTGTATTCCCCTTGAGGCAGCAAACACGGGGTCCCTCCAACATACCTATTGCTGAGAGAAGCCTCCTCCTGAGATGCTTCTGGAAAGTTGGCATACGTCTTGAGCCTAAGCCAGGGAATCAGCTCTCATCTCGAGATGATTTGGGGTACACGGAGCATTCCTCGAGTTGCTGTGCTGAAGTTGGTGTTCCTCTAGCCTTGGGACATTGTTCTCGGGGAATCTCTGGAGTTGCCTGAATGAAGTCGAGCCACCGGTCGTCTTGAATGGGGAACGGGGAATGGCTCTGGAGTCAATGCAGGGGAATCGGGCCTCATCTCGAGTTGATTTGGGGCACATGGAGCAGCTTTGCGTGCTGGGGTGACTTCAGGCTCAGTCTAGACTGGTGACAGTGTTCTTGGGGACTGTCTCGAGATCCATTAAGCAAGTCGAAGCTCCTGACTTGTTTGAATGTGATCACGGAATAGCTCTGCATGCACTGCAGGGGAATGGGGCCTCATCTCGCCTCTAGGGGGAAGTCTCACGGTTTTTCTCGAGTTGCAGCGGGGACCTGGGGTATGTTCTCGACTTACGGCGGGGATGGCCCTTCAAAACACGAGTTTCTCCAGTGACGTCAGGACTCCTGCCTAGTAACGAGGGACACCTCAGGAATCTCTTCGAGGCTTGGCAGGGCAAAAGGGACGCTTCTCGAGGTGAGGCAGGACACCCAAGGACCCTTTCCAGTAGCCACAGGGATTTTGGGATTCCTATCAGTATTCAAGAGGAGTCAGGTATCGTCACCTTTTGAAGCAATGAACTCCGCGTGCCTCTCGAGGTGTCAGGGGGATGTGAGGCATTCCGTCAAAATGAGGCAGGGACCTAGGGCTTTCTCTAAGGTCTCCACAGGGGATTCAGACATCCCTTCATGTTGTGAGATGAAAGACAAGCCTGTATTCAAGCTACTGCAAGGAAATCCGGCCTCCTTTCAAGTTAGGGCTTCTCGATGTATATTCCCCTTGAGGCAGCAAACTCGGAGTCCCTCCCACATACCTATTGCTGAGAAGCCTCCTCCTGAGGTGCTTCTGGAAAGTTGGCATACGTCTTGAGCCTAAGCCAGGGAATCAGCTCTCATCTCGAGATGATTTGGGGTACACAGAGCATTCCTCGAGTTGCTGTGCTGAAGTTGGTGTTCCTCTAGACTTGTGACAGTGTTCTCGGGGCATCTCTGGAGTTGCCTGAAGGAAGGCGATCCTCCGTTCGTGTTGAACGGGGAACGGGGAATGGCTCTGGAGTCAATGCAGGGGAATCGGGCCTCATCTCGAGTTGATTTGGGGCACATGGAGCTGCTTTGCGTTGCTGGGGTGACCTCAGGGTCCGTCTAGACTGGTGACAGTGTTCTTGGGGACTGTCTTGAGATCCATTAAGCAAGTCGAAGCTCCTGACTTGTTTGAATGGGATCACGGAATAGATCTGCATGCACTGCAGGGGAATGGGGCCTCATCTCGCCTCTAGGGGGAAGTCTCATGGTTTTTCTCGAGTTGCGGCGGGGACCTGGGGTATGTTCTCGACTTACGGCGGCGATGGCCCTTCAAAACACGAGTTTCTTCAGTGACGTCAGGACTCCTGTCTAGTAACGAGGGACACCTCAGCAATCTCTTCGAGGCTTGGCAGGGCAAAGGGGACGCTTCTCGAGGTGAGCCAGGGCACCCAAGGACCCTTTCCAGTAGCAACAGGGATTTTGGGATTCCTATAAGTATTCAAGAGGAGTCAGGCATCGTCACCTTTTGAAGCAATAAACTCTGCGTGCCTCTCGAGGTGTCAGGGGGATGTGAGGTATTCCGTCAAAATGAGGCAGGGACCTAGGGCTTCCTCTAAGGTCTCCACAGGGTATTCAGACATCCCTTAATGTTGTCAGATAAAAGACGAGCCTGTATTCAACCATCTGCAAGGAAATCTGGACTCCGTTCACATTAGGGCTTCCCCCTGTGTATTCCCCTTGAGGCAGCAAACACGGGGTCCCTCCCACATACCTATTGCTGAGAGAAGCCTCCTCCTGAGATGCTTCTGGAAAGTTGGCATACGTCTTGAGCCTAAGCCAGGGAATCAGCTCTCATCTCGAGATGATTTGGGGTACACGGAGCATTCCTCGAGTTGCTGTGCTGAAGTTGGTGTTCCTCTAGCCTTGGGACAGTGTTCTCGGGGAATCTCTGCAGTTGCCTGAAGGAAGTCGAGCCACCGGTCATCTTGAATGGGGAACGGGGAATGGCTCTGGAGTCAATGCAGGGGAATCGGGCCTCATCTCGAGTTGATTTGGGGCACATGGAGCAGCTTTGCGTTGCTGGGGTGACCTCAGGGTCCGTCTAGACTGGTGACAGTGTTCTTGGGGACTGTCTCGAGATCCATTAAGCAAGTCGAAGCTCCTGACTTGTTTGAATGGGATCACGGAATAGCTCTGCATGCACTGCAGGGGAATGGGGCTTCATCTCGCCCCCAGGGGGAAGTCTCACGGTTTTTCTCGAGTTGCGGCGGGGACCTGGGGTATGTTCTCGACTTACGGCGGGGATGGCCCTTCAAAACACGAGTTTCTCCAGTGACGTCAGGACTCCTGCCTAGTAACGAGGGACACCTCAGGAATCTCTTCGAGGCTTGGCAGGGCAAAAGGGACGCTTCTCGAGATGAGGCAGGGCACCCAAGGACCCTTTCCTGTAGCCACAGGTGATTTTGGGATTCCTATCAGTATTCAAGAGGAGTCAGGCATCGTCACCTTTTGAAGCAATGAACTCCGCGTGCCTCTCGAGGTGTCAGCGGGATGTGAGGCATTCCGTCAAAATGAGGCAGGGACCTAGGGCTTTCTCTAAGGTCTCCACAGGGGATTCAGACATCCCTTCATGTTGTGAGATGAAAGACAAGCCTGTATTCAAGCTACTGAAAGGAAATCCGGCCTCCTTTCAAGTTAGGGCTTCTCGATGTATATTCCCCTTGAGGCAGCAAACTCGGAGTCCCTCCCACATACCTATTGCTGAGAAGCCTCCTCCTGAGGTGCTTCTGGAAAGTTGGCATACGTCTTGAGCCTAAGCCAGGGAATCAGCTCTCATCTCGAGACGATTTGCGGTACACAGAGCATTCCTCGAGTTGCTGTGCTGAAGTTGGTGTTCCTCTAGACTTGGGACAGTGTTCTCGGGGCATCTCTGGAGTTGCCTGAAGGAAGGCGAGCCTCCGTTCGTGTTGAAGGGGGAACGGGAATGGCTCTGGAGTCAATGCAGGGGAATCGGGCCTCATCTCGAGTTGATTTGGGGCACATGGAGCTGCTTTGCGTTGCTGGGGTGACCTCAGGGTCCGTCTAGACTGGTGACAGTGTTCTTGGGGACTGTCTCGAGATCCATTAAGCAAGTCGAAGCTCCTGACTTGTTTGAATGGGATCACGGAATAGCTCTGCATGCACTGCAGGGGAATGGGGCCTCATCTCGCCTATAGGGGGAAGTCTCATGGTTTTTCTCGAGTTGCGGCGGGGACCTGGGGGATGTTCTCGACTTATGGCGGGGATGGCCCTTCAAAACACGAGTTTCTTCCGTGACGTCAGGACTCCTGTCTAGTAATGAGGGACACCTCAGCAATCTCTTCGAGGCTTGGCAGGGCAAAAGGGACGCTTCTCGAGGTGAGCCAGGGCACCCAAGGACCCTTTCCAGTAGCCACAGGGATTTTGGGATTCCTATAAGTATTCAAGAGGAGTCAGGCATCGTCACCTTTTCAAGCAATGAACTCTGCGTGCCTCTCGAGGTGTCAGGGGGATGTGAGGTATTCCGTCAAAATGAGGCAGGGACCTAGGGCTTCCTCTAAGGTCTCCACAGGGGATTCAGACATCCCTTCATGTTGTCAGATCAAAGACGAGCCTGTATTCAAGCCACTGCAAGGAAATCTGGCCTCCGTTCACATTAGGGCTTCTCCCTGTGTATTCCCCTTGAGGCAGCAAACTCGGGGTCCCTCCCACATACCTATTGCTGAGAGAAGCCTCTTCCTGAGGTGCTTCTGGAAAGTTGGCATACGTCTTGAGCCTAAGCCAGGGAATCAGCTCTCATCTCGAGATGATTTGGGGTACACGGAGCATTCCTCGAGTTGCTGTGCTGAAGTTGGTGTTCCTCTAGACTTGGGACAGTGTTCTCGGGGCATCTCTGGAGTTGCCTGAAGGAAGTCGAGCCACCGGTCGTGTTGAATGGGGAACGGGGAATGGCTCTGGAGTCAATGCAGGGGAATCCGGCCTCATCTCGAGTTGATTTGGGGCACATGGGGCTGCTTTGCATTGCTGGGTGACCTCAGGGTCCGTCTAGACTGGTGACAGTGTTCTTGGGGACTCTCTCGAGATCCATTAACCAAGTCGAAGCTCCTCACTTGTTTGAATGGGATCACGGAATAGCTCTGCATGCACTGCAGGGGAATGGGGCCTCATCTCGCCTCTAGGGGGAAGTCTCACGGTTTTTCTCGAGTTGCGGCGGGGACCTGGGGTATGTTCTCGACTTACGGCGGGGATGGCCCTTCAAAACACGAGTTTCTCCAGTGACGTCAGGACTCCTGCCTAGTAACGAGGGACACCTCAGCAATCTCTTCGAGGCTTGGCAGGGCAAAAGGGACGCTTCTCGAGGTGAGGCAGGGCACCCAAGGACCCTTTCCAGTAGCCACAGGGATTTTGGGATTCCTATCAGTATTCAAGAGGAGTCAGGCATCGTCACCTTTTGAAGCAGTGAACTCCGCGTGCCTCTCGAGCTGTCAGCGGGATGTGAGGCATTCCGTCAAAATGAGGCAGGGACCTAGGGCTTTCTCTAAGGTCTCCACAGGGGATTCAGACATCCCTTCATGTTGTGAGATGAAAGACAAGCCTGTATTCAAGCTACTGCAAGGAAATCCGGCCTCCTTTCAAGTTAGGGCTTCTCGATGTATATTCCCCTTGAGGCAGCAAACTCGGAGTCCCTCCCACATACCTATTGCTGAGAAGCCTCCTCCTGAAGTGCTTCTGGAAAGGTGGCATACGTCTTGAGCCTAAGCCAGGGAATCAGCTCTCATCTCGAGACGATTTGGGGTACACAGAGCATTCCTCGAGTTGCTGTGCTGAAGTTGGTGTTCCTCTAGACTTGGGACAGTGTTCTCGGGGCATCTCTGGAGTTGCCTGAAGGAAGGCGAGCCTCCGTTCGTGTTGAACGGGGAACGGGGAATGGCTCTGGAGTCAATGCAGGGGAATCGGGCCTCATCTCGAGTTGATTTGGGGCACATGGAGCTGCTTTGCGTTGCTGGGGTGACCTCAGGGTCCGTCTAGACTGGTGACAGTGTTCTTGGGGACTGTCTCGAGATCCATTAAGCAAGTCGAAGCTCCTGACTTGTTTGAATGGGATCACGGAATAGCTCTGCATGCAGTGCAGGGGAATGGGGCCTCATCTCGCCTATAGGGGGAAGTCTCATGGTTTTTCTCGAGTTGCGGCGGGGACCTGGGGTATATTCTCGACTTACGGCGGGGATGGCCCTTCAAAACACGAGTTTCTTCAGTGACGTCAGGACTCCTGTCTAGTAACGAGGGACACCTCAGCAATCTCTTCGAGGCTTGGCAGGGCAAAGGGGAGGCTTCTCGAGGTGAGCCAGGGCACCCAAGGACCCTTTCCAGTAGCAACAGGGATTTTGGGATTCCTATAAGTATTCAAGAGGAGTCAGGCATCGTCACCTTTTGAAGCAGTGAACTCTGTGTGCCTCTCGAGGTGTCAGGGGGATGTGAGGTATTCCGTCAAAATGAGGCAGGGAAATAGGGCTTCCTCTAAGGTCTCCACAGGGGATTCAGACATCCCTTCATGTTGTCAGATCAAAGACGAGCCTGTATTCAACCCTCTGCAAGGAAATCTGGCCTCCGTTCACATTAGGGCTTCTCCCTGTGTATTCCCCTTGAGGCAGCAAACACGGGGTCCCTCCAACATACCTATTGCTGAGAGAAGCCTCCTCCTGAGATGCTTCTGGAAAGTTGGCATACGTCTTGAGCCTAAGCCAGGGAATCAGCTCTCATCTCGAGATGATTTGGGGTACACGGAGCATTCCTCGAGTTGCTGTGCTGAAGTTGGTGTTCCTCTAGCCTTGGGACATTGTTCTCGGGGAATCTCTGGAGTTGCCTGAATGAAGTCGAGCCACCGGTCGTCTTGAATGGGGAACGGGGAATGGCTCTGGAGTCAATGCAGGGGAATCGGGCCTCATCTCGAGTTGATTTGGGGCACATGGAGCAGCTTTGCGTGCTGGGGTGACTTCAGGCTCAGTCTAGACTGGTGACAGTGTTCTTGGGGACTGTCTCGAGATCCATTAAGCAAGTCGAAGCTCCTGACTTGTTTGAATGTGATCACGGAATAGCTCTGCATGCACTGCAGGGGAATGGGGCCTCATCTCGCCTCTAGGGGGAAGTCTCACGGTTTTTCTCGAGTTGCAGCGGGGACCTGGGGTATGTTCTCGACTTACGGCGGGGATGGCCCTTCAAAACACGAGTTTCTCCAGTGACGTCAGGACTCCTGCCTAGTAACGAGGGACACCTCAGGAATCTCTTCGAGGCTTGGCAGGGCAAAAGGGACGCTTCTCGAGGTGAGGCAGGACACCCAAGGACCCTTTCCAGTAGCCACAGGGATTTTGGGATTCCTATCAGTATTCAAGAGGAGTCAGGTATCGTCACCTTTTGAAGCAATGAACTCCGCGTGCCTCTCGAGGTGTCAGGGGGATGTGAGGCATTCCGTCAAAATGAGGCAGGGACCTAGGGCTTTCTCTAAGGTCTCCACAGGGGATTCAGACATCCCTTCATGTTGTGAGATGAAAGACAAGCCTGTATTCAAGCTACTGCAAGGAAATCCGGCCTCCTTTCAAGTTAGGGCTTCTCGATGTATATTCCCCTTGAGGCAGCAAACTCGGAGTCCCTCCCACATACCTATTGCTGAGAAGCCTCCTCCTGAGGTGCTTCTGGAAAGTTGGCATACGTCTTGAGCCTAAGCCAGGGAATCAGCTCTCATCTCGAGATGATTTGGGGTACACAGAGCATTCCTCGAGTTGCTGTGCTGAAGTTGGTGTTCCTCTAGACTTGTGACAGTGTTCTCGGGGCATCTCTGGAGTTGCCTGAAGGAAGGCGATCCTCCGTTCGTGTTGAACGGGGAACGGGGAATGGCTCTGGAGTCAATGCAGGGGAATCGGGCCTCATCTCGAGTTGATTTGGGGCACATGGAGCTGCTTTGCGTTGCTGGGGTGACCTCAGGGTCCGTCTAGACTGGTGACAGTGTTCTTGGGGACTGTCTTGAGATCCATTAAGCAAGTCGAAGCTCCTGACTTGTTTGAATGGGATCACGGAATAGATCTGCATGCACTGCAGGGGAATGGGGCCTCATCTCGCCTCTAGGGGGAAGTCTCATGGTTTTTCTCGAGTTGCGGCGGGGACCTGGGGTATGTTCTCGACTTACGGCGGCGATGGCCCTTCAAAACACGAGTTTCTTCAGTGACGTCAGGACTCCTGTCTAGTAACGAGGGACACCTCAGCAATCTCTTCGAGGCTTGGCAGGGCAAAGGGGACGCTTCTCGAGGTGAGCCAGGGCACCCAAGGACCCTTTCCAGTAGCAACAGGGATTTTGGGATTCCTATAAGTATTCAAGAGGAGTCAGGCATCGTCACCTTTTGAAGCAATAAACTCTGCGTGCCTCTCGAGGTGTCAGGGGGATGTGAGGTATTCCGTCAAAATGAGGCAGGGACCTAGGGCTTCCTCTAAGGTCTCCACAGGGTATTCAGACATCCCTTAATGTTGTCAGATAAAAGACGAGCCTGTATTCAACCATCTGCAAGGAAATCTGGACTCCGTTCACATTAGGGCTTCCCCCTGTGTATTCCCCTTGAGGCAGCAAACACGGGGTCCCTCCCACATACCTATTGCTGAGAGAAGCCTCCTCCTGAGATGCTTCTGGAAAGTTGGCATACGTCTTGAGCCTAAGCCAGGGAATCAGCTCTCATCTCGAGATGATTTGGGGTACACGGAGCATTCCTCGAGTTGCTGTGCTGAAGTTGGTGTTCCTCTAGCCTTGGGACAGTGTTCTCGGGGAATCTCTGCAGTTGCCTGAAGGAAGTCGAGCCACCGGTCATCTTGAATGGGGAACGGGGAATGGCTCTGGAGTCAATGCAGGGGAATCGGGCCTCATCTCGAGTTGATTTGGGGCACATGGAGCAGCTTTGCGTTGCTGGGGTGACCTCAGGGTCCGTCTAGACTGGTGACAGTGTTCTTGGGGACTGTCTCGAGATCCATTAAGCAAGTCGAAGCTCCTGACTTGTTTGAATGGGATCACGGAATAGCTCTGCATGCACTGCAGGGGAATGGGGCTTCATCTCGCCTCCAGGGGGAAGTCTCACGGTTTTTCTCGAGTTGCGGCGGGGACCTGGGGTATGTTCTCGACTTACGGCGGGGATGGCCCTTCAAAACACGAGTTTCTCCAGTGACGTCAGGACTCCTGCCTAGTAACGAGGGACACCTCAGGAATCTCTTCGAGGCTTGGCAGGGCAAAAGGGACGCTTCTCGAGATGAGGCAGGGCACCCAAGGACCCTTTCCTGTAGCCACAGGTGATTTTGGGATTCCTATCAGTATTCAAGAGGAGTCAGGCATCGTCACCTTTTGAAGCAATGAACTCCGCGTGCCTCTCGAGGTGTCAGCGGGATGTGAGGCATTCCGTCAAAATGAGGCAGGGACCTAGGGCTTTCTCTAAGGTCTCCACAGGGGATTCAGACATCCCTTCATGTTGTGAGATGAAAGACAAGCCTGTATTCAAGCTACTGAAAGGAAATCCGGCCTCCTTTCAAGTTAGGGCTTCTCGATGTATATTCCCCTTGAGGCAGCAAACTCGGAGTCCCTCCCACATACCTATTGCTGAGAAGCCTCCTCCTGAGGTGCTTCTGGAAAGTTGGCATACGTCTTGAGCCTAAGCCAGGGAATCAGCTCTCATCTCGAGACGATTTGCGGTACACAGAGCATTCCTCGAGTTGCTGTGCTGAAGTTGGTGTTCCTCTAGACTTGGGACAGTGTTCTCGGGGCATCTCTGGAGTTGCCTGAAGGAAGGCGAGCCTCCGTTCGTGTTGAAGGGGGAACGGGAATGGCTCTGGAGTCAATGCAGGGGAATCGGGCCTCATCTCGAGTTGATTTGGGGCACATGGAGCTGCTTTGCGTTGCTGGGGTGACCTCAGGGTCCGTCTAGACTGGTGACAGTGTTCTTGGGGACTGTCTCGAGATCCATTAAGCAAGTCGAAGCTCCTGACTTGTTTGAATGGGATCACGGAATAGCTCTGCATGCACTGCAGGGGAATGGGGCCTCATCTCGCCTATAGGGGGAAGTCTCATGGTTTTTCTCGAGTTGCGGCGGGGACCTGGGGGATGTTCTCGACTTATGGCGGGGATGGCCCTTCAAAACACGAGTTTCTTCCGTGACGTCAGGACTCCTGTCTAGTAATGAGGGACACCTCAGCAATCTCTTCGAGGCTTGGCAGGGCAAAAGGGACGCTTCTCGAGGTGAGCCAGGGCACCCAAGGACCCTTTCCAGTAGCCACAGGGATTTTGGGATTCCTATAAGTATTCAAGAGGAGTCAGGCATCGTCACCTTTTCAAGCAATGAACTCTGCGTGCCTCTCGAGGTGTCAGGGGGATGTGAGGTATTCCGTCAAAATGAGGCAGGGACCTAGGGCTTCCTCTAAGGTCTCCACAGGGGATTCAGACATCCCTTCATGTTGTCAGATCAAAGACGAGCCTGTATTCAAGCCACTGCAAGGAAATCTGGCCTCCGTTCACATTAGGGCTTCTCCCTGTGTATTCCCCTTGAGGCAGCAAACTCGGGGTCCCTCCCACATACCTATTGCTGAGAGAAGCCTCTTCCTGAGGTGCTTCTGGAAAGTTGGCATACGTCTTGAGCCTAAGCCAGGGAATCAGCTCTCATCTCGAGATGATTTGGGGTACACGGAGCATTCCTCGAGTTGCTGTGCTGAAGTTGGTGTTCCTCTAGACTTGGGACAGTGTTCTCGGGGCATCTCTGGAGTTGCCTGAAGGAAGTCGAGCCACCGGTCGTGTTGAATGGGGAACGGGGAATGGCTCTGGAGTCAATGCAGGGGAATCCGGCCTCATCTCGAGTTGATTTGGGGCACATGGGGCTGCTTTGCATTGCTGGGTGACCTCAGGGTCCGTCTAGACTGGTGACAGTGTTCTTGGGGACTCTCTCGAGATCCATTAACCAAGTCGAAGCTCCTCACTTGTTTGAATGGGATCACGGAATAGCTCTGCATGCACTGCAGGGGAATGGGGCCTCATCTCGCCTCTAGGGGGAAGTCTCACGGTTTTTCTCGAGTTGCGGCGGGGACCTGGGGTATGTTCTCGACTTACGGCGGGGATGGCCCTTCAAAACACGAGTTTCTCCAGTGACGTCAGGACTCCTGCCTAGTAACGAGGGACACCTCAGCAATCTCTTCGAGGCTTGGCAGGGCAAAAGGGACGCTTCTCGAGGTGAGGCAGGGCACCCAAGGACCCTTTCCAGTAGCCACAGGGATTTTGGGATTCCTATCAGTATTCAAGAGGAGTCAGGCATCGTCACCTTTTGAAGCAGTGAACTCCGCGTGCCTCTCGAGCTGTCAGCGGGATGTGAGGCATTCCGTCAAAATGAGGCAGGGACCTAGGGCTTTCTCTAAGGTCTCCACAGGGGATTCAGACATCCCTTCATGTTGTGAGATGAAAGACAAGCCTGTATTCAAGCTACTGCAAGGAAATCCGGCCTCCTTTCAAGTTAGGGCTTCTCGATGTATATTCCCCTTGAGGCAGCAAACTCGGAGTCCCTCCCACATACCTATTGCTGAGAAGCCTCCTCCTGAAGTGCTTCTGGAAAGGTGGCATACGTCTTGAGCCTAAGCCAGGGAATCAGCTCTCATCTCGAGACGATTTGGGGTACACAGAGCATTCCTCGAGTTGCTGTGCTGAAGTTGGTGTTCCTCTAGACTTGGGACAGTGTTCTCGGGGCATCTCTGGAGTTGCCTGAAGGAAGGCGAGCCTCCGTTCGTGTTGAACGGGGAACGGGGAATGGCTCTGGAGTCAATGCAGGGGAATCGGGCCTCATCTCGAGTTGATTTGGGGCACATGGAGCTGCTTTGCGTTGCTGGGGTGACCTCAGGGTCCGTCTAGACTGGTGACAGTGTTCTTGGGGACTGTCTCGAGATCCATTAAGCAAGTCGAAGCTCCTGACTTGTTTGAATGGGATCACGGAATAGCTCTGCATGCAGTGCAGGGGAATGGGGCCTCATCTCGCCTATAGGGGGAAGTCTCATGGTTTTTCTCGAGTTGCGGCGGGGACCTGGGGTATATTCTCGACTTACGGCGGGGATGGCCCTTCAAAACACGAGTTTCTTCAGTGACGTCAGGACTCCTGTCTAGTAACGAGGGACACCTCAGCAATCTCTTCGAGGCTTGGCAGGGCAAAGGGGAGGCTTCTCGAGGTGAGCCAGGGCACCCAAGGACCCTTTCCAGTAGCCACAGGGATTTTGGGATTCCTATAAGTATTCAAGAGGAGTCAGGCATCGTCACCTTTTGAAGCAGTAAACTCTGCGTGCCTCTCGAGGTGTCAGGGGGATGTGAGGTATTCCGTCAAAATGAGGCAGGGACCTAGGGCTTCCTCTAAGGTCTCCACAGGGTATTCAGACATCCCTTAATGTTGTCAGATCAAAGACGAGCCTGTATTCAACCCTCTGCAAGGAAATCTGGCCTCCGTTCACATTAGGGCTTCTCCCTGTGTATTCCCCTTGATGCAGCAAACACGGGGTCCCTCCCACATACCTATTGCTGAGAGAAGCCTCCTCCTGAGATGCTTCTGGAAAGTTGGCATACGTCTTGAGGCTAAGCCAGGGAATCAGCTCTCATCTCGAGATGATTTGGGGTACACGAAGCATTCCTCGAGTTGCTGTGCTGAAGTTGGTGTTCCTCTAGCCTTGGGACAGTGTTCTCGGGGAATCTCTGGAGTTGCCTGAATGAAGTCGAGCCACCGGTCGTGTTGAATGGGGAACGGGGAATGGCTCTGGAGTCAATGCAGGGGAATCGGGCCTCATCTCGAGTTGATTTGGGGCACATGGAGCAGCTTTGCGTTGCTGGGGTGACCTCAGGGTCCGTCTAGACTGGTGACAGTGTTCTAGGGGACTGTCTCGAGATCCATTAAGCAAGTCGAAGCTCCTGACTTGTTTGAATGGGATCACGGAATAGCTCTGCATGCACTGTAGGGGAATGGGGCCTCATCTCGCCTCTAGGGGGAAGTCTCACCGTTTCTCTCGAGTTGCAGCGGGGACCTGGGGTATGTTCTCGACTTACGGCGGGGATGGCCCTTCAAAACACGAGTTTCTCCAGTGACGTCAGGACTCCTGCCTAGTAACGAGGGACACCTCAGGAATCTCTTCGAGGCTTGGCAGGGCAAAAGGGACGCTTCTCGAGGTGAGGCAGGACACCCAAGGACCCTTTCCAGTAGCCACAGGGATTTTGGGATTCCTATCAGTATTCAAGAGGAGTCAGGCATCGTCACCTTTTGAAGCAATGAACTCCGCGTGCCTCTCGAGGTGTCAGCGGGATGTGAGGCATTCCGTCAAAATGAGGCAGGGACCTAGGGCTTTCTCTAAGGTCTCCACAGGGGATTCAGACATACCTTCATGTTGTCAGATCAAAGACGAGCCTGTAATCAAGCCACTGCAAGGAAATCCGGCCTCCTTTCAAGTTAGGGCTTCTCGCTGTATATTCCCCTTGAGGCAGCAAACCCGGGGTCCCTCCCACATAACTATTGCTGAGAGAAGCCTCCTCCTGAGGTGCTTTGGAAAGTTGGCATATGTCTTGAGCCTAAGCCAGGGAATCAGCTCTCATCTCGAGATGATTTGGGGTACTCGGAGCACTCCTCGAGTTGCTGTGCTGAAGTTGGTGTTCCTCTAGACTTGGGACAGTGTTCTCGGGGCATCTCTGGAGTTGCCTGAAGGAAGGCGAGCCTCCGTTTGTGTTGAACGGGGAACGGGGAATGGCTCTGGAGTCAATGCAGGGGAATCGGGCCTCATCTCGAGTTGATTTGGGGCACATGGAGCTGCTTTGCGTTGCTGGGGTGACCTCAGGGTCCGTCTAGACTGGTGACAGTGTTCTTGGGGACTGTCTCGAGATCCATTAAGCAAGTCGAAGCTCCTGACTTGTTTGAATGGGATCACGGAATAGCTCTGCATGCACTGCAGGGGAATGGGGCCTCATCTCGCCTCTAGGGGGAAGTCTCATGGTTTTTCTCGAGTTGCGGCGGGGACCTGGGGTATGTTCTCGACTTACGGCGGGGATGGCCCTTCAAAACACGAGTTTCTTCAGTGACGTCAGGACTCCTGTCTAGTAACGAGGGACACCTCAGCAATCTCTTCGAGGCTTGGCAGGGCAAAAGGGACGCTTCTCGAGGTGAGCCAGGGCACCCAAGGACGCTTTCCAGTAGCAACAGGGATTTTGGGATTCCTATCAGTATTCAAGAGGAGTCAGGCATCGTCACCTTTTGAAGCAATGAACTCTGCGTTCCTCTCGAGGTGTCAGGGGGATGTGAGGTATTCCGTCAAAATGAGGCAGGGAAATAGGGCTTCCTCTAAGGTCTCCACAGGGGATTCAGACAACCCTTCATGTTGTCAGATCAAAGACGAGCCTGTATTCAAGCCACTGCAAGGAAATCCGGCCTCCTTTCAAGTTAGGGCTTCTCGCTGTATATTCCCCTTGAGGCAGCAAACTCGGGGTTCCTCCCACATACCTTCTGCTGAGAGAAGCCTCCTCCTGAGGTGCTTCTGGAAAGTTGGCATACGTCTTGAGCCTAAGCCAGGGAATCAGCTCTCATCTCGAGATGATTTGGGGTACACGGAGCATTCCTCGAGTTGCTGGGCTGAAGTTGGTGTTCCTCTAGACTTGGGACAGTGTTCTCGGGGCATCTCTGCAGTTGCCTGAAGGAAGTCGAGCCACCGGTCGTGTTGAATGGGGAACGGGGAATGGCTCTGGAATCAATGCAGGGGAATCGGGGCTCATCTCGAGTTGATTTGGGGTACATGGAGCAGCTTTGCGTTGCTGGGGTGACCTCAGGGTCCGTCTAGACTGGTGACAGTGTTCTTGGGGACTGTCTCGAGATCCATTAAGCAAGTCGAAGCTCCTGACTTGTTTGAATGGGATCACGGAATAGCTCTGCATGCACTGCAGGGGAATGGGGCCTCATCTCGCCTCTAGGGGGAAGTCTCACGGTTTTTGTCGACTTGCAGCGGGGACCTGGGGTATGTTCTCGACTTACGGCGGGGATGGCCATTCAAAACACGAGTTCCTTCAGTGACGTCAGGACTCCTGCCTAGTAACGAGGGACACCTCAGGAATCTCTTCGAGGCTTGGCAGGGCAAAAGGGACGCTTCTCGAGGTGAGCCAGGTCACCCAAGGACCCTTTCCAGTAGCCACAGGGATTTTGGGATTCCTATCAGTATTCAAGAGGAGTCAGGCATCGTCACCTTTTGAAGCAATGAACTCCGCGTGCCTCTCGAGGTGTCAGCGGGATGTGAGGCATTCCGTCAAAATGAGGCAGGGACCTAGGGCTTTCTTTAAGGTCTCCACAGGGGATTCAGACATCCCTTCATGTTGTCTGATCAAAGACAAGCCTGTATTCAAGCTACTGCAAGGAAATCCGGCCTCCTTTCAAGTTAGGGCTTCTCGATGTATATTCCCCTTGAGGCAGCAAACTCGGAGTCCCTCCCACATACCTATTGCTGAGAAGCCTCCTCCTGAGGTGCTTCTGGAAATTTGGCATACGTCTTGAGCCTAAGCCAGGGAATCAGCTCTCATCTCGAGACGATTTGCGGTACACAGAGCATTCCTCGAGTTGCTGTGCTGAAGTTGGTGTTCCTCTAGACTTGGGACAGTGTTCTCGGGGCATCTCTGGAGTTGCCTGAAGGAAGGCGAGCCTCCGTTCGTGTTGAAGGGGGAACGGGAATGGCTCTGGAGTCAATGCAGGGGAATCGGGCCTCATCTCGAGTTGATTTGGGGCACATGGAGCTGCTTTGCGTTGCTGGGGTGACCTCAGGGTCCGTCTAGACTGGTGACAGTGTTCTTGGGGACTGTCTCGAGATCCATTAAGCAAGTCGAAGCTCCTGACTTGTTTGAATGGGATCACGGAATAGCTCTGCATGCACTGCAGGGGAATGGGGCCTCATCTCGCCTCTAGGGGGAAGTCTCATGGTTTTTCTCGAGTTGCGGCGGGGACCTGGGGGATGTTCTCGACTTACGGCGGGGATGGCCCTTCAAAACACGAGTTTCTTCCGTGACGTCAGGACTCCTGTCTAGTAATGAGGGACACCTCAGCAATCTCTTCGAGGCTTGGCAGGGCAAAAGGGACGCTTCTCGAGGTGAGCCAGGGCACCCAAGGACCCTTTCCAGTAGCCACAGGGATTTTGGGATTCCTATAAGTATTCAAGAGGAGTCAGGCATCGTCACCTTTTCAAGCAATGAACTCTGCGTGCCTCTCGAGGTGTCAGGGGGATGTGAGGTATTCCGTCAAAATGAGGCAGGGACCTAGGGCTTCCTCTAAGGTCTCCACAGGGGATTCAGACATCCCTTCATGTTGTCAGATCAAAGACGAGCCTGTATTCAAGCCACTGCAAGGAAATCTGGCCTCCGTTCACATTAGGGCTTCTCCCTGTGTATTCCCCTTGAGGCAGCAAACTCGGGGTCCCTCCCACATACCTATTGCTGAGAGAAGCCTCTTCCTGAGGTGCTTCTGGAAAGTTGGCATACGTCTTGAGCCTAAGCCAGGGAATCAGCTCTCATCTCGAGATGATTTGAGGTACACGGAGCATTCCTCGAGTTGCTGTGCTGAAGTTGGTGTTCCTCTAGACTTGGGACAGTGTTCTCGGGGCATCTCTGGAGTTGCCTGAAGGAAGGCGAGCCTCCGTTCGTGTTGAACGGGGAACGGGGAATGGCTCTGGAGTCAATGCAGGGGAATCGGGCCTCATCTCGAGTTGATTTGGGGCACATGGAGCTGCTTTGCGTTGCTGGGGTGACCTCAGGGTCCGTCTAGACTGGTGACAGTGTTCTTGGGGACTGTCTCGAGATCCATTAAGCAAGTCGAAGCTCCTGACTTGTTTGAATGGGATCACGGAATAGCTCTGCATGCAGTGCAGGGGAATGGGGCCTCATCTCGCCTATAGGGGGAAGTCTCATGGTTTTTCTCGAGTTGCGGCGGGGACCTGGGGTATATTCTCGACTTACGGCGGGGATGGCCCTTCAAAACACGAGTTTCTTCAGTGACGTCAGGACTCCTGTCTAGTAACGAGGGACACCTCAGCAATCTCTTCGAGGCTTGGCAGGGCAAAGGGGAGGCTTCTCGAGGTGAGCCAGGGCACCCAAGGACCCTTTCCAGTAGCCACAGGGATTTTGGGATTCCTATAAGTATTCAAGAGGAGTCAGGCATCGTCACCTTTTGAAGCAGTAAACTCTGCGTGCCTCTCGAGGTGTCAGGGGGATGTGAGGTATTCCGTCAAAATGAGGCAGGGACCTAGGGCTTCCTCTAAGGTCTCCACAGGGTATTCAGACATCCCTTAATGTTGTCAGATCAAAGACGAGCCTGTATTCAACCCTCTGCAAGGAAATCTGGCCTCCGTTCACATTAGGGCTTCTCCCTGTGTATTCCCCTTGATGCAGCAAACACGGGGTCCCTCCCACATACCTATTGCTGAGAGAAGCCTCCTCCTGAGATGCTTCTGGAAAGTTGGCATACGTCTTGAGGCTAAGCCAGGGAATCAGCTCTCATCTCGAGATGATTTGGGGTACACGAAGCATTCCTCGAGTTGCTGTGCTGAAGTTGGTGTTCCTCTAGCCTTGGGACAGTGTTCTCGGGGAATCTCTGGAGTTGCCTGAATGAAGTCGAGCCACCGGTCGTGTTGAATGGGGAACGGGGAATGGCTCTGGAGTCAATGCAGGGGAATCGGGCCTCATCTCGAGTTGATTTGTGGCACATGGAGCAGCTTTGCGTTGCTGGGGTGACCTCAGGGTCCGTCTAGACTGGTGACAGTGTTCTAGGGGACTGTCTCGAGATCCATTAAGCAAGTCGAAGCTCCTGACTTGTTTGAATGGGATCACGGAATAGCTCTGCATGCACTGTAGGGGAATGGGGCCTCATCTCGCCTCTAGGGGGAAGTCTCACCGTTTCTCTCGAGTTGCAGCGGGGACCTGGGGTATGTTCTCGACTTACGGCGGGGATGGCCCTTCAAAACACGAGTTTCTCCAGTGACGTCAGGACTCCTGCCTAGTAACGAGGGACACCTCAGGAATCTCTTCGAGGCTTGGCAGGGCAAAAGGGACGCTTCTCGAGGTGAGGCAGGACACCCAAGGACCCTTTCCAGTAGCCACAGGGATTTTGGGATTCCTATCAGTATTCAAGAGGAGTCAGGCATCGTCACCTTTTGAAGCAATGAACTCCGCGTGCCTCTCGAGGTGTCAGCGGGATGTGAGGCATTCCGTCAAAATGAGGCAGGGACCTAGGGCTTTCTCTAAGGTCTCCACAGGGGATTCAGACATACCTTCATGTTGTCAGATCAAAGACGAGCCTGTAATCAAGCCACTGCAAGGAAATCCGGCCTCCTTTCAAGTTAGGGCTTCTCGCTGTATATTCCCCTTGAGGCAGCAAACCCGGGGTCCCTCCCACATAACTATTGCTGAGAGAAGCCTCCTCCTGAGGTGCTTTGGAAAGTTGGCATATGTCTTGAGCCTAAGCCAGGGAATCAGCTCTCATCTCGAGATGATTTGGGGTACTCGGAGCACTCCTCGAGTTGCTGTGCTGAAGTTGGTGTTCCTCTAGACTTGGGACAGTGTTCTCGGGGCATCTCTGGAGTTGCCTGAAGGAAGGCGAGCCTCCGTTTGTGTTGAACGGGGAACGGGGAATGGCTCTGGAGTCAATGCAGGGGAATCGGGCCTCATCTCGAGTTGATTTGGGGCACATGGAGCTGCTTTGCGTTGCTGGGGTGACCTCAGGGTCCGTCTAGACTGGTGACAGTGTTCTTGGGGACTGTCTCGAGATCCATTAAGCAAGTCGAAGCTCCTGACTTGTTTGAATGGGATCACGGAATAGCTCTGCATGCACTGCAGGGGAATGGGGCCTCATCTCGCCTCTAGGGGGAAGTCTCATGGTTTTTCTCGAGTTGCGGCGGGGACCTGGGGTATGTTCTCGACTTACGGCGGGGATGGCCCTTCAAAACACGAGTTTCTTCAGTGACGTCAGGACTCCTGTCTAGTAACGAGGGACACCTCAGCAATCTCTTCGAGGCTTGGCAGGGCAAAAGGGACGCTTCTCGAGGTGAGCCAGGGCACCCAAGGACGCTTTCCAGTAGCAACAGGGATTTTGGGATTCCTATCAGTATTCAAGAGGAGTCAGGCATCGTCACCTTTTGAAGCAATGAACTCTGCGTTCCTCTCGAGGTGTCAGGGGGATGTGAGGTATTCCGTCAAAATGAGGCAGGGAAATAGGGCTTCCTCTAAGGTCTCCACAGGGGATTCAGACAACCCTTCATGTTGTCAGATCAAAGACGAGCCTGTATTCAAGCCACTGCAAGGAAATCCGGCCTCCTTTCAAGTTAGGGCTTCTCGCTGTATATTCCCCTTGAGGCAGCAAACTCGGGGTTCCTCCCACATACCTTCTGCTGAGAGAAGCCTCCTCCTGAGGTGCTTCTGGAAAGTTGGCATACGTCTTGAGCCTAAGCCAGGGAATCAGCTCTCATCTCGAGATGATTTGGGGTACACGGAGCATTCCTCGAGTTGCTGGGCTGAAGTTGGTGTTCCTCTAGACTTGGGACAGTGTTCTCGGGGCATCTCTGCAGTTGCCTGAAGGAAGTCGAGCCACCGGTCGTGTTGAATGGGGAACGGGGAATGGCTCTGGAATCAATGCAGGGGAATCGGGGCTCATCTCGAGTTGATTTGGGGTACATGGAGCAGCTTTGCGTTGCTGGGGTGACCTCAGGGTCCGTCTAGACTGGTGACAGTGTTCTTGGGGACTGTCTCGAGATCCATTAAGCAAGTCGAAGCTCCTGACTTGTTTGAATGGGATCACGGAATAGCTCTGCATGCACTGCAGGGGAATGGGGCCTCATCTCGCCTCTAGGGGGAAGTCTCACGGTTTTTGTCGACTTGCAGCGGGGACCTGGGGTATGTTCTCGACTTACGGCGGGGATGGCCATTCAAAACACGAGTTCCTCCAGTGACGTCAGGACTCCTGCCTAGTAACGAGGGACACCTCAGGAATCTCTTCGAGGCTTGGCAGGGCAAAAGGGACGCTTCTCGAGGTGAGCCAGGTCACCCAAGGACCCTTTCCAGTAGCCACAGGGATTTTGGGATTCCTATCAGTATTCAAGAGGAGTCAGGCATCGTCACCTTTTGAAGCAATGAACTCCGCGTGCCTCTCGAGGTGTCAGCGGGATGTGAGGCATTCCGTCAAAATGAGGCAGGGACCTAGGGCTTTCTTTAAGGTCTCCACAGGGGATTCAGACATCCCTTCATGTTGTCTGATCAAAGACAAGCCTGTATTCAAGCTACTGCAAGGAAATCCGGCCTCCTTTCAAGTTAGGGCTTCTCGATGTATATTCCCCTTGAGGCAGCAAACTCGGAGTCCCTCCCACATACCTATTGCTGAGAAGCCTCCTCCTGAGGTGCTTCTGGAAATTTGGCATACGTCTTGAGCCTAAGCCAGGGAATCAGCTCTCATCTCGAGACGATTTGCGGTACACAGAGCATTCCTCGAGTTGCTGTGCTGAAGTTGGTGTTCCTCTAGACTTGGGACAGTGTTCTCGGGGCATCTCTGGAGTTGCCTGAAGGAAGGCGAGCCTCCGTTCGTGTTGAAGGGGGAACGGGAATGGCTCTGGAGTCAATGCAGGGGAATCGGGCCTCATCTCGAGTTGATTTGGGGCACATGGAGCTGCTTTGCGTTGCTGGGGTGACCTCAGGGTCCGTCTAGACTGGTGACAGTGTTCTTGGGGACTGTCTCGAGATCCATTAAGCAAGTCGAAGCTCCTGACTTGTTTGAATGGGATCACGGAATAGCTCTGCATGCACTGCAGGGGAATGGGGCCTCATCTCGCCTCTAGGGGGAAGTCTCATGGTTTTTCTCGAGTTGCGGCGGGGACCTGGGGGATGTTCTCGACTTATGGCGGGGATGGCCCTTCAAAACACGAGTTTCTTCCGTGACGTCAGGACTCCTGTCTAGTAATGAGGGACACCTCAGCAATCTCTTCGAGGCTTGGCAGGGCAAAAGGGACGCTTCTCGAGGTGAGCCAGGGCACCCAAGGACCCTTTCCAGTAGCCACAGGGATTTTGGGATTCCTATAAGTATTCAAGAGGAGTCAGGCATCGTCACCTTTTCAAGCAATGAACTCTGCGTGCCTCTCGAGGTGTCAGGGGGATGTGAGGTATTCCGTCAAAATGAGGCAGGGACCTAGGGCTTCCTCTAAGGTCTCCACAGGGGATTCAGACATCCCTTCATGTTGTCAGATCAAAGACGAGCCTGTATTCAAGCCACTGCAAGGAAATCTGGCCTCCGTTCACATCAGGGCTTCTCCCTGTGTATTCCCCTTGAGGCAGCAAACTCGGGGTCCCTCCCACATACCTATTGCTGAGAGAAGCCTCTTCCTGAGGTGCTTCTGGAAAGTTGGCATACGTCTTGAGCCTAAGCCAGGGAATCAGCTCTCATCTCGAGATGATTTGGGGTACACGGAGCATTCCTCGAGTTGCTGTGCTGAAGTTGGTGTTCCTCTAGACTTGGGACAGTGTTCTCGGGGCATCTCTGGAGTTGCCTGAAGGAAGTCGAGCCACCGGTCGTGTTGAATGGGGAACGGGGAATGGCTCTGGAGTCAATGCAGGGGAATCCGGCCTCATCTCGAGTTGATTTGGGGCACATGGAGCTGCTTTGCATTGCTGGGTGACCTCAGGGTCCGTCTAGACTGGTGACAGTGTTCTTGGGGACTCTCTCGAGATCCATTAACCAAGTCGAAGCTCCTGACTTGTTTGAATGGGATCACGGAATAGCTCTGCATGCACTGCAGGGGAATGGGGCCTCATCTCGCCTCTAGGGGGAAGTCTCACGGTTTTTCTCGAGTTGCGGCGGGGACCTGGGGTATGTTCTCGACTTACGGCGGGGATGGCCCTTCAAAACACGAGTTTCTCCAGTGACGTCAGGACTCCTGCCTAGTAACGAGGGACACCTCAGCAATCTCTTCGCGGCTTGGCAGGGCAAAAGGGACGCTTCTCGAGGTGAGCCAGGGCACCCAAGGACCCTTTCCAGTAGCAACAGGGATTTTGGGATTCCTATAAGTATTCAAGAGGAGTCAGGCATCGTCACCTTTTGAAGCAATGAACTCTGCGTGCCTCTCGAGGTTTCAGGGGGATGTGAGGTATTCCGTCAAAATGAGGCAGGGAAAAAGGGCTTCCTCTAAGGTCTCCACAGGGGATTCAGACATCCCTTAATGTTGTCAGATCAAAGACGAGCCTGTATTCAACCCTCTGCAAGGAAATCTGGCCTCCGTTTACATCAGGGCTTCTCCCTGTGTATTCCCCTTGAGGCAGCAACCTCGGGGTCCCTCCCACATAACTATTGCTGAGAGAAGCCTCCTCCTGAGGTGCTTCTGGAAAGTTGGCATACGTCTTGAGCCTAAGCCAGGGAATCAGCTCTCATCTCGAGATGATTTGGGGTACACGGAGCATTCCTCGAGTTGCTGTGCTGAAGTTGGTGTTCCTCTAGCCTTGGGACAGTGTTTTCGGGGAATCTCTGGAGTTGCCTGAATGAAGTCGAGCCACCGGTCGTGTTGAATGGGGAACGGGGAATGGCTCTGGAGTCAATGCAGGGGAATCGGGCCTCATCTCGAGTTGATTTGGGGCACATGGAGCAGCTTTGCGTTGCTGGGGTGACCTCAGGGTCCGTCTAGACTGGTGACAGTGTTCTTGGGGACTGTCTCGAGATCCATTAAGCAAGTCGAAGCTCCTGACTTGTTTGAATGGGATCACGGAATAGCTCTGCATGCACTGCAGGGGAATGGGGCCTCATCTCGCCTATAGGGGGATGTCTCATGGTTTTTCTCGAGTTGCGGCGGGGACCTTGGGTATGTTCTCGACTTACGGCGGGGATGGCCCTTCAAAACACGAGTTTCTTCAGTGACGTCAGGACTCCTGTCTAGTAACGAGGGACACCTCAGCAATCTCTTCGAGGCTTGGCAGGGCAAAGGGGACGCTTCTCGAGGTGAGCCAGGGCACCCAAGGACCCTTTCCAGTAGCAACAGGGATTTTGGGATTCCTATAAGTATTCAAGAGGAGTCAGGCATCGTCACCTTTTGAAGCAGTGAACTCTGCGTGCCTCTCGAGGTGTCAGGGGGATGTGAGGTATTCCGTCAAAATGAGGCAGGGAAATAGGGCTTCCTCTAAGGTCTCCACAGGGGATTCAGACATCCCTTCATGTTGTCAGATCAAAGACGAGCCTGTATTCAACCCTCTGCAAGGAAATCTGGCCTCCGTTCACATTAGGGCTTCTCCCTGTGTATTCCCCTTGAGGCAGCAAACACGGGGTCCCTCCAACATACCTATTGCTGAGAGAAGCCTCCTCCTGAGATGCTTCTGGAAAGTTGGCATACGTCTTGAGCCTAAGCCAGGGTATCAGCTCTCATCTCGAGATGATTTGGGGTACACGGAGCATTCCTCGAGTTGCTGTGCTGAAGTTGGTGTTCCTCTAGCCTTGGGACATTGTTCTCGGGGAATCTCTGGAGTTGCCTGAATGAAGTCGAGCCACCGGTCGTCTTGAATGGGGAACGGGGAATGGCTCTGGAGTCAATGCAGGGGAATCGGGCCTCATCTCGAGTTGATTTGGGGCACATGGAGCAGCTTTGCGTGCTGGGGTGACTTCAGGCTCAGTCTAGACTGGTGACAGTGTTCTTGGGGACTGTCTCGAGATCCATTAAGCAAGTCGAAGCTCCTGACTTGTTTGAATGTGATCACGGAATAGCTCTGCATGCACTGCAGGGGAATGGGGCCTCATCTCGCCTCTAGGGGGAAGTCTCACGGTTTTTCTCGAGTTGCAGCGGGGACCTGGGGTATGTTCTCGACTTACGGCGGGGATGGCCCTTCAAAACACGAGTTTCTCCAGTGACGTCAGGACTCCTGCCTAGTAACGAGGGACACCTCAGGAATCTCTTCGAGGCTTGGCAGGGCAAAAGGGACGCTTCTCGAGGTGAGGCAGGACACCCAAGGACCCTTTCCAGTAGCCACAGGGATTTTGGGATTCCTATCAGTATTCAAGAGGAGTCAGGTATCGTCACCTTTTGAAGCAATGAACTCCGCGTGCCTCTCGAGGTGTCAGCGGGATGTGAGGCATTCCGTCAAAATGAGGCAGGGACCTAGGGCTTTCTCTAAGGTCTCCACAGGGGATTCAGACATCCCTTCATGTTGTGAGATGAAAGACAAGCCTGTATTCAAGCTACTGCAAGGAAATCCGGCCTCCTTTCAAGTTAGGGCTTCTCGATGTATATTCCCCTTGAGGCAGCAAACTCGGAGTCCCTCCCACATACCTATTGCTGAGAAGCCTCCTCCTGAGGTGCTTCTGGAAAGTTGGCATACGTCTTGAGCCTAAGCCAGGGAATCAGCTCTCATCTCGAGATGATTTGGGGTACACAGAGCATTCCTCGAGTTGCTGTGCTGAAGTTGGTGTTCCTCTAGACTTGTGACAGTGTTCTCGGGGCATCTCTGGAGTTGCCTGAAGGAAGGCGATCCTCCGTTCGTGTTGAACGGGGAACGGGGAATGGCTCTGGAGTCAATGCAGGGGAATCGGGCCTCATCTCGAGTTGATTTAGGGCACATGGAGCTGCTTTGCGTTGCTGGGGTGACCTCAGGGTCCGTCTAGACTGGTGACAGTGTTCTTGGGGACTGTCTTGAGATCCATTAAGCAAGTCGAAGCTCCTGACTTGTTTGAATGGGATCACGGAATAGATCTGCATGCACTGCAGGGGAATGGGGCCTCATCTCGCCTCTAGGGGGAAGTCTCATGGTTTTTCTCGAGTTGCGGCGGGGACCTGGGGTATGTTCTCGACTTACGGCGGCGATGGCCCTTCAAAACACGAGTTTCTTCAGTGACGTCAGGACTCCTGTCTAGTAACGAGGGACACCTCAGCAATCTCTTCGAGGCTTGGCAGGGCAAAGGGGACGCTTCTCGAGGTGAGCCAGGGCACCCAAGGACCCTTTCCAGTAGCAACAGGGATTTTGGGATTCCTATAAGTATTCAAGAGGAGTCAGGCATCGTCACCTTTTGAAGCAATAAACTCTGCGTGCCTCTCGAGGTGTCAGGGGGATGTGAGGTATTCCGTCAAAATGAGGCAGGGACCTAGGGCTTCCTCTAAGGTCTCCACAGGGTATTCAGACATCCCTTAATGTTGTCAGATAAAAGACGAGCCTGTATTCAACCATCTGCAAGGAAATCTGGACTCCGTTCACATTAGGGCTTCCCCCTGTGTATTCCCCTTGAGGCAGCAAACACGGGGTCCCTCCCACATACCTATTGCTGAGAGAAGCCTCCTCCTGAGATGCTTCTGGAAAGTTGGCATACGTCTTGAGCCTAAGCCAGGGAATCAGCTCTCATCTCGAGATGATTTGGGGTACACGGAGCATTCCTCGAGTTGCTGTGCTGAAGTTGGTGTTCCTCTAGCCTTGGGACAGTGTTCTCGGGGAATCTCTGCAGTTGCCTGAAGGAAGTCGAGCCACCGGTCATCTTGAATGTGGAACGGGGAATGGCTCTGGAGTCAATGCAGGGGAATCGGGCCTCATCTCGAGTTGATTTGGGGCACATGGAGCAGCTTTGCGTTGCTGGGGTGACCTCAGGGTCCGTCTAGACTGGTGACAGTGTTCTTGGGGACTGTCTCGAGATCCATTAAGCAAGTCGAAGCTCCTGACTTGTTTGAATGGGATCACGGAATAGCTCTGCATGCACTGCAGGGGAATGGGGCTTCATCTCGCCTCCAGGGGGAAGTCTCACGGTTTTTCTCGAGTTGCGGCGGGGACCTGGGGTATGTTCTCGACTTACGGCGGGGATGGCCCTTCAAAACACGAGTTTCTCCAGTGACGTCAGGACTCCTGCCTAGTAACGAGGGACACCTCAGGAATCTCTTCGAGGCTTGGCAGGGCAAAAGGGACGCTTCTCGAGATGAGGCAGGGCACCCAAGGACCCTTTCCTGTAGCCACAGGTGATTTTGGGATTCCTATCAGTATTCAAGAGGAGTCAGGCATCGTCACCTTTTGAAGCAATGAACTCCGCGTGCCTCTCGAGGTGTCAGCGGGATGTGAGGCATTCCGTCAAAATGAGGCAGGGACCTAGGGCTTTCTCTAAGGTCTCCACAGGGGATTCAGACATCCCTTCATGTTGTGAGATGAAAGACAAGCCTGTATTCAAGCTACTGCAAGGAAATCCGGCCTCCTTTCAAGTTAGGGCTTCTCGATGTATATTCCCCTTGAGGCAGCAAACTCGGAGTCCCTCCCACATACCTATTGCTGAGAGAAGCCTCCTCCTGAGATGTTTCTGGAAAGTTGGCATACGTCTTGAGCCTAAGCCAGGGAATCAGCTCTCATCTCGAGACGATTTGGGGTACACAGAGCATTTCTCGAGTTGCTGTGCTGAAGTTGGTGTTCCTCTAGACTTGGGACAGTGTTCTCGGGGCATCTCTGGAGTTGCCTGAAAGAAGGCGAGCCTCCGTTCGTGTTGAACGGGGAACGGGGAATGGCTCTGGAGTCAATGCAGGGGAATCGGGCCTCATCTCGAGTTGATTTGGGGCACATGGAGCTGCTTTGCGTTGCTGGGGTGACCTCAGGGTCCGTCTAGACTGGTGACAGTGTTCTTGGGGACTGTCTCGAGATCCATTAAGCAAGTCGAAGCTCCTGACTTGTTTGAATGGGATCACGGAATAGCTCTGCATGCACTGCAGGGGAATGGGGCCTCATCTCGCCTATAGGGGGAAGTCTCATGGTTTTTCTCGAGTTGCGGCGGGGCCCTGGGGTATGTTCTCGACTTACGGCGGGGATGGCCCTTCAAAACACGAGTTTCTTCAGTGACGTCAGTACTCCTGTCTAGTAACGAGGGACACCTCAGGAATCTCTTCGAGGCTTGGCAGGGCAAAGGGGACGCTTCTCGAGGTGAGCCAGGGCACCCAAGGACCCTTTCCAGTAGCAACAGGGATTTTGGGATTCCTATAAGTATTCAAGAGGAGTCAGGCATCGTCACCTTTTGAAGCAATGAACTCTGCGTGCCTCTCGAGGTTTCAGGGGGATGTGAGGTATTCCGTCAAAATGAGGCAGGGAAATAGGGCTTCCTCTAAGGTCTCCACAGGGGATTCAGACATCCCTTAATGTTGTCAGATCAAAGACGAGCCTGTATTCAACCCTCTGCAAGGAAATCTGGCCTCCGTTCACATCAGGGCTTCTCCCTGTGTATTCCCCTTGAGGCAGCAAACTCGGGGTCCCTCCCACATACCTATTGCTGAGAGAAGCCTCCTCCTGAGGTGCTTCTGGAAAGTTGGCATACGTCTTGAGCCTAAGCCAGGGAATCAGCTCTCATCTCGAGATGATTTGGGGTACACGGAGCATTCCTCGAGTTGCTGTGCTGAAGTTGGTGTTCCTCTAGCCTTGGGACAGTGTTCTCGGGGAATCTCTGGAGTTGCCTGAATGAAGTCGAGCCACCGGTCGTGTTGAATGGGGAACGGGGAATGGCTCTGGAGTCAATGCAGGGGAATCGGGCCTCATCTCGAGTTGATTTGGGGCACATGGAGCAGCTTTGCGTTGCTGGGGTGACCTCAGGGTCCGTCTAGACTGGTGACAGTGTTCTTGGGGACTGTCTCGAGATCCATTAAGCAAGTCGAAGCTCCTGACTTGTTTGAATGGGATCACGGAATAGCTCTGCATGCACTGCAGGGGAATGGGGCCTCATCTCGCCTATAGGGGGATGTCTCATGGTTTTTCTCGAGTTGCGGCGGGGACCTTGGGTATGTTCTCGACTTACGGCGGGGATGGCCCTTCAAAACACGAGTTTCTTCAGTGACGTCAGGACTCCTGTCTAGTAACGAGGGACACCTCAGCAATCTCTTCGAGGCTTGGCAGGGCAAAGGGGACGCTTCTCGAGGTGAGCCAGGGCACCCAAGGACCCTTTCCAGTAGCAACAGGGATTTTGGGATTCCTATAAGTATTCAAGAGGAGTCAGGCATCGTCACCTTTTGAAGCAGTGAACTCTGCGTGCCTCTCGAGGTGTCAGGGGGATGTGAGGTATTCCGTCAAAATGAGGCAGGGAAATAGGGCTTCCTCTAAGGTCTCCACAGGGGATTCAGACATCCCTTCATGTTGTCAGATCAAAGACGAGCCTGTATTCAACCCTCTGCAAGGAAATCTGGCCTCCGTTCACATTAGGGCTTCTCCCTGTGTATTCCCCTTGAGGCAGCAAACACGGGGTCCCTCCAACATACCTATTGCTGAGAGAAGCCTCCTCCTGAGATGCTTCTGGAAAGTTGGCATACGTCTTGAGCCTAAGCCAGGGAATCAGCTCTCATCTCGAGATGATTTGGGGTACACGGAGCATTCCTCGAGTTGCTGTGCTGAAGTTGGTGTTCCTCTAGCCTTGGGACATTGTTCTCGGGGAATCTCTGGAGTTGCCTGAATGAAGTCGAGCCACCGGTCGTCTTGAATGGGGAACGGGGAATGGCTCTGGAGTCAATGCAGGGGAATCGGGCCTCATCTCGAGTTGATTTGGGGCACATGGAGCAGCTTTGCGTGCTGGGGTGACTTCAGGCTCAGTCTAGACTGGTGACAGTGTTCTTGGGGACTGTCTCGAGATCCATTAAGCAAGTCGAAGCTCCTGACTTGTTTGAATGTGATCACGGAATAGCTCTGCATGCACTGCAGGGGAATGGGGCCTCATCTCGCCTCTAGGGGGAAGTCTCACGGTTTTTCTCGAGTTGCAGCGGGGACCTGGGGTATGTTCTCGACTTACGGCGGGGATGGCCCTTCAAAACACGAGTTTCTCCAGTGACGTCAGGACTCCTGCCTAGTAACGAGGGACACCTCAGGAATCTCTTCGAGGCTTGGCAGGGCAAAAGGGACGCTTCTCGAGGTGAGGCAGGACACCCAAGGACCCTTTCCAGTAGCCACAGGGATTTTGGGATTCCTATCAGTATTCAAGAGGAGTCAGGTATCGTCACCTTTTGAAGCAATGAACTCCGCGTGCCTCTCGAGGTGTCAGCGGGATGTGAGGCATTCCGTCAAAATGAGGCAGGGACCTAGGGCTTTCTCTAAGGTCTCCACAGGGGATTCAGACATCCCTTCATGTTGTGAGATGAAAGACAAGCCTGTATTCAAGCTACTGCAAGGAAATCCGGCCTCCTTTCAAGTTAGGGCTTCTCGATGTACATTCCCCTTGAGGCAGCAAACTCGGACTCCCTCCCACATACCTATTGCTGAGAAGCCTCCTCCTGAGGTGCTTCTGGAAAGTTGGCATACGTCTTGAGCCTAAGCCAGGGAATCAGCTCTCATCTCGAGATGATTTGGGGTACACAGAGCATTCCTGGAGTTGCTGTGCTGAAGTTGGTGTTCCTCTAGACTTGTGACAGTGTTCTCGGGGCATCTCTGGAGTTGCCTGAAGGAAGGCGATCCTCCGTTCGTGTTGAACGGGGAACGGGGAATGGCTCTGGAGTCAATGCAGGGGAATCGGGCCTCATCTCGAGTTGATTTGGGGCACATGGAGCTGCTTTGCGTTGCTGGGGTGACCTCAGGGTCCGTCTAGACTGGTGACAGTGTTCTTGGGGACTGTCTTGAGATCCATTAAGCAAGTCGAAGCTCCTGACTTGTTTGAATGGGATCACGGAATAGATCTGCATGCACTGCAGGGGAATGGGCCCTCATCTCGCCTCTAGGGGGAAGTCTCATGGTTTTTCTCGAGTTGCGGCGGGGACCTGGGGTATGTTCTCGACTTACGGCGGCGATGGCCCTTCAAAACACGAGTTTCTTCAGTGACGTCAGGACTCCTGTCTAGTAACGAGGGACACCTCAGCAATCTCTTCGAGGCTTGGCAGGGCAAAGGGGACGCTTCTCGAGGTGAGCCAGGGCACCCAAGGACCCTTTCCAGTAGCAACAGGGATTTTGGGATTCCTATAAGTATTCAAGAGGAGTCAGGCATCGTCACCTTTTGAAGCAATAAACTCTGCGTGCCTCTCGAGGTGTCAGGGGGATGTGAGGTATTCCGTCAAAATGAGGTAGGGACCTAGGGCTTCCTCTAAGGTCTCCACAGGGTATTCAGACATCCCTTAATGTTGTCAGATAAAAGACGAGCCTGTATTCAACCATCTGCAAGGAAATCTGGACTCCGTTCACATTAGGGCTTCCCCCTGTGTATTCCCCTTGAGGCAGCAAACACGGGGTCCCTCCCACATACCTATTGCTGAGAGAAGCCTCCTCCTGAGATGCTTCTGGAAAGTTGGCATACGTCTTGAGCCTAAGCCAGGGAATCAGCTCTCATCTCGAGATGATTTGGGGTACACGGAGCATTCCTCGAGTTGCTGTGCTGAAGTTGGTGTTCCTCTAGCCTTGGGACAGTGTTCTCGGGGAATCTCTGCAGTTGCCTGAAGGAAGTCGAGCCACCGGTCATCTTGAATGGGGAACGGGGAATGGCTCTGGAGTCAATGCAGGGGAATCGGGCCTCATCTCGAGTTGATTTGGGGCACATGGAGCAGCTTTGCGTTGCTGGGGTGACCTCAGGGTCCGTCTAGACTGGTGACAGTGTTCTTGGGGACTGTCTCGAGATCCATTAAGCAAGTCGAAGCTCCTGACTTGTTTGAATGGGATCACGGAATAGCTCTGCATGCACTGCAGGGGAATGGGGCTTCATCTCGCCTCCAGGGGGAAGTCTCACGGTTTTTCTCGAGTTGCGGCGGGGACCTGGGGTATGTTCTCGACTTACGGCGGGGATGGCCCTTCAAAACACGAGTTTCTCCAGTGACGTCAGGACTCCTGCCTAGTAACGAGGGACACCTCAGGAATCTCTTCGAGGCTTGGCAGGGCAAAAGGGACGCTTCTCGAGATGAGGCAGGGCACCCAAGGACCCTTTCCTGTAGCCACAGGTGATTTTGGGATTCCTATCAGTATTCAAGAGGAGTCAGGCATCGTCACCTTTTGAAGCAATGAACTCCGCGTGCCTCTCGAGGTGTCAGCGGGATGTGAGGCATTCCGTCAAAATGAGGCAGGGACCTAGGGCTTTCTCTAAGGTCTCCACAGGGGATTCAGACATCCCTTCATGTTGTGAGATGAAAGACAAGCCTGTATTCAAGCTACTGCAAGGAAATCCGGCCTCCTTTCAAGTTAGGGCTTCTCGATGTATATTCCCCTTGAGGCAGCAAACTCGGAGTCCCTCCCACATACCTATTGCTGAGAGAAGCCTCCTCCTGAGATGTTTCTGGAAAGTTGGCATACGTCTTGAGCCTAAGCCAGGGAATCAGCTCTCATCTCGAGACGATTTGGGGTACACAGAGCATTTCTCGAGTTGCTGTGCTGAAGTTGGTGTTCCTCTAGACTTGGGACAGTGTTCTCGGGGCATCTCTGGAGTTGCCTGAAAGAAGGCGAGCCTCCGTTCGTGTTGAACGGGGAACGGGGAATGGCTCTGGAGTCAATGCAGGGGAATCGGGCCTCATCTCGAGTTGATTTGGGGCACATGGAGCTGCTTTGCGTTGCTGGGGTGACCTCAGGGTCCGTCTAGACTGGTGACAGTGTTCTTGGGGACTGTCTCGAGATCCATTAAGCAAGTCGAAGCTCCTGACTTGTTTGAATGGGATCACGGAATAGCTCTGCATGCACTGCAGGGGAATGGGGCCTCATCTCGCCTATAGGGGGAAGTCTCATGGTTTTTCTCGAGTTGCGGCGGGGCCCTGGGGTATGTTCTCGACTTACGGCGGGGATGGCCCTTCAAAACACGAGTTTCTTCAGTGACGTCAGTACTCCTGTCTAGTAACGAGGGACACCTCAGGAATCTCTTCGAGGCTTGGCAGGGCAAAGGGGACGCTTCTCGAGGTGAGCCAGGGCACCCAAGGACCCTTTCCAGTAGCAACAGGGATTTTGGGATTCCTATAAGTATTCAAGAGGAGTCAGGCATCGTCACCTTTTGAAGCAATGAACTCTGCGTGCCTCTCGAGGTTTCAGGGGGATGTGAGGTATTCCGTCAAAATGAGGCAGGGAAATAGGGCTTCCTCTAAGGTCTCCACAGGGGATTCAGACATCCCTTAATGTTGTCAGATCAAAGACGAGCCTGTATTCAACCCTCTGCAAGGAAATCTGGCCTCCGTTCACATCAGGGCTTCTCCCTGTGTATTCCCCTTGAGGCAGCAAACTCGGGGTCCCTCCCACATACCTATTGCTGAGAGAAGCCTCCTCCTGAGGTGCTTCTGGAAAGTTGGCATACGTCTTGAGCCTAAGCCAGGGAATCAGCTCTCATCTCGAGATGATTTGGGGTACACGGAGCATTCCTCGAGTTGCTGTGCTGAAGTTGGTGTTCCTCTAGCCTTGGGACAGTGTTCTCGGGGAATCTCTGGAGTTGCCTGAATGAAGTCGAGCCACCGGTCGTGTTGAATGGGGAACGGGGAATGGCTCTGGAGTCAATGCAGGGGAATCGGGCCTCATCTCGAGTTGATTTGGGGCACATGGAGCAGCTTTGCGTTGCTGGGGTGACCTCAGGGTCCGTCTAGACTGGTGACAGTGTTCTTGGGGACTGTCTCGAGATCCATTAAGCAAGTCGAAGCTCCTGACTTGTTTGAATGGGATCACGGAATAGCTCTGCATGCACTGCAGGGGAATGGGGCCTCATCTCGCCTATAGGGGGATGTCTCATGGTTTTTCTCGAGTTGCGGCGGGGACCTTGGGTATGTTCTCGACTTACGGCGGGGATGGCCCTTCAAAACACGAGTTTCTTCAGTGACGTCAGGACTCCTGTCTAGTAACGAGGGACACCTCAGCAATCTCTTCGAGGCTTGGCAGGGCAAAGGGGACGCTTCTCGAGGTGAGCCAGGGCACCCAAGGACCCTTTCCAGTAGCAACAGGGATTTTGGGATTCCTATAAGTATTCAAGAGGAGTCAGGCATCGTCACCTTTTGAAGCAGTGAACTCTGCGTGCCTCTCGAGGTGTCAGGGGGATGTGAGGTATTCCGTCAAAATGAGGCAGGGAAATAGGGCTTCCTCTAAGGTCTCCACAGGGGATTCAGACATCCCTTCATGTTGTCAGATCAAAGACGAGCCTGTATTCAACCCTCTGCAAGGAAATCTGGCCTCCGTTCACATTAGGGCTTCTCCCTGTGTATTCCCCTTGAGGCAGCAAACACGGGGTCCCTCCAACATACCTATTGCTGAGAGAAGCCTCCTCCTGAGATGCTTCTGGAAAGTTGGCATACGTCTTGAGCCTAAGCCAGGGAATCAGCTCTCATCTCGAGATGATTTGGGGTACACGGAGCATTCCTCGAGTTGCTGTGCTGAAGTTGGTGTTCCTCTAGCCTTGGGACATTGTTCTCGGGGAATCTCTGGAGTTGCCTGAATGAAGTCGAGCCACCGGTCGTCTTGAATGGGGAACGGGGAATGGCTCTGGAGTCAATGCAGGGGAATCGGGCCTCATCTCGAGTTGATTTGGGGCACATGGAGCAGCTTTGCGTGCTGGGGTGACTTCAGGCTCAGTCTAGACTGGTGACAGTGTTCTTGGGGACTGTCTCGAGATCCATTAAGCAAGTCGAAGCTCCTGACTTGTTTGAATGTGATCACGGAATAGCTCTGCATGCACTGCAGGGGAATGGGGCCTCATCTCGCCTCTAGGGGGAAGTCTCACGGTTTTTCTCGAGTTGCAGCGGGGACCTGGGGTATGTTCTCGACTTACGGCGGGGATGGCCCTTCAAAACACGAGTTTCTCCAGTGACGTCAGGACTCCTGCCTAGTAACGAGGGACACCTCAGGAATCTCTTCGAGGCTTGGCAGGGCAAAAGGGACGCTTCTCGAGGTGAGGCAGGACACCCAAGGACCCTTTCCAGTAGCCACAGGGATTTTGGGATTCCTATCAGTATTCAAGAGGAGTCAGGTATCGTCACCTTTTGAAGCAATGAACTCCGCGTGCCTCTCGAGGTGTCAGCGGGATGTGAGGCATTCCGTCAAAATGAGGCAGGGACCTAGGGCTTTCTCTAAGGTCTCCACAGGGGATTCAGACATCCCTTCATGTTGTGAGATGAAAGACAAGCCTGTATTCAAGCTACTGCAAGGAAATCCGGCCTCCTTTCAAGTTAGGGCTTCTCGATGTACATTCCCCTTGAGGCAGCAAACTCGGACTCCCTCCCACATACCTATTGCTGAGAAGCCTCCTCCTGAGGTGCTTCTGGAAAGTTGGCATACGTCTTGAGCCTAAGCCAGGGAATCAGCTCTCATCTCGAGATGATTTGGGGTACACAGAGCATTCCTGGAGTTGCTGTGCTGAAGTTGGTGTTCCTCTAGACTTGTGACAGTGTTCTCGGGGCATCTCTGGAGTTGCCTGAAGGAAGGCGATCCTCCGTTCGTGTTGAACGGGGAACGGGGAATGGCTCTGGAGTCAATGCAGGGGAATCGGGCCTCATCTCGAGTTGATTTGGGGCACATGGAGCTGCTTTGCGTTGCTGGGGTGACCTCAGGGTCCGTCTAGACTGGTGACAGTGTTCTTGGGGACTGTCTTGAGATCCATTAAGCAAGTCGAAGCTCCTGACTTGTTTGAATGGGATCACGGAATAGATCTGCATGCACTGCAGGGGAATGGGCCCTCATCTCGCCTCTAGGGGGAAGTCTCATGGTTTTTCTCGAGTTGCGGCGGGGACCTGGGGTATGTTCTCGACTTACGGCGGCGATGGCCCTTCAAAACACGAGTTTCTTCAGTGACGTCAGGACTCCTGTCTAGTAACGAGGGACACCTCAGCAATCTCTTCGAGGCTTGGCAGGGCAAAGGGGACGCTTCTCGAGGTGAGCCAGGGCACCCAAGGACCCTTTCCAGTAGCAACAGGGATTTTGGGATTCCTATAAGTATTCAAGAGGAGTCAGGCATCGTCACCTTTTGAAGCAATAAACTCTGCGTGCCTCTCGAGGTGTCAGGGGGATGTGAGGTATTCCGTCAAAATGAGGTAGGGACCTAGGGCTTCCTCTAAGGTCTCCACAGGGTATTCAGACATCCCTTAATGTTGTCAGATAAAAGACGAGCCTGTATTCAACCATCTGCAAGGAAATCTGGACTCCGTTCACATTAGGGCTTCCCCCTGTGTATTCCCCTTGAGGCAGCAAACACGGGGTCCCTCCCACATACCTATTGCTGAGAGAAGCCTCCTCCTGAGATGCTTCTGGAAAGTTGGCATACGTCTTGAGCCTAAGCCAGGGAATCAGCTCTCATCTCGAGATGATTTGGGGTACACGGAGCATTCCTCGAGTTGCTGTGCTGAAGTTGGTGTTCCTCTAGCCTTGGGACAGTGTTCTCGGGGAATCTCTGCAGTTGCCTGAAGGAAGTCGAGCCACCAGTCATCTTGAATGGGGAACGGGGAATGGCTCTGGAGTCAATGCAGGGGAATCGGGCCTCATCTCGAGTTGATTTGGGGCACATGGAGCAGCTTTGCGTTGCTGGGGTGACCTCAGGGTCCGTCTAGACTGGTGACAGTGTTCTTGGGGACTGTCTCGAGATCCATTAAGCAAGTCGAAGCTCCTGACTTGTTTGAATGTGATCACGGAATAGCTCTGCATGCACTGCAGGGGAATGGGGCCTCATCTCGCCTCTAGGGGGAAGTCTCACGGTTTTTCTCGAGTTGCAGCGGGGACCTGGGGTATGTTCTCGACTTACGGCGGGGATGGCCCTTCAAAACACGAGTTTCTCCAGTGACGTCAGGACTCCTGCCTAGTAACGAGGGACACCTCAGGAATCTCTTCGAGGCTTGGCAGGGCAAAAGGGACGCTTCTCGAGGTGAGGCAGGACACCCAAGGACCCTTTCCAGTAGCCACAGGGATTTTGGGATTCCTATCAGTATTCAAGAGGAGTCAGGTATCGTCACCTTTTGAAGCAATGAACTCCGCGTGCCTCTCGAGGTGTCAGCGGGATGTGAGGCATTCCGTCAAAATGAGGCAGGGACCTAGGGCTTTCTCTAAGGTCTCCACAGGGGATTCAGACATCCCTTCATGTTGTGAGATGAAAGACAAGCCTGTATTCAAGCTACTGCAAGGAAATCCGGCCTCCTTTCAAGTTAGGGCTTCTCGATGTATATTCCCCTTGAGGCAGCAAACTCGGAGTCCCTCCCACATACCTATTGCTGAGAAGCCTCCTCCTGAGGTGCTTCTGGAAAGTTGGCATACGTCTTGAGCCTAAGCCAGGGAATCAGCTCTCATCTCGAGACGATTTGCGGTACACAGAGCATTCCTCGAGTTGCTGTGCTGAAGTTGGTGTTCCTCTAGACTTGGGACAGTGTTCTCGGGGCATCTCTGGAGTTGCCTGAAGGAAGTCGAGCCTCCGTTCGTGTTGAAGGGGGAACGGGAATGGCTCTGGAGTCAATGCAGGGGAATCGGGCCTCATCTCGAGTTGATTTGGGGCACATGGAGCTGCTTTGCGTTGCTGGGGTGACCTCAGGGTCCGTCTAGACTGGTGACAGTGTTCTTGGGGACTGTCTCGAGATCCATTAAGCAAGTCGAAGCTCCTGACTTGTTTGAATGGGATCACGGAATAGCTCTGCATGCACTGCAGGGGAATGGGGCCTCATCTCGCCTCTAGGGGGAAGTCTCATGGTTTTTCTCGAGTTGCGGCGGGGACCTGGGGGATGTTCTCGACTTATGGCGGGGATGGCCCTTCAAAACACGAGTTTCTTCCGTGACGTCAGGACTCCTGTCTAGTAATGAGGGACACCTCAGCAATCTCTTCGAGGCTTGGCAGGGCAAAAGGGACGCTTCTCGAGGTGAGCCAGGGCACCCAAGGACCCTTTCCAGTAGCCACAGTGATTTTGGGATTCCTATAAGTATTCAAGAGGAGTCAGGCATCGTCACCTTTTCAAGCAATGAACTCTGCGTGCCTCTCGAGGTGTCAGGGGGATGTGAGGTATTCCGTCAAAATGAGGCAGGGACCTAGGGCTTCCTCTAAGGTCTCCACAGGGGATTCAGACATCCCTTCATGTTGTCAGATCAAAGACGAGCCTGTATTCAAGCCACTGCAAGGAAATCTGGCCTCCGTTCACATCAGGGCTTCTCCCTGTGTATTCCCCTTGAGGCAGCAAACTCGGGGTCCCTCCCACATACCTATTGCTGAGAGAAGCCTCTTCCTGAGGTGCTTCTGGAAAGTTGGCATACGTCTTGAGCCTAAGCCAGGGAATCAGCTCTCATCTCGAGATGATTTGGGGTACACGGAGCATTCCTCGAGTTGCTGTGCTGAAGTTGGTGTTCCTCTAGACTTGGGACAGTGTTCTCGGGGCATCTCTGGAGTTGCCTGAAGGAAGTCGAGCCACCGGTCGTGTTGAATGGGGAACGGGGAATGGCTCTGGAGTCAATGCAGGGGAATCCGGCCTCATCTCGAGTTGATTTGGGGCACATGGGGCTGCTTTGCATTGCTGGGTGACCTCAGGGTCCGTCTAGACTGGTGACAGTGTTCTTGGGGACTCTCTCGAGATCCATTAACCAAGTCGAAGCTCCTGACTTGTTTGAATGGGATCACGGAATAGCTCTGCATGCACTGCAGGGGAATGGGGCCTCATCTCGCCTCTAGGGGGAAGTCTCACGGTTTTTCTCGAGTTGCGGCGGGGACCTGGGGTATGTTCTCGACATACGGCGGGGATGGCCCTTCAAAACACGAGTTTCTCCAGTGACGTCAGGACTCCTGCCTAGTAACGAGGGACACCTCAGCAATCTCTTCGCGGCTTGGCAGGGCAAAAGGGACGCTTCTCGAGGTGAGGCAGGGCACCCAAGGACCCTTTCCAGTAGCCACAGGGATTTTGGGATTCCTATCAGTATTCAAGAGGAGTCAGGCATCGTCACCTTTTGAAGCAGTGAACTCCGCGTGCCTCTCGAGCTGTCAGCGGGATGTGAGGCATTCCGTCAAAATGAGGCAGGGACCTAGGGCTTTCTCTAAGGTCTCCACAGGGGATTCAGACATCCCTTCATGTTGTGAGATGAAAGACAAGCCTGTATTCAAGCTACTGCAAGGAAATCCGGCCTCCTTTCAAGTTAGGGCTTCTCGATGTATATTCCCCTTGAGGCAGCAAACTCGGAGTCCCTCCCACATACCTATTGCTGAGAAGCCTCCTCCTGAGGTGCTTCTGGAAAGTTGGCATACGTCTTGAGCCTAAGCCAGGGAATCAGCTCTCATCTCGAGACGATTTGGGGTAAACAGAGCATTCCTCGAGTTGCTGTGCTGAAGTTGGTGTTCCTCTAGACTTGGGACAGTGTTCTCGGGGCATCTCTGGAGTTGCCTGAAGGAAGGCGAGCCTCCGTTCGTGTTGAACGGGGAACGGGGAATGGCTCTGGAGTCAATGCAGGGGAATCGGGCCTCATCTCGAGTTGATTTGGGGCACATGGAGCTGCTTTGCGTTGCTGGGGTGACCTCAGGGTCCGTCTAGACTGGTGACAGTGTTCTTGGGGACTGTCTCGAGATCCATTAAGCAAGTCGAAGCTCCTGACTTGTTTGAATGGGATCACGGAATAGCTCTGCATGCAGTGCAGGGGAATGGGGCCTCATCTCGCCTATAGGGGGAAGTCTCATGGTTTTTCTCGAGTTGCGGCGGGGACCTGGGGTATGTTCTCGACTTACGGCGGGGATGGCCCTTCAAGACACGAGTTTCTTCAGTGACGTCAGGACTCCTGTCTAGTAACGAGGGACACCTCAGCAATCTCTTCGAGGCTTGGCAGGGCAAAGGGGAGGCTTCTCGAGGTGAGCCAGGGCACCCAAGGACCCTTTCCAGTAGCCACAGGGATTTTGGGATTCCTATAAGTATTCAAGAGGAGTCAGGCATCGTCACCTTTTGAAGCAGTAAACTCTGCGTGCCTCTCGAGGTGTCAGGGGGATGTGAGGTATTCCGTCAAAATGAGGCAGGGACCTAGGGCTTCCTCTAAGGTCTCCACAGGGTATTCAGACATCCCTTAATGTTGTCAGATCAAAGACGAGCCTGTATTCAACCCTCTGCAAGGAAATCTGGCCTCCGTTCACATTAGGGCTTCTCCCTGTGTATTCCCCTTGATGCAGCAAACACGGGGTCCCTCCCACATACCTATTGCTGAGAGAAGCCTCCTCCTGAGATGCTTCTGGAAAGTTGGCATACGTCTTGAGCCTAAGCCAGGGAATCAGCTCTCATCTCGAGATGATTTGGGGTACACGAAGCATTCCTCGAGTTGCTGTGCTGAAGTTGGTGTTCCTCTAGCCTTGGGACAGTGTTCTCGGGGAATCTCTGGAGTTGCCTGAATGAAGTCGAGCCACCGGTCGTGTTGAATGGGGAACGGGGAATGGCTCTGGAGTCAATGCAGGGGAATCGGGCCTCATCTCGAGTTGATTTGGGGCACATGGAGCAGCTTTGCGTTGCTGGGGTGACCTCAGGGTCCGTCTAGACTGGTGACAGTGTTCTAGGGGACTGTCTCGAGATCCATTAAGCAAGTCGAAGCTCCTGACTTGTTTGAATGGGATCACGGAATAGCTCTGCATGCACTGTAGGGGAATGGGGCCTCATCTCGCCTCTAGGGGGAAGTCTCACCGTTTCTCTCGAGTTGCAGCGGGGACCTGGGGTATGTTCTCGACTTACGGCGGGGATGGCCCTTCAAAACACGAGTTTCTCCAGTGACGTCAGGACTCCTGCCTAGTAACGAGGGACACCTCAGGAATCTCTTCGAGGCTTGGCAGGGCAAAAGGGACGCTTCTCGAGGTGAGGCAGGACACCCAAGGACCCTTTCCAGTAGCCACAGGGATTTTGGGATTCCTATCAGTATTCAAGAGGAGTCAGGCATCGTCACCTTTTGAAGCAATGAACTCCGCGTGCCTCTCGAGGTGTCAGCGGGATGTGAGGCATTCCGTCAAAATGAGGCAGGGACCTAGGGCTTTCTCTAAGGTCTCCACAGGGGATTCAGACATACCTTCATGTTGTCAGATCAAAGACGAGCCTGTAATCAAGCCACTGCAAGGAAATCCGGCCTCCTTTCAAGTTAGGGCTTCTCGCTGTATATTCCCCTTGAGGCAGCAAACCCGGGGTCCCTCCCACATAACTATTGCTGAGAGAAGCCTCCTCCTGAGGTGCTTTGGAAAGTTGGCATATGTCTTGAGCCTAAGCCAGGGAATCAGCTCTCATCTCGAGATGATTTGGGGTACTCGGAGCACTCCTCGAGTTGCTGTGCTGAAGTTGGTGTTCCTCTAGACTTGGGACAGTGTTCTCGGGGCATCTCTGGAGTTGCCTGAAGGAAGGCGAGCCTCCGTTTGTGTTGAACGGGGAACGGGGAATGGCTCTGGAGTCAATGCAGGGGAATCGGGCCTCATCTCGAGTTGATTTGGGGCACATGGAGCTGCTTTGCGTTGCTGGGGTGACCTCAGGGTCCGTCTAGACTGGTGACAGTGTTCTTGGGGACTGTCTCGAGATCCATTAAGCAAGTCGAAGCTCCTGACTTGTTTGAATGGGATCACGGAATAGCTCTGCATGCACTGCAGGGGAATGGGGCCTCATCTCGCCTCTAGGGGGAAGTCTCATGGTTTTTCTCGAGTTGCGGCGGGGACCTGGGGTATGTTCTCGACTTACGGCGGGGATGGCCCTTCAAAACACGAGTTTCTTCAGTGACGTCAGGACTCCTGTCTAGTAACGAGGGACACCTCAGCAATCTCTTCGAGGCTTGGCAGGGCAAAAGGGACGCTTCTCGAGGTGAGCCAGGGCACCCAAGGACGCTTTCCAGTAGCAACAGGGATTTTGGGATTCCTATCAGTATTCAAGAGGAGTCAGGCATCGTCACCTTTTGAAGCAATGAACTCTGCGTTCCTCTCGAGGTGTCAGGGGGATGTGAGGTATTCCGTCAAAATGAGGCAGGGAAATAGGGCTTCCTCTAAGGTCTCCACAGGGGATTCAGACATCCCTTCATGTTGTCAGATCAAAGACGAGCCTGTATTCAAGCCACTGCAAGGAAATCCGGCCTCCTTTCAAGTTAGGGCTTCTCGCTGTATATTCCCCTTGAGGCAGCAAACTCGGGGTTCCTCCCACATACTTTCTGCTGAGAGAAGCCTCCTCCTGAGGTGCTTCTGGAAAGTTGGCATACGTCTTGAGCCTAAGCCAGGGAATCAGCTCTCATCTCGAGATGATTTGGGGTACACGGAGCATTCCTCGAGTTGCTGGGCTGAAGTTGGTGTTCCTCTAGACTTGGGACAGTGTTCTCGGGGCATCTCTGCAGTTGCCTGAAGGAAGTCGAGCCACCGGTCGTGTTGAATGGGGAACGGGGAATGGCTCTGGAATCAATGCAGGGGAATCGGGGCTCATCTCGAGTTGATTTGGGGTACATGGAGCAGCTTTGCGTTGCTGGGGTGACCTCAGGGTCCGTCTAGACTGGTGACAGTGTTCTTGGGGACTGTCTCGAGATCCATTAAGCAAGTCGAAGCTCCTGACTTGTTTGAATGGGATCACGGAATAGCTCTGCATGCACTGCAGGGGAATGGGGCCTCATCTCGCCTCTAGGGGGAAGTCTCACGGTTTTTGTCGACTTGCAGCGGGGACCTGGGGTATGTTCTCGACTTACGGCGGGGATGGCCATTCAAAACACGAGTTCCTTCAGTGACGTCAGGACTCCTGCCTAGTAACGAGGGACACCTCAGGAATCTCTTCGAGGCTTGGCAGGGCAAAAGGGACGCTTCTCGAGGTGAGCCAGGGCACCCAAGGACCCTTTCCAGTAGCCACAGGGATTTTGGGATTCCTATCAGTATTCAAGAGGAGTCAGGCATCGTCACCTTTTGAAGCAATGAACTCCGCGTGCCTCTCGAGGTGTCAGCGGGATGTGAGGCATTCCGTCAAAATGAGGCAGGGACCTAGGGCTTTCTTTAAGGTCTCCACAGGGGATTCAGACATCCCTTCATGTTGTCTGATCAAAGACAAGCCTGTATTCAAGCTACTGCAAGGAAATCCGGCCTCCTTTCAAGTTAGGGCTTCTCGATGTATATTCCCCTTGAGGCAGCAAACTCGGAGTCCCTCCCACATACCTATTGCTGCGAAGCCTCCTCCTGAGGTGCTTCTGGAAATTTGGCATACGTCTTGAGCCTAAGCCAGGGAATCAGCTCTCATCTCGAGACGATTTGCGGTACACAGAGCATTCCTCGAGTTGCTGTGCTGAAGTTGGTGTTCCTCTAGACTTGGGACAGTGTTCTCGGGGCATCTCTGGAGTTGCCTGAAGGAAGGCGAGCCTCCGTTCGTTTTGAAGGGGGAACGGGAATGGCTCTGGAGTCAATGCAGGGGAATCGGGCCTCATCTCGAGTTGATTTGGGGCACATGGAGCTGCTTTGCGTTGCTGGGGTGACCTCAGGGTCCGTCTAGACTGGTGACAGTGTTCTTGGGGACTGTCTCGAGATCCATTAAGCAAGTCGAAGCTCCTGACTTGTTTGAATGGGATCACGGAATAGCTCTGCATGCACTGCAGGGGAATGGGGCCTCATCTCGCCTCTAGGGGGAAGTCTCATGGTTTTTCTCGAGTTGCGGTGGGGACCTGGGGGATGTTCTCGACTTATGGCGGGGATGGCCCTTCAAAACACGAGTTTCTTCCGTGACGTCAGGACTCCTGTCTAGTAATGAGGGACACCTCAGCAATCTCTTCGAGGCTTGGCAGGGCAAAAGGGACGCTTCTCGAGGTGAGCCAGGGCACCCAAGGACCCTTTCCAGTAGGCACAGGGATTTTGGGATTCCTATAAGTATTCAAGAGGAGTCAGGCATCGTCACCTTTTCAAGCAATGAACTCTGCGTGCCTCTCGAGGTGTCAGGGGGATGTGAGGTATTCCGTCAAAATGAGGCAGGGACCTAGGGCTTCCTCTAAGGTCTCCACAGGGGATTCAGACATCCCTTCATGTTGTCAGATCAAAGACGAGCGTGTATTCAAGCCACTGCAAGGAAATCTGGCCTCCGTTCACATTAGGGCTTCTCCCTGTGTATTCCCCTTGAGGCAGCAAACTCGGGGTCCCTCCCACATACCTATTGCTGAGAGAAGCCTCTTCCTGAGGTGCTTCTGGAAAGTTGGCATACGTCTTGAGCCTAAGCCAGGGAATCAGCTCTCATCTCGAGATGATTTGGGGTACACGGAGCATTCCTCGAGTTGCTGTGCTGAAGTTGGTGTTCCTCTAGACTTGGGACAGTGTTCTCGGGGCATCTCTGGAGTTGCCTGAAGGAAGTCGAGCCACCGGTCGTGTTGAATGGGGAACGGGGAATGGCTCTGGAGTCAATGCAGGGGAATCCGGCCTCATCTCGAGTTGATTTGGGGCACATGGAGCTGCTTTGCATTGCTGGGTGACCTCAGGGTCCGTCTAGACTGGTGACAGTGTTCTTGGGGACTCTCTCGAGATCCATTAACCAAGTCGAAGCTCCTGACTTGTTTGAATGGGATCACGGAATAGCTCTGCATGCACTGCAGGGGAATGGGGCCTCATCTCGCCTCTAGGGGGAAGTCTCACGGTTTTTCTCGAGTTGCGGCGGGGACCTGGGGTATGTTCTCGACTTACGGCGGGGATGGCCCTTCAAAACACGAGTTTCTCCAGTGACGTCAGGACTCCTGCCTAGTAACGAGGGACACCTCAGCAATCTCTTCGCGGCTTGGCAGGGCAAAAGGGACGCTTCTCGAGGTGAGGCAGGGCACCCAAGGACCCTTTCCAGTAGCCACAGGGATTTTGGGATTCCTATCAGTATTCAAGAGGAGTCAGGCATCGTCACCTTTTGAAGCAGTGAACTCCGCGTGCCTCTCGAGCTGTCAGCGGGATGTGAGGCATTCCGTCAAAATGAGGCAGGGACCTAGGGCTTTCTCTAAGGTCTCCACAGGGGATTCAGACATCCCTTCATGTTGTGAGATGAAAGACAAGCCTGTATTCAAGCTACTGCAAGGAAATCCGGCCTCCTTTCAAGTTAGGGCTTCTCGATGTATATTCCCCTTGAGGCAGCAAACACGGGGTCCCTCCCACATACCTATTGCTGAGAGAAGCCTCCTCCTGAGATGCTTCTGGAAAGTTGGCATACGTCTTGAGCCTAAGCCAGGGAATCAGCTCTCATCTCGAGATGATTTGGGGTACACGAAGCATTCCTCGAGTTGCTGTGCTGAAGTTGGTGTTCCTCTAGCCTTGGGACAGTGTTCTCGGGGAATCTCTGGAGTTGCCTGAAGGAAGTCGAGCCACCAGTCGTCTTGAATGGGGAACGGGGAATGGCTCTGGAGTCAATGCAGGGGAATCGGGCCTCATCTCGAGTTGATTTGGGGCACATGGAGCAGCTTTGCGTTGCTGGGGTGACCTCAGGGTCCGTCTAGACTGGTGACAGTGTTCTAGGGGACTGTCTCGAGATCCATTAAGCAAGTCGAAGCTCCTGACTTGTTTGAATGGGATCACGGAATAGCTCTGCATGCACTGCAGGGGAATGGGGCCTCATCTCGCCTCTAGGGGGAAGTCTCATGGTTTTTCTCGAGTTGCGGCGGGGACCGGGGGTATGTTCTCGACTTACGGCGGGGATGGCCCTTCAAAACACGAGTTTCTTCAGTGACGTCAGGACTCCTGCCTAGTAACGAGGGACACCTCAGGAATCTCTTCGAGGCTTGGCAGGGCAAAAGGGACGCTTCTCGAGGTGAGGCAGGGCACCCAAGGACCCTTTCCAGTAGCCACAGGAATTTTGGGATTCCTATCAGTATTCAAGAGGAGTCAGGCATCGTCACCTTTTGAAGCAATGAACTCCGCGTGCCTCTCGAGGTGTCAGCGGGATGTGAGGCATTCCGTCAAAATGAGGCAGGGACCTCGGGCTTTCTCTAAGGTCTCCACAGGGGATTCAGACATCCCTTCATGTTGTGAGATGAAAGACAAGCCTGTATTCAAGCTACTGCAAGGAAATCCGGCCTCCTTTCAAGTTAGGGCTTCTCGATGTATATTCCCCTTGAGGCAGCACACTCGGAGTCCCTCCCACATACCTATTGCTGAGAAGCCTCCTCCTGAGGTGCTTCTGGAAAGTCGGCATACGTCTTGAGCCTAAGCCAGGGAATCAGCTCTCATCTCGAGACGATTTGGGGTACACAGAGCATTCCTCGAGTTGCTGTGCTGAAGTTGGTGTTCCTCTAGACTTGGGACAGTGTTCTCGGGGCATCTCTGGAGTTGCCTGAAGGAAGGCGAGCCTCCGTTCGTGTTGAAGGGGGAACGGGAATGGCTCTGGAGTCAATGCAGGGGAATCGGGCCTCATCTCGAGTTGATTTGGGGCACATGGAGCTGCTTTGCGTTGCTGGGGTGACCTCAGGGTCCGTCTAGACTGGTGACAGTGTTCTTGGGGACTGTCTCGAGATCCATTAAGCAAGTCGAAGCTCCTGACTTGTTTGAATGGGATCACGGAATAGCTCTGCATGCACTGCAGGGGAATGGGGCCTCATCTCGCCTGTAGGGGGAAGTCTCATGGTTTTTCTCGAGTTGCGGCGGGGACCTGGGGTATGTTCTCGACTTACGGCGGGGATGGCCCTTCAAAACACGAGTTTCTTCAGTGACGTCAGGACTCCTGTCTAGTAACGAGGGACACCTCAGCAATCTCTTCGAGGCTTGGCAGGGCAAAAGGGACGCTTCTCGAGGTGAGCCAGGGCACCCAAGGACGCTTTCCAGTAGCAACAGGGATTTTGGGATTCCTATCAGTATTCAAGAGGAGTCAGGCATCGTCACCTTTTGCAGCAATGAACTCTGCGCTCCTCTCGAGGTGTCAGGGGGATGTGAGGTATTCCGTCAAAATGAGGCAGGGAAATAGGGCTTCCTCTAAGGTCTCCACAGGGGATTCAGACATCCCTTCATGTTGTCAGATCAAAGACGAGCCTGTATTCAAGCCACTGCAAGGAAATCCGGCCTCCTTTCAAGTTAGGGCTTCTCGCTGTATATTACCCTTGAGGCAGCAAACTCGGGGTCCCTCCCACATACCTATTGCTGAGAGAAGCCTCCTCCTGAGATGCTTCTGGAAAGTTGGCATACGTCTTGAGCCTAAGCCAGGGAATCAGCTCTCATCTCGAGATGATTTGGGGTACACGGAGCATTCCTCGAGTTGCTGGGCTGAAGTTGGTGTTCCTCTAGACTTGGGACAGTGTTCTCGGGGCATCTCTGGAGATGCCTGAAGGAAGTCGAGCCACCGGTCGTGTTGAATGGGGAACGGGGAATGGCTCTGGAATCAATGCAGGGGAATCAGGGCTCATCTCGAGTTGATTTGGGGCACATGGAGCAGCTTTGCGTTGCTGGTGTGACCTCAGGGTCCGTCTAGACTGGTGACAGTGTTCTTGGGGACTGTCTCGAGATCCATTAAGCAAGTCGAAGCTCCTGACTTGTTTGAATGGGATCACGGAATAGCTCTGCATGCACTGCAGGGGAATGGGGCCTCATCTCGCCTCTAGGGGGAAGTCTCTCGGTTTTTGTCGACTTGCAGCGGGGACCTGGGGTATGTTCTCGACTTACGGCGGGGATGGCCCTTCAAAACACGAGTTCCTTCAGTGACGTCAGGACTCCTGCCTAGTAACGAGGGACACCTCAGGAATCTCTTCGAGCCTTGGCAGGGCAAAAGGGACGCTTCTCGAGGTGAGGCAGGGCACCCAAGGACCCTTTCCAGTAGCCACAGGGATTTTGGGATTCCTATCAGTATTCAAGAGGAGTCAGGCATCGTCACCTTTTGAAGCAATGAACTCCGCGTGCCTCTCGAGGTGTCAGCGGGATGTGAGGCATTCCGTCAAAATGAGGCAGGGACCTAGGGCTTTCTTTAAGGTCTGCACAGGGGATTCAGACATCCCTTCATGTTGTCTGATCAAAGACAAGCCTGTATTCAAGCTACTGCAAGGAAATCCGGCCTCCTTTCAAGTTAGGGCTTCTCGATGTATATTCCCCTTGAGGCAGCAAACTCGGAGTCCCTCCCACATACCTATTGCTGAGAAGCCTCCTCCTGAGGTGCTTCTGGAAAGTTGGCATACGTCTTGAGCCTAAGCCAGGGAATCAGCTCTCATCTCGAGACGATTTGCGGTACACAGAGCATTCCTCGAGTTGCTGTGCTGAAGTTGGTGTTCCTCTAGACTTGGGACAGTGTTCTCGGGGCATCTCTGGAGTTGCCTGAAGGAAGGCGAGCCTCCGTTCGTGTTGAAGGGGGAACGGGAATGGCTTGGGAGTCAATGCAGGGGAATCGGGCCTCATCTCGAGTTGATTTGGGGCACATGGAGCTGCTTTGCGTTGCTGGGGTGACCTCAGGGTCCGTCTAGACTGGTGACAGTGATCTTGGGGACTGTCTCGAGATCCATTAAGCAAGTCCAAGCTCCTGACTTGTTTGAATGGGATCACGGAATAGCTCTGCATGCACTGCAGGGGAATGGGGCCTCATCTCGCCTCTAGGGGGAAGTCTCATGGTTTTTCTCGAGTTGCGGCGGGGACCTGGGGTATGTTCTCGACTTATGGCGGGGATGGCCCTTCAAAACACGAGTTTCTTCCGTGACGTCAGGACTCCTGTCTAGTAATGAGGGACACCTCAGCAATCTCTTCGAGGCTTGGCAGGGCAAAAGGGACGCTTCTCGAGGTGAGCCAGGGCACCCAAGGTCCCTTTCCAGTAGCCACAGGGATTTTGGGATTCCTATAAGTATTCAAGAGGAGTCAGGCATCGTCACCTTTTCAAGCAATGAACTCTGCGTGCCTCTCGAGGTGTCAGGGGGATGTGAGGTATTCCGTCAAAATGAGGCAGGGACCTAGGGCTTCCTCTAAGGTCTCCACAGGGTATTCAGACATCCCTTCATGTTGTCAGATCAAAGACGAGCCTGTATTCAAGCCACTGCAAGGAAATCTGGCCTCCGTTCACATTAGGGCTTCTCCCTGTGTATTCCCCTTGAGGCAGCAAACTCGGGGTCCCTCCCACATACCTATTGCTGAGAGAAGCCTCCTCCTGAGGTGCTTCTGGAAAGTTGGAATACGTCTTGAGCCTAAGCCAGGGAATCAGCTCTCATCTCGAGATGATTTGGGGTACACGGAGCATTCCTCGAGTTACTGTGCTGAAGTTGGTGTTCCTCTAGCCTTGGGACAGTGTTCTCGGGGCATCTCTGGAGTTGCCTGAAGGAAGGCGAGCCTCCGTTCGTGTTGAACGGGGAACGGGGAATGGCTCTGGAGTCAATGCAGGGGAATCGGGCCTCATCTCGAGTTGATTTGGGGCACATGGAGCAGCTTTGCGTTGCTGGGGTGACCTCAGGGTCCGTCTAGACTGGTGACAGTGTTCTAGGGGACTGTCTCGAGATCCATTAAGCAAGTCGAAGCTCCTGACTTGTTTGAATGGGATCACGGAATAGCTCTGCATGCACTGCAGGGGAATGGGGCCTCATCTCGCCTCTAGGGGGAAGTCTCATGGTTTTTCTCGAGTTGCGGCGGGGACCGGGGGTATGTTCTCGACTTACGGCGGGGATGGCCCTTCAAAACACGAGTTTCTTCAGTGACGTCAGGACTCCTGCCTAGTAACGAGGGACACCTCAGGAATCTCTTCGAGGCTTGGCAGGGCAAAAGGGACGCTTCTCGAGTTGAGGCAGGGCACCCAAGGACCCTTTCCAGTAGCCACAGGAATTTTGGGATTCCTATCAGTATTCAAGAGGAGTCAGGCATCGTCACCTTTTGAAGCAATGAACTCCGCGTGCCTCTCGAGGTGTCAGCGGGATGTGAGGCATTCCGTCAAAATGAGGCAGGGACCTAGGGCTTTCTCTAAGGTCTCCACAGGGGATTCAGACATCCCTTCATGTTGTGAGATGAAAGACAAGCCTGTATTCAAGCTACTGCAAGGAAATCCGGCCTCCTTTCAAGTTAGGGCTTCTCGATGTATATTCCCCTTGAGGCAGCACACTCGGAGTCCCTCCCACATACCTATTACTGAGAAGCCTCCTCCTGAGGTGCTTCTGGAAAGTTGGCATACGTCTTGAGCCTAAGCCAGGGAATCAGCTCTCATCTCGAGACGATTTGGGGTACACAGAGCATTCCTCGAGTTGCTGTGCTGAAGTTGGTGTTCCTCTAGACTTGGGACAGTGTTCTCGGGGCATCTCTGGAGTTGCCTGAAGGAAGGCGAGCCTCCGTTCGTGTTGAAGGGGGAACGGGAATGGCTTGGGAGTCAATGCAGGGGAATCGGGCCTCATCTCGAGTTGATTTGGGGCACATGGAGCTGCTTTGCGTTGCTGGGGTGACCTCAGGGTCCGTCTAGACTGGTGACAGTGTTCTTGGGGACTGTCTCGAGATCCATTAAGCAAGTCGAAGCTCCTGACTTGTTTGAATGGGATCACGGAATAGCTCTGCATGCACTGCAGGGGAATGGGGCCTCATCTCGCCTGTAGGGGGAAGTCTCATGTTTTTTCTCGAGTTGCGGCGGGGACCTGGGGTATGTTCTCGACTTACGGCGGGGATGGCCCTTCAAAACACGAGTTTCTTCAGTGACGTCAGGACTCCTGTCTAGTAACGAGGGACACCTCAGCAATCTCTTCGAGGCTTGGCAGGGCAAAAGGGACGCTTCTCGAGGTGAGCCAGGGCACCCAAGGACGCTTTCCAGTAGCAACAGGGATTTTGGGATTCCTATCAGTATTCAAGAGGAGTCAGGCATCGTCACCTTTTGCAGCAATGAACTCTGCGCTCCTCTCGAGGTGTCAGGGGGATGTGAGGTATTCCGTCAAAATGAGGCAGGGAAATAGGGCTTCCTCTAAGGTCTCCACAGGGGATTCAGACATCCCTTCATGTTGTCAGATCAAAGACGAGCCTGTATTCAAGCCATTGCAAGGAAATCCGGCCTCCTTTCAAGTTAGGGCTTCTCGCTGTATATTCCCCTTGAGGCAGCAAACTCGGGGTCCCTCCCACATACCTATTGCTGAGAGAAGCCTCCTCCTGAGGTGCTTCTGGAAAGTTGGCATACGTCTTGAGCCTAAGCCAGGGAATCAGCTCTCATCTCGAGATGATTTGGGGTACACGGAGCATTCCTCGAGTTGCTGGGCTGAAGTTGGTGTTCCTCTAGACTTGGGACAGTGTTCTCGGGGCATCTCTGGAGTTGCCTGAAGGAAGTCGAGCCACCGGTCGTGTTGAATGGGGAACGGGGAATGGCTCTGGAATCAATGCAGGGGAATCAGGGCTCATCTCGAGTTGATTTGGGGAACATGGAGCAGCTTTGCGTTGCTGGGGTGACCTCAGGGTCCGTCTAGACTGGTGACAGTGTTCTTGGGGACTGTCTCGAGATCCATTAAGCAAGTCGAAGCTCCTGACTTGTTTGAATGGGATCACGGAATAGCTCTGCATGCACTGCAAGGGAATGGGGCCTCATCTCGCCTCTAGGGGGAAGTCTCTCGGTTTTTGTCGACTTGCAGCGGGGACCTGGGGTATGTTCTCGACTTACGGCGGGGATGGCCCTTCAAAACACGAGTTCCTTCAGTGACGTCAGGACTCCTGCTTAGTAACGAGGGACACCTCAGGAATCTCTTCGAGCCTTGGCAGGGCAAAAGGGACGCTTCTCGAGGTGAGGCAGGGCACCCAAGGACCCTTTCCAGTAGCCACAGGGATTTTGGGATTCCTATCAGTATTCAAGAGGAGTCACGCATCGTCACCTTTTGAAGCAATGAACTCCGCGTGCCTCTCGAGGTGTCAGCGGGATGTGAGGCATTCCGTCTAAATGAGGCAGGGACCTAGGGCTTTCTCTAAGGACTCCACAGGGGATTCAGACATCCCTTCATGTTGTGAGATGAAAGACAAGCCTGTATTCAAGCTACTGCAAGGAAATCCGGCCTCCTTTCAAGTTAGGGCTTCTCGATGTATATTCCCCTTGAGGCAGCAAACTCGGAGTCCCTCCCACATACCTATTGCTGAGAAGCCTCCTCCTGAGGTGCTTCTGGAAAGTTGGCATACGTCTTGAGCCTAAGCCAGGGAATCAGCTCTCATCTCGAGACGATTTGGGGTACACAGAGCATTCCTCGAGTTGCTGTGCTGAAGTTGGTGTTCCTCTAGACTTGGGACAGTGTTCTCGGGGCATCTCTGAAGTTGCCTGAAGGAACGCGAGCCTCCGTTCGTGTTGAACGGGGAACGGGGAATGGCTCTGGAGTCAATGCAGGGGAATCGGGCCTCATCTCGAGTTGATTTGGGGCACATGGAGCTGCTTTGCGTTGCTGGGGTGACTTCAGGGTCCGTCTAGACTGGTGACAGTGTTCTTGGGGACTGTCTCGAGATCCATTAGCAAGTCGAAGCTCCTGACTTGTTTGAATGGGATCACGGAATAGCTCTCCATGCACTGCAGGGGAATGGGGCCTCATCTCGCCTATAGGGGGAAGTCTCATGGTTTTTCTCGAGTTGCGGCGGGGACCTGGGGTATGTTCTCGACTTACGGCGGGGATGGCCCTTCAAAACACGAGTTTCTTCAGTGACGTCAGGACTCCTGTCTAGTAACGAGGGACAACTCAGGAATCACTTCGAGGCTTGGCAGGGCAAACGGGACGCTTCTCGAGGTGAGGCAGGGCACCCAAGGTCCCTTTCCAGTAGTCACAGGGATTTTGGGATTCCTATCAGTATTCAAGAGGAGTCAGGCATCCTCACCTTTTGAAGCAATGAACTCCGCATGCAAGCACTCTCGCCGGGTGTTCCCGCAAGGCTCGCAATCTGGTCTCAAAGCCGGGAGAAAAGCGCTTTGGGGTGGGCCTCTCTCAGGGCCCATGGACCTGAGCCACGGGACCAGCTAGGGGGTCCACACTCCCAGGACAGGGCAGAACCACATGCACACGTCTGTTCCTGCCCCCTGCCCCTTCAGAGAGCTCGGCTGAGCCGCAGGCTCTCAGGCAGTTCCCTGGCAGCCCCGGCAGCACTGCCTGTGTGGGAAGGGGGAGAGCCGACCTAGGGGCACTGTGGGCCTCTTGCTCTCCCTGCTGCCCTGAGGCTGCTGGGCCAAAGAGGGCTTGGCTACCTACCCCCTTTCTCCGCCCTTCCCTCTGCCAGAAGGCTCTCCCCCAGGGCTGTTGCAGTGTGGAGACAGCCCCTGCCAGCACCTCCACTCCCAGTAGGCCTCAGCAGAGGCCTAGGCCCAGGGAACGGCCCAGGCAGGGCTGCGTTGAGGGAGGCGCAAGGGCATGTCTGGACACACTCCCCACAGCCTGTTCCTTCATGGGGCAGTTACCCTGGAGGCCAGGAAGGCCTGGGCAAGGCTGGCCAAGAGCAGGGGCATTGCTGGGTTCTGCCTCTGGCCTGTGGGGCCTCTGAGCAGGACCTGCCCTCTCCCTCTGGAAGACCTCCCCGCCTGCGTGCAAATCCCCGTTTGCAAGCACTCTGGCCGGGTGTTCCCGCAAGGCTCGCACTCTGGTCTCAAAGCCGGGAGAAAAGCGCTTTGGGGTGGGCCTCTCTCAGGGCCCATGGCCCTGAGCCTGGGGACCAGCTAGGGGGTCCACACTCCCAGGCCAAGGCAGAACCACATGCACACGTCTGTTCCTGCCCCCTGCACCTTCAGAGAGCTCGGCTGAGCCGCAGTCTCTCAGGCAGTTCCCTGGCAGCCCCGGCAGCACTGCCTGTGTGGGAAGCGGGAGAGCCGACCTAGGTGCACTGTGGGCCCCTTGCTCTCCCTGCTGCCCTGAGGCTGCTGGGCCAAAGAGGGCTTGGCTATCTACCCCCTTTCTCCCCTCTTCCCTCTGCCAGAACGCTCTGCCCCCGGGGCTGTTGCAGTGTGGAGACAGCCCCTGCCAGCACCTCCACTCCCAGTAGGCCTCAGCAGAGGCCTAGGCCCAGGGAAAGGCCCAGGCAGGGCTGCGTTGAGGGAGGCGCAAGGGCATGTCTGGACACACTCCCCACAGCCTGTTCCTTCATGGGGCAGTTACCCTGGAGGCCAGGAAGGCCTGGGCAAGGCTGGCCAAGAGCAGGGGCATTGCTGGGTTCTGCCTCTGGCCTGTGGGGCCTCTGAGCAGGACCTGCCCTCTCCCTCTGGAAGACCTCCCCGCCTGCGTGCAAATCCCCGTTTGCAAGCACTCTGGCCGGGTGTTCCCGCAAGGCTCGCACTCTGGTCTCAAAGCCGGGAGAAAAGCGCTTTGGGGTGGGCCTCTCTCAGGGCCCATGGCCCTGAGCCTGGGGACCAGCTAGGGGGTCCACACTCCCAGGCCAAGGCAGAACCACATGCACACGTCTGTTCCTGCCCCCTGCCCCTTCAGAGAGCTCGGCTGAGCCGCAGTCTCTCAGGCAGTTCCCTGGCAGCCCCGGCAGCACTGCCTGTGTGGGAAGCGGGAGAGCCGACCTAGGTGCACTGTGGGCCCCTTGCTCTCCCTGCTGCCCTGAGGCTGCTGGGCCAAAGAGGGCTTGGCTATCTACCCCCTTTCTCCCCTCTTCCCTCTGCCAGAAGGCTCTGCCCCCGGGGCTGTTGCAGTGTGGAGACAGCCCCTGCCAGCACCTCCACTCCCAGTAGGCCTCAGCAGAGGCCTAGGCCCAGGGAAAGGCCCAGGCAGAGCTGCGTTGAGGGAGGCGCAAGCGCATGTCTGGACAGACTCCCCACAGCCTGTTCCTTCATGGGGCAGTTACCCTGGAGGCCAGGAAGGCCTGGGCAAGGCTGGCCAAGAGCAGGGGCATTGCTGGGTTCTGCCTCTGGCCTGTTTGGCCTCTGAGCAGGACCTGCCCTCTCCCTCTGGAAGACCTCCCCGCCTGCGTGCAAATCCCCGTTTGCAAGCACTCTGGCCGGGTGTTCCCGCAAGGCTCGCACTCTGGTCTCAAAGCCGGGAGAAAAGCGCTTTGGGGTGGGCCTCTCTCAGGGCCCATGGCCCTGAGCCTGGGGACCAGCTAGGGGGTCCACACTCCCAGGCCAAGGCAGAACCACATGCACACGTCTGTTCCTGCCCCCTGCCCCTTCAGAGAGCTCGGCTGAGCCGCAGTCTCTCAGGCAGTTCCCTGGCAGCCCCGGCAGCACTGCCTGGGTGGGAAGCGGGAGAGCCGACCTAGGTGCACTGTGGGCCCCTTGCTCTCCCTGCTGCCCTGAGGCTGCTGGGCCAAAGAGGGCTTGGCTATCTACCCCCTTTCTCCCCTCTTCCCTCTGCCAGAAGGCTCTGCCCCCGGGGCTGTTGCAGTGTGGAGACAGCCCCTGCCAGCACCTCCACTCCCAGTAGGCCTCAGCAGAGGCCTAGGCCCAGGGAAAGGCCCAGGCAGGGCTGCGTTGAGGGAGGCGCAAGGGCATGTCTGGACACACTCCCCACAGCCTGTTCCTTCATGGGGCAGTTACCCTGGAGGCCAGGAAGGCCTGGGCAAGGCTGGCCAAGAGCAGGGGCATTGCTGGGTTCTGCCTCTGGCCTGTGGGGCCTCTGAGCAGGACCTGCCCTCTCCCTCTGGAAGACCTCCCCGCCTGCGTGCAAATCCCCGTTTGCAAGCACTCTGGCCGGGTGTTCCCGCAAGGCTCGCACTCTGGTCTCAAAGCCGGGAGAAAAGCGCTTTGGGGTGGGCCTCTCTCAGGGCCCATGGCCCTGAGCCTGGGGACCAGCTAGGGGGTCCACACTCCCAGGCCAAGGCAGAACCACATGCACACGTCTGTTCCTGCCCCCTGCCCCTTCAGAGAGCTCGGCTGAGCCGCAGTCTCTCAGGCAGTTCCCTGGCAGCCCCGGCAGCACTGCCTGTATGGGAAGCGGGAGAGCCGACCTAGGTGCACTGTGGGCCCCTTGCTCTCCCTGCTGCCCTGAGGCTGCTGGGCCAAAGAGGGCTTGGCTATCTACCCCCTTTCTCCCCTCTTCCCTCTGCCAGAAGGCTCTGCCCCCGGGGCTGTTGCAGTGTGGAGACAGCCCCTGCCAGCACCTCCACTCCCAGTAGGCCTCAGCAGAGGCCTAGGCCCAGGGAAAGGCCCAGGCAGGGCTGCGTTGAGGGAGGCGCAAGGGCATGTCTGGACACACTCCCCACAGCCTGTTCCTTCATGGGGCAGTTACCCTGGAGGCC